ATGGCGCTTTCGGTTAATAGGACCTTATTGACCAATTAGATCGTCAGAATTTCTGAAATCTAACCAGCTATTCACATTCAATCTCTATTATAAAATCCAAATCACATAATTTCTATTTCAAAAATTTCAATACCACAACATATATTGATTATAAATAGATCTCTCTTTTATAATTTTCAAAAATCAAAATTTGAATTCAAGATTCTGTTTTATAAAAAGAGTGAGTGAAAAAGCAATAAAACGGTCAATCTAACCAATCTAACCAATCAGACTTCTTCATTCGAGATATATTGCACAGACCATATGGCGCCATGAGTTGGCAGTCTAAGGGGATAGTCACCTGCTACTTGCGCTTCTTTCCTGGGTTTGCTCTAGACGATGAAATCTTGAGCTAGTTGCTCATCTAGAATTCGGTAAATTCCCCAAACGTTGAAAAGTTTCGGTCCGGCACTCGTATCTCGGAGCGTAGATGTCTATTTGTCATGGTATAGTGGAACGTACAGTATTCTGTTCGAATTATATATCTTTGGATCTTCACCTATTAGATTGCTAGATGTATATATATACCTAAGAATGAAGCGATGACAAAGGAGCTGTCAATTGCTCGATCTGAGCGTTACGGGTCGGCAATGAACCCTACGTTTTCCATTTGTGGTAGTTGCCTGTGGAGAGGAAAAGTGAATTACATTACGTATATACGTATGCTTATGCGGGATCTATCCGTCATGAACCTACCTAAGTCAATTTAGTGTATCACTGCGTTGGGTACAAAAGATATATTGATTCTAGTGTTCTACTATGGAGAATGGGGGATAATACGGGAGATGATCTCTTGATACCCCACCTAACTAGCTAATTCTACCACGGAAAGAACCCTTTGGAAAATACCCAGGTAAACTTTATAGATTCAGTCTCTTGGTATTTGGGGTCTTCCCGGGTGGTTCACAGAATGATTTTGCCAAAAAATCTGGGGTTAGATATAATAACGCAGGCTATGGCTCGTGTGTGGCTCAGAGGTCGAATTCTTTAGACACAACAGTCACACCAATCGTGAAGGCCCTAGTTGCCAAGAGGATGAATCTCTTGAATCTAACAGTCTGGAGAGACGAGACGTTCCTTCCGATATTTTTGAGTCTTGACCCGGCATTGAGTTTCGTGATCCACAGATCGACCACTAGGATTCTATCTGGATCGTCGTTTAATTGGTTGTCAAGAAATGGATGCCGAGGGCTCAGACTTCAAAGTCTAAGCGGTCGCAAGTCGAGCAAGTGTATAAAGTATGAATCTCAATTGATTGATCTTTTTCCTCGGGGAATTTTATTGCATCACTCCATGCCAAGCCGAGGTCCCTTCCTTACCTATTTTCAGGATGCAAGTCTTACTGAATTCTTCCCCTTGCATAACCGAGCATAATTATCACCAGTACCGTATAACTACAAACTCAATAAACTGATAATGAGTCTTTCTGTATTTACTGTAATTAGCTCTAGTTTGCTTCCGTTCCGCACCAATCTCGGGAGTTTCGACGGAAATTAAGCAAAAAATGGATTTAAACCGCTCTTCGAAAATCTCCACTTTGCTAATTCTCGCATCCATACATACCGCTCAGCTTCCCAACTTGACATCAGAGCTCATACGGTATGGTATCTCGGCACGGATCGTCAAATCCCCTCGACTTCTCAATATGCTAAAACAATCTAAGTGCGGAAGTCGAACATGCAGTCGAGGCAGTCTTTCATCCCCTTATATATGCGGAACCGCTTGGATCTAAATCCTAAATTTGTACATGAAAGAATCTGCATCTGCATCTGTATCTTATCATGATTGATCCTCTTGACGTCTGAATAGTTACCCACTACGACGAGGTTATTTATATCATGGAGGGCCGACAAATCCAGATTCTGACCGTAGTGACCGTAGGTTTGTTTTTTTCCTGGTTGAGTGTTGGATTGCGATGTTACACTAGGACAATCATTTCGAGGACTTTTGGAAGTGACGATTATTGGATTCTTCTTGGATTGGTGAGTGGATCCGAAGATAGAATGATGGCGTTCGAATCTCAAATAAATTTCAGCTAATCGAACTTACAGGCCGGGTATACTGCCGTATCAGTTTTTGCATACCTTGGTGTTCACTATGGAATTGGAGTGCATGCCGCTCAACTCACTTACGATCAGCTAATCAATGCTGCAAAGGTATGCATTATGAGTTATATCCCCGTGTTGATTCGTTATGCTTAGAAAGATTTTAACACATCCAGTACCAAGTTATCGTCGAACTCGGCTATATTCTTTGCACAGCCATAATAAAAACGAGCGTCGGGTTGCTCCTCCTTCGCATTACTTCTGTCAAAACCTTCTACAAATACCTCATCTGGATCAGTCTTGCTATAGTATGGATATGGACAATAGTAACATTTGCTATTAGTTGTGTGCAGTGCAGACCATTAAAAGCATCATGGGATCCATTAACGCCAGGAGTCTGTCTTGAACCTCGTGTCATTGCGAATTTTGCATATGCCATCTCGGCCGAGACGATTTTTTTCGATTGGCTTTTTGCCTTGCTGCCAATACCGATGTTGTGGGACATCAAGATGAGTCTTCGTTTAAAGTGCTCTATTATGGTTATTCTGAGTTTGGGAATCGTGTAAGGAGACAATCTGTCGTATTTATAGTCATAAGAAAACTGACATGAGGCTTTGTCTTAATAGTGCAAGTGCTTCTACCATCATTCGTCTTAAGTATCTGGTTGCTTTTTTGAATGTTACAGATCCATTGTGTAAGTTGCTTCTTGCTAGCGTCCCCATCAACCTAGCAATCTACACTTGAATTCACTGTATTAACTAACATCTAATCTCCAACCTAAAGATTCTATCACTCCAGTTTTCATCTGGTCCACGACTGAGATTGCCCTCGGCATAATCGCTGCATCAACTGCCACCCTCCGCCCTCTTCTTCGCAGCTGGAAAATCTTTGGTTTCACCAGCGAACACAGCTCAGATGCTGAACCTGGAGGCGCACGATCGGGTTCTTGGAATGCATTTAAGAGAACTCCTCCTGGTGGGAGCGACCCAACTGCGAGTCATCAGTCGGATGAATTAACTCTGGAGGATACTATTCATACGCAATCTCCGAATCTTAAGACAATTACGAGTTGGAGTGGTAGAAGTGGACACAGTGAGGAGGGGATCTTGAGGAGTCCGAATGGAAGATTTGCTGATAATGAAAGGGGAAGGGAGGGGGAAAATGAGGAATATGAATTAGTTTCGAGGCCAGATGAAAGAATTGTGAGGCAGACGAATATTCAGATTGAGTACGATGAGAGGATGAATTATTTGGGAAGAGACATGGTTTGATCTGTATACTGATATTCATAATGAAATGTACAATATTCTGCATAACGATGGCGCTGGTGGATATGGGTATGGGCATAAAAGGAACACTACTTGCATATCAAAGTTTTGGGTGAAGGAGAACAACAAAATATACTGTGCCCCAAATGAACTATATATTTATATATGGCAAGTCTTACATTTCTTAATTTTCAACTTCTTAATAGTCCTATGTCTTTCTCTTCCATCAATCTTCAAAGCCAAGAATAGTTTCCTCGATATAATTCCTATTAATGGCGGAAGAAATTATTTAAAATACATACGGCTATCATAGCCGATGAACGTTCCTGATTTTGCGATATTCAAAAGGAAGACGAATACAAATACCTCATCGTTATCTTATTGGAGCAAAGCCTCGAGAGTCGAAAAGAAGAGAAAATCTTTAGGACCCATAACATCAGCTCTAAAATCCAAGTAGAGGAACTAAGATGTATATATTTCTAAAATACTTCTCGCTAACCCTAACTTTGTAAAATTAATTGGTCAGTCGCTAGTCTAGTATCCCTCCATTTGGCGCGCTTATCATAATATATTGAACAATTATTATAGTAAGTCTTTTTAGTGAGCTTTTTCGCTTCATTCTTATTCTCTAGGTTTTGAAGGAGTTTCGCACTTAGTTGGCGAGTAGACTCAGGTTATGTCCCGTTTTCCTCTTTCTCATATCCATTTATTAATGCGACGAATGGGAAGTTAGTTTTTCAAGATTTATTGAAACCTGGAATGTAGACTGCACTTGTTGTATATTTTTGTTGGTTTGAGAAGGACACGAATGACGTAGCACCTACGATTTGTAGGTCCTTAATTTCAAAATTGCATTCCGTCTAAAGAGCTAGCTATGTACAGGGAATAGTAGACCTTATATAAGATAAGGGATATTAAAAAGAGCTAGTCTCTTTTGCATTCGTTTAGGGCTATAATACAGTAGCTATTGAATTGAGGTTATTCACTATGTTCATACAATTCCCCTTAGTTCATTTTCCCCTCTTGTTGACAAAAGGGGCAAGACGATTCAAGCGAATGTACCTATATCCGATAGTTCTCTAGTACTAGCACTAACACGATACGGTGTAGAAAATTTCAGGATGGATATACATCGATTTTGTAAAAACGCGCTTACGTCCATTTCACCACAAGGGACCACAATGATTGTTATCGTACCTTCTTATTCTGAAAACTCCAATATTCCCCTACAATTGCTACCTAGGTAGTATTTGATTACACCCCAACCCAAGATTCAAGGTTATTCTGAAAAGATTGTGGAGAATTTCTGTAATCGATTGATTAGTATACACTCAGTACCTACTACAGAAAAATCTTGCTTGCTAACATGTATCATTCATTAATTCCAAATAACAAAGCCATCAACTCATCTTCTCCCATCAAATGCGGCAAGATCTCTTTGTTCCCATGAATCTTCCTTGCAAATCAAAGTGTAACAAAGCTGATACATATCAATTTTCTTTCAGCACTATCAGTAGCTCATAGTATTCTCCGAGCTATTAAGCACCTACTCACTATCGCGACTCCAATTCCAGTCACACGACATGTCATCCAGCTCTCCAATCCCCAAAATAACATCCATTCATCCCAACCCAATCCCCACAAAACCATGCAGCAAAAACCAAAACCAAAACCTCCAACACATCCCCATCGCCCTAATATCTCCCAACTCTCCCGTCTATTCATCATAGCCAACACACTTAATTACTGCTACCTCTACCTCGCTCTAATCGTCACAATCTACACCCGACTTCCAAAAAATAACACGTCGCTGATCGGGGTTCCTAGAATACCCCTGCAGGTTCTTCCTCTCCTAAGATCCCTCCAAGAGATATCCCGGCGTTTCTTCGAAGCACTAGGTCTATGGACCAATCCTCCACCAAATCCCCCACCACTCCCCCCAGCCAATCCCCCCGAAAATCCCGATAACCAAGATCCCCCGGACCCAGACCATCCCTCCTCCTCAGACGATGAACCATCCGATAATTCTTCCCACCACTCCTCCCAAGAGACCCCCAGCCATTCCTCCTCCGACTCCAACTCCGGAACCCCCCCATCCCCGCCCCAGAAAAGCTCGCTCTCAAAACGCGATATTTATGAATCTGAAGAACGACTAGCGCATTATTATCAATCGTTGAAGAAGGATCCGAAGAGTATTAGGCGGAATAAGTGGAGAGAAGATCCGCAGTTGGGGGGGTTGGAAAATCAGGTTTTTGAGGGGATATTGGGGGTTGGGGGGTTTGGGAGTGTTTGTATGTTTTTCTTCCTTTTTATCCATGTTTTATATATAAGAAAATAGGGCTGGATTGGAAAGAAGGAGTTTATTTCCTTGAGTTTAGGCGAAAAAGAGGGAATTTGGGTTTTGCAAAAGAAGGGATGAGATGAGATACCCAGAAACACAGCATTCTCGCTACCCCTATCCTACCCTATCCCATCCCCGAATAATCTCATCCCCAAATCTCACAAGCTAACCTCCTCCCCCAAACCCAGATCTCGTCCTCAACACCCTCACCCAAAAACGATACGCCCTAAAACTCCAATCCGAAACAGCCGACCAACGTCTCTCGCGCCGCAAACGCGAGCAGCCCCCCACTCCCCACACCCCACCCGACCCCCTCTCACATACACCCCCCATCACCCCCTCATCCGAAGCAACCATCACCTCGCCCACCCTCATCGCCGCCCGCAATCTGCTCTCCAAACGCTACCGCGAAAACCGCTGTTATCTGCAATACATCAAATCCGGACATCCGAACATCTGCGCCCTGGACGCCTTTCTCGATTTCACTTCCCAATTCGGCGCCGTGGAAGAAAGAGGCATCGTTATGTTCGCCTCGTATTACGAATACTGCGATGGAGGAGATCTCTTTAGAATCCTAAACGGATATCAAGAAGGACATCGACAAATTGACGCCGCGAAGGAAGAAAGAGGAATGATCCATATTGTCAACCTAGGCTGGCGCATGCGGCGCGAACCCTATCTCCCTCTCCCTCCTCTAATAGAACGTCGATACCCCCCCGAACTCTTCCTCTGGCATATATTTTCACAGCTCATCTCCGCGATTCTCTTCCTGCACAACGAACATCCGGATTACAACACACTCCCCGAACATAAAAACCGCGCCATGGTCATCACAATGGATCTCGCGCCGCAGAATGTCTTTCTGCAGTGGCCGGCCCATGCATCTACCCCGGAGCAGCGACGAACCGTATACCCCAATATCAAAGTTGGGGATTTTGGGACTGCGAATTTCCTCCCGCATGGTGGACGCATTCCCGCCGAAGAGGGCGTTGAAGCGGAGACCCCGGATAAAGAATACTATGATGCGCGCACAGATGTCTGGACGGTGGGGCAGATGATATATCATTTTGCAACGCGAGTGCAAGATTGTGAGCCGAAAGAGAATATTGAGGGGATGTATAGTGCGCAGCTGAATAAAGTTGTTCGGGCTGCGATGAAGAAGGATCGGGAAGAGAGGATCGAAGAGAAGAAATTAGGAAGGCTTCTTCGAGCGGGTTATGAGAGGAGGATTCCGCATATGTTTAAGACGCTTCCTGAGTGGGCGATTTCGCAGGAAAATGTACTGAAGTATCGGTTTTCGGAACGGCATGTGAAGGAATTGTGGGAGCGGGATTGGAATTTGAAGATTGAGCAGGAGGAGGAGGAGGAGGCGAAGGCGGTGGAGGATGAGGAGAGAGTATTTCATTTGATGTTGTTGGTGAAGGAGAGGAAGTTGAGGTTTGGCATTGAGTTGGAGGAGGATGAGGAGGATGATGAAGAGCATCCGCTTTGGATACAGGGGTTGAAGGATGAACAACCGGAGCTTTATGCGGAACTTTTGGCGGAGGCGAGGGAGAAGGTGCCGAGTCCCAAGGTGCCTGATTCGGGAGAGAGTGAGTGAGATTTAGGATGAAGTGGTGAGATAGGCGTCTGATGTGTATAAACCTTTTCTAACAGAGGCTTGATAATCCGAACGGACCACCCCGAGAAATAATTTACACGAGCTTAAGGTTCGAATACTAATGCAAATCGCAAGATATACATAGGTTGTAGTATGAAGATGCTAGTTGTATAGTTGGTTTCGGCATAATAAAAAGATAAGAGGAAGAGAAACAGGAAAATATCAATACGTTTGTATCAAAAACACCTACAATTTAGTTATTCTCGAGGGGAAAAATTAAAAACATCGTATGTGAAATCGTATTCAAAGTTGCAGCATCACATCCAAAATGGACGAAGATTAAATATTGAATATGTAAATTTATTAGAAATCTATGTCTCTATTCCATTTCAAGTCGTGGTATCGTATGCATCCATCCATCCATCCATCCGTTCATTCGATCTCATCTAATAAAGAGAAGAGAGGAAAGCCAGCCAGGAAAATGCCAGTAAAAAGTGTGTATATACAGTAAGCAATAAGTTTCATCTATTAAGATGCTCATAATCCCATCCCAAACACCCCAAATCATCCTTCCCAAAGTATCGTTAAAGACGGTGGAAATCGTTTAGATGGTTTCCTTTTGCTCAACACTCATCACTTTATCTCCATCATAATGAACTTTTTCAACCACACCACCTGTAGCACCACCTACAAATTCAGCTGCAACGACATCCTTGACTCTCATGATATGTCTTCCGTGTCTAATCCAATGGAAAGTAACATATCCCAATACATAAATGAATCCAACCAATGGGACCACATACGAGATTCTAGTACCGGCAGAATCGGCAATGGCACCTTGAATAGGAGGGAAGACAGCTCCACCAGATACACCCATGACGAGGATACCTGCACCACGACGAGTATGACGACCAAGATTGGCAGTACCCATGGTGAAGAGAGTAGGATACATAGGAGCCTCGAAGAAGAAGAGAAGGATGAGGATAATCACAGCGCCATTTCCGTGCCATGCAGCTACAACGGCTGTGAAAGCGATAGCGAAGACGGAGTAGATGATCATGAGGAAATCAGCTTGGAAAATGGTTGCGAGAGCAGTGGCGATGAATCGACCAACGGTGAAAGTGATCAAAGCGTAGGAAAGCATGTTGGAAGCCTGGGAGGAAGAGTAAGATGCATTCTCGGTAGCGTAATTGATGAAGAATGATGCAACGGTGACTTGAGCACCAACATAGCAAAATTGAGCAATGAATGCAAAGATCATGTTGTATTGCTTATAGATTGGTCCTTGGCCAATTTCATGTCCAAACTCATCGAGGGCCAAGTTCTCAGTCTTAACGGTGCTGGATTCGAGCATTTCTTCGGAAACTTCAGGAAGTTTGGCGACGAGGAAGAGAACGGCGATGGCGACACCAGCGCATGCAACTGCCAGATAGACGAATTGAACATTGGTCAAGTTGTGAGCATTTTCGCCCGAGAAGAAGTATTTTCCGGCAATCAATGGACCGATGAATGAAGCAACTCCATTCCACGATTGACAGAATTGAAGACGAGCTGATGCGGATGCTGGGTCACCGATAACAACAGCATAGGAATTAGCGGCAGTTTCGAGAGTAGCAAGTCCACACGCGATGACCAATGTACAAGCACAGAAACCACCAAATGAGGCAATTCTGTTTTGGTATGTAGAGAAATGAGCGGTTGGCCTGGATTTCATGTTAGCTATGATTCGAATGGTACAACGTTGTGAATCAAGGCCAAAAACTTACCAAAACATAATGGCACCAAGAGAGTAAAGTGAAAGACCCATCAAGATAGTAATCTTATAACCCTTGCGTTTCATGACTTCGGCGGCAATAGGAGAGAAGAGAAGATAACCGCCACCGAAGTAAACGACTTGAAGACCGGTAGATTGAAGCTTGGTGATGTCGAGAACTGTTTGGAAATGCTTATTGAGAACATCGAGTAAACCATAAGAGAAACCCCATAGGAAGAAGAGGGAAATGACGAGGGAAAGTGGAAAGATGAGAGCTTTTCCACGGAGGAAACCCGTTGAAAGGGGTGTAGTGGAGATAGGAATTCCACCGGCCATTGTGAAGATATTGAAGGGGAGTGTTGTTGTTGTTGTGGTTGTTGTTATTGAGGTGGAGAGAATGGAGAGAATAAGAATGAAATTCTTCTATAGAGTGTAGAGAGAATCTGAAGTTCTTATTGTAGAGAGAGAGGATGAATTGATGCTGATGATGTTGTTGTTGATGATGTTGCATTTAGAAGCTGGGTTACTCCATCTTTATAGGAATTTCCAAAGTTGAGCTTCCCCAAACCCCAGTCTCCATTCAATTACCCCAGACCCATCGATAAACCCACTCATCCACCTCCAATCCACCTCCATCTCCCACCGGAGATATCCATCATTCGACTCTATCCTTCTTAACCCTAGACCTTGAATCATTTGATCCAATCAAGCAGTGTGAATCAATGTAATTGCATAAGGGTATCCACACTTTGGAAATACCAAATCATTCCAACGATATAAAAAGTCGGAGTGAATGTAATCTTACCTAGCTCGGTCTAGGTAAGATCCTTACTATTTTCTATACCATGGAATCAAACAAATCCCGTGCTCCCAGGATATCGGTAGATACCTAGACAGACAGATGTTTTGACCATCTAAGTTTCTCAAATACGACTAAGCTATATTCCTACTTTAGCACGCGATCCCGTCTCAAAAGAGAGGCTTGAATTGATTTGATTGGTTCTTTTGCCATTGAATTTTCTAGTTGAAGGGAGAGATACGTAGTCGAATCTTTTTAGTCGTTTTAGGACGCTCCGAAGATATGACCGAACAAGGAAAGTCCCGCAGTTGATCTATTGAAGAGGTGCGAAAGGCGCGAGAAAAAGCTGGGAAAATCTGGAGAAGCTAAGAGAACTAATGCAAATATAGAGAAGCTCAAGGAACTAAGGCGAATTGAGAAAAGCTTCATGTGGAAGCTTAACCATTTAGCATGATTTCCTCAGCACATTTACCCGGACCAATCCTTCCATTGGATCAGTTTCTTCTTCTCCATACTATCGTCTACATCGTACATGATCTTCCCAGTCTCATGGCCCTTGTCATCGGGGTTATTATGGATCTTGGAGGTATCGAGTTGTTGTACTAAGATACATTTCCAACCTCAAATGCTTCATTGATCAAAGGGGAAATATCCAGATTAGCATCTAGTCGTCAATGGTTTGAATGAGATCGAGGTCAAGTGACCATGAGCATGCATGTATCCACGTATGTGCATGAGAAGAAAGGGCTAAGCCTGTTATGTATTTCCCCATGGATTGCAATCTGGTGCGAGTGTGAGGGGCACGAGGGGCGATAATATCAAATTCCAAGATAGATCCACTTGTACACGGACTGAAGTTGGTGGAGAAGGCAGGGAAGGCAGGGAAGGCAGGGAAGACAGGGAAGACAGGAAAGACAAGGAAGAGAAAATGGCGCGGGGGATTTTCATGACCTAGTCGAAAGGAATCAACCAATAATCATTCATTTACACGATCAAAGATGTAATCAGCATCTTTCATTCTCATCTACTCGAATCTCTCCTCGTCTCTTCCAATCATTACCCCTCAACATTGAATCCTCGCTGAATTTCATGCTGAATCTCTTTCAGGACTCATGCATACCCGTACATATATTTTCTGCATTGCGATAACATGGGAAAAGGTAATTCTCTCACGGATCGATAGTGGAAAGACGGACATGCCGAAGAGAATGGGAGGAAATTTCTCTGATATTGCATCTGCATGGCATTTGAATATTGGAATATTGGAATCTAGACAACGCCCATGAGCAATCTGGTACGAATTTCCAGACCTTCTAGTCTGCTTCTAGTTCAATTCTAGCGCTATATTCTCCTTTTAGCGTGGAGTTAGTTTCATCTTCAAGCATCTTTTGACGCTAATCATGGCACTTCATCGGCAAACAAGATGCTTCAAATTTTATCAAGCCTTTCCTTACTCTCGCTGGCTAAACTTTAATTTTTTCTCCCTTCGCCCAAAACTCTCAGAACAAGCCTCACCAAGAACTAATCAAATCAAATTCTTCGCCGGCTATTGTTAATGCAATGACTAAAAGGCTTCTAGAAGCTTATCAAAACTTCAATATGGCTTGATGTGGTGCAACTTCCATCATGCCACAATCTTAATGTGGCTTGAAACTTCTTCAGGAGGCAAATACGATTGAGGAACATATGAAAGTGTTAGGCGACGAGATGTTTGAGGCTCTGTCCTATATCGGAACGTGATGGTTGGGATACACACTACAATTAGTGATTGTGGCTTGCTTCAAGTGGGTTATACATCATCATTGAAATGTCATCTCATCACATTAATTTTGTTTGTGGCCTTATCGCATTTATCTACGCCTGATGATACACCAATCTTCATGCTAGAGCAGATACTCACACTATCTTTTGAGCTTTCTCGCAAGTATCCACTTCCTAGCAACCTGGAACGAAGTCGAGACTCTTGTCCATCACTTCCCAGATCCACTTACCCCCAACCGCTCAATTTCCCCATATCCACTATTTACCCCCATCAATACATTCATGATACACTCCCTAAAGCTTCACCCCCTTTCATCTCCAGATGGAGAAGCGAGCGCACTCCACGAATCCACCTCCCTAGTGTGTGCTCACAGTATCCCACCTAGTCAAACACGCGGGACACTTGATCTGTGCTGGGGAGCGGGATTCCCATAATCCATAATAGGCCCGATTCCTCCAGACTCACCGTGTTTAGCTTTGGGGAAATATCCACGAAGTTGGCACAAAGTCTTAAGCCATCGGGGTGGATATTAGAGTTCAATAGATGAGAAAGAGCCGCTTCTAGTCTTGTATGGGAGTATTGCTCCGAGTTCGCTTCACTCAGCTCTATGGCTTTTTATCCAGAGGAAATAGTGGGACTTGATGAAAATTGCTTTCATGTTTTATGTTGAGAGATTTGATATCGTGTACTTTTTCCTTTTGATAAGTCCAGTGAATACGTTATATCGCACTCATCACCTTCTAGTGAAATTGAGTACAAGATTTTATGGCATCTTCATTTATTACTTTTCCAAAGAAAATACTGGCTTCCCACTTTCCTCGAAATCTCTCAATGTAGAGATGCATCATTGTTATCTTAAAATCAACAAACATTTACAAATCCTCTCTCAAATCAACAAGTAATAAGATCTAATCTATGATGGAGTCATGGAGGAACCTAGTAATATTCACCATATGTGAAATATGTCATTTTTGACTCTGCTTATTGTCTATTCATATGAAAATTCTCCAGTCTACGAATCCAGGATCAATATTCAGAGTCAAATCGCACGACCTATATTTCACACGGCATTCTTGTCTCAGGAATGATACCACAATTTCATCTCTCATTTGATCCAAGAATGCATAGAAGTTCTGTTTTTTACTTCTAACATCGTTATTTACGCTTGATATAAAACATAGAGCAGATGACAATGGGTCAACAGATCAGTCCAGATTCTAGCTGAGATTTTGAATCGAGGAGAGTTAACGATCATATAACTATATTTTTCCTGTCGCATACAACGTACGAAGGTTATCTCATCTCGTCTTTCCTCTCAATAACATTTCAAATGTCTGTGTATCGTCCATCCCTTTAGATTTCTTCATAAGGTCTTTACCTAGTTCAAGTCATATGGTGACTCTTCCAATACTGTACCTTTTCAATTACATTCACTGGTTGAGACTTGCTAAAATAGTTCCTGACAGTTCAATCCCGTCTTAATGGTGTGTCACTTACCATACAGCTTCGCGTTTGGTTTGAGAACATGTAGGATTATAATTTAATAAACTTGAGACGAGATCAAGATAGTAATTGCCACACAAACAGATATTGACTCTCACAACTCTTGAGATTTTTCAAGCGCACCAAAGTCTTACAATTAATTCCAACCGTTTCTATATATTGGGCGACTCTCCATAAAAGAGAGATGGAGAGAGACATCTCCCAATACGATATATCCATCTCACCTCTATGCACCATCCCCCCTTCTAATGAGGAGGTGAAAATACTAGGATCATTTCTCTACCTAAATATCTATCTAGATAGTCTTCTCGTTCCCATTCCTCCTCTAGAGAAGACTCGCGCTCAAGATTTTAAAATATCTTATACAATTTCACTACAGCTTTGTTTTTATCTTGGTAGGATACTAGGAAGATATAATATATTTATTGTTATATTAAATCCGAACACGAATATGTATTTACTTGTTCATCTATTTAGTTTTGATAGATATATGAAGAAACAAGTAAAAGCGTAATTTATAAGGATGTGTGCACATCAGTGTGAAATCATCTTTTTATATCCATTCTTAATTCCAATCTCAATCACATCATCACCTTTCTTTCTTTGTCTCTTTCTCTCTTTCTGAGTTATCCTTTCCATGTTCATACTCAAAACCGAATACATATCTTCCTACAGCTATCAACTAGGATATTACATTACTCCTAAGCATTCACTTTATATATAGATAAAGTTGCTCCCGTATTATCCATAGTAACTTTCTTTTGCTAACCTAGAACGCCAATCTTCATCCCCCTCTCGATAAGTATAATTTTTGTATTCCCTCTCAACTCAACTTATCTCTAAATCACAAACTCCTATCCCACTATATTCTCAATCAAAATAAGATTCAAACCCCTATCCCTCATTCCATTCAAGAAAAATCCTTCCTCGACCTCAAACCATACCTAGACACATTCCACCAGAACCATATGAACCTCCCTCTCTCTCCCGACGATTTCTCATCGGCTTACAGAACCTAAAAGTCCTCATAACCATCTCATAATCTTTTCCTCTCCTCCCTCTCCTCCTTTCTCCTAACATTACTTCCCAGCACGCCATACCACTCTCCTTCTTCCCTCCCTCCGCCTCTTCTCATCAATCCCTCCACGAAACTTTCGCCTCCACATATAAAGAAGAAAATGAAAATGAAAAAGAAAATGCATCTCGTATTCACATTTCATTTCTTCTTCTTTCCCTCCTTTTGATTTCCCTATATTCTTCTATTCTCCTCTTATATTCTCATATTCTTATTAGCCCCTCTCAAATTCTTATCCATCTCCTCTCATCCATCTCCTCTCATCCATCCCCCAAACCACACAAGCCCCACAAACCTCACACTTCAAATCCCAAACTCCAATTCACACTCCATATCCATATCCATATCCAAAATTCAAAGCCCCATTCCTCCCTCCCCTCCCCTCCCCCTTTCCTTTCCTCTCCTCTCCTCTCCTAATCCATCTCTATCTCCATCTCCATCTCCTTCATTCATTCATTCATTCACCATTTTTCATCCCACTTCCCCTCCCCATAAACCCTTGTATTTCCATACTCAAATCTAGGAATTATCTGTATCTTTATCTGTATCTTTAGATTTTGATTCTTTTGATTCTTTTCATCATCTCTAGTTGTTCATAACACACATATACACACATATTCTTGGTCGAAATCTAAATTCGTGATAAAGCAGCAGAGCAGAATAAAGCAGGCAGAGTATACTCACTCATCTCATCTCCCCTCTCCATCTCTCCCCTTTCTACCCCATATCTCCATTTCCCTCTAGCCCCATCTTATCTCACCTCGCCTCACCTCTCTTTTCAATTCCCCTTCCTCAATCCCTCAATCTACAAATTCTCTTCCATAACATTCATAAAAAACGTACTCAACCATCTAAAATTCAACTCTTCAACTTTCAATCCCATCCAACCATTCCCCAAACTCAATGCATAACCCAACTAATGAATTATAAGACTACAAAAAAGAAGCAAAGACTAAGAATTTCAACAAATTTAATTGGATTGATACACTCCGGAACTCTCGAGTATCAAAAAAGAAACACTCCCATTTCAGTGAAAGCCTCATAGATATTGTAATCTTACTACTCGTATAAACGTTCCTCTACACTAATCTATACCATCCATCCACCACCTCCCACTTCCCCTCCCCCTTGCTCCCACATCCACACCCTAAACCTTCAACAACAATTTCCCCATCGTCCCCCTCCCCTCAATATCCGTATGCGCTCTCCTCACATCCTCCAAAGGATAAATCTCATGAATTCTTACATTCAACTTATCCTTAATAATAAAATCAAAGAGTTCCGCCATGTACCTCTCGAATTCTTCACGGGTAGCTACATATCCGAAAAGTGTTGGACGAAGAACCTTTAGATTCTTTGCTGCGAGTTTGGAAATCGCAAAGGGGGGAACTGCTCCAGACTACAAATATCAGGGTTAGTGGAAATTCGAGAATTTAGGATTGGGGGGAATGGGTGATAAAACGGGATGAGAGAAATTAAAAAAACTTACAGCATTACCGAAACTAACCACTGTCCCCTTTCTTCTCACCACCTCCAAATCCCCATCAAAAGTATCCTTCCCCACACTATCAAAAGCCGCATGAACACCCTCTCCCCCCGTGATCTCAAGCACCCTCTTAACAATATCCTCCTCCTTATTATTAATCCCCACCGTCGCCCCATTCTCCTTTGCCAACTTCAATTTCTCCTCTGAACTCGCCGTCGCAATAACCTTCGCTCCCACCACTCTCAAAAGCTGACACAACCACAAACCTACTCCACCCGCAGCAGCATGAACCAAGATCCAATCATCGCGTTGCACATGGTACGCTTCCCGAATGAGGGTCAGGGCCGTGAGACCCTGAAGAATAGCTGCGGCCGCGATACCAGGAGCAAGTCCCGGGGGAACAGTGTGCACTTTTGCTGCGGGGACGACGGTGTATTCGGCGTAGGCAGAGGCACCCATGTAGACTACTCGATCGTTGGGTTTGAGATTGGTAGTTGTGGAGGGACCGAGAGAAACTACTGTGCCTTCTGCTTCGCGGCCGAGGATTTCGGGTTTGGGAGAGGGATAGAGACCGGTGCGGAAGTAGCTGGAGGGGAAGAGGTTAGCGGATGAGTTTTTGAATACTTATTCAAGGGCGAATTGTATTGGATATTGGATATACTGTGCGACGAGTATATTCATCCCTCCATCCATCCCGTTCCGACGCATCCCAACCACACCACACCGAACCACACCACACCCCCAAAAGAAACATAAATATAAACACAAAAAGAGAAGAAAAGAAAGAACATACGTATCAATATAATTAACCCCCACAAACTCATTCTTCACCAACACCTCTCCCTCCCCGGGTACCGGCACCTCTACATCCGTTCTATAATCCAGTACCTCCACACCCCCCGTCTTCTCAATCACCACACCTTTCATTTTCTGCGGAACTTCAGACATATTTCTTCTCTGCACGTCTTGCTTTCCAAATTTCTTACTCTCAAACCCAGAAGCGACGAATGGTCTACTAATCCTATGAAAGTTGAACGAGGAGTGCGAGGATGCGAATCGTGTGAACAGGAGGGGTAATGTTGAACGTGGGGCTTGTAAGGTTAAGGTGATATTCGTGTGAGCAACAGTTATGCCCTTGAAACTTCTGCGAACGGGTGAAGATTTGAGAATTCGTGTAGACATGGAAAGGATCAGGATAAGTAGAGAGATAATCAGAAACAATTGAGATCTTATAAGTTATAAGGTCCAACAACCCCCAACATTCGGAAGTATAGATTCGTCATATTATACAGATGCTTAACAATCAGTTTTGTATTTCGGGTAGCTGTAGCTAGGTACCCCTGGAAGTAAGGAAAGAGAGAGAAAGAACCCCGCACTGGCGTGATTGAGTTTTTGATATATTGAAGTGTATGTAAGCTGAGGTAATCTTGTTAAAAATATATAGAATAGGTTATTTATTGTGTTGTAAAATTCCCAAGAGAAAAATAAATTCCTAATAAACCATTAAATCATAGTAAACTATCACGGAGTAGGTAAGCATTGTAAGAACCAAACCCTAAAACCTATCCAAGTATCTCTGGTCAAAAACAAGAAAATGAAGAGATACCTAGGTAGATACCTACTTAAATCCACTCCCCATCTTTTCCAAGATACCCAGTAATCCCTCCCCTCCCTTCTCCTCTCCTAATTCCATCCCTCATACCCATTCCCACCTATTCCCACCCATCTCCCAATACGCTCTCGAAGACCCTCTCCTCTTCTCCTCTTCTCCACTCACCAATCACTTCCCTAAAACTCATACGATCCGTAGATCCATACAGTCCGTACAATCCATACAATCACCACCCTGTCACCTAGTTCCCAGCGAGCCTCTCTTTCTCTTTCCCACTAATCAGCTTCTAGTCCAATCCAAGCACTCACTATACAAGCTCCCGGTGAGCTTATTCCACACTACTTTACTGAATCGCACTACTCTACTAGCTCCCGCAACCCTATGTCTGAGCTCGTTACTGACATTCTACGTATGGGATAATGTCTGTTTCTATGAACCCCATTCAATCATCACACTTGATCATTCGTTCACTTACTTTCGAGATAAATACTACGACTGCACACATATCTACACACACATCAACCCGCTCCAATAAGACGTAGATCGTGGGAAAATTGCTTCTAATTTTATTCTCTAGTTGGTCGTGAATGAACTTATTTGATATCTATAACTAATATAACCTCATGTAAATGCTCAAAATTAATCATGATAGCCCCCTCAAACTGCAAAAACTGTGCTCAATAGGCCCTGCCCACACTAATTGTTCTTCTTCAAACTCTCCTTATAATCACTCAAAAGATTCTCAGGGAAATCTTGACGATATCCTTGTGGGTTATTACTAACCCATTTCCACAAATGCTCACAAGCATCTTCTAATGTCAACTCAGTCTTCCACTTCAATTCCTCATTCGCGCGGGTAGGATTGGCAGTCAAATCTAGAACATCACCTGCTCGGCGTTCAACTACTTGATATGGAAGGTCGCGTCCTACAACATGACTGAATGCTTTGACCATTTCGAAGACGGTAGATCCACGACCAGATCCCAAGTTCCATGCGCGCACACCTGGTTGTTGTTCGCGAAGGTGATTTAGAGCGGCGAGATGACCCTTTGCCAAATCGACAACGTGGATATAATCGCGAATGGCGGTACCGTCCCGAGAAGTATAGTCTAGAGAGAAAATTTTGTTAGCACTTGCTCAATCTGGAGGAGGGCCGAACCGAGGCTGGAGAGTATAGAGTGGGAGGGTGGAGAATTGTAGTGGGGGGCGGAGAAGGCTGGAGATTGCTTACCATCACCAAATACGAGCAACTTTTCTCGCTTTCCAGTAGCAACCTGGCCCAACAATGGCAAGAGGTTGAATGGGACACCTAGCGGATCTTCGCCCATAATACCACTTGGGTGAGCACCAGCGGGGTTGAAGTATCTCAGTAATGCACCATTCCATTGCTCGTATTTCTCTCCCTTCTTCTTCAAATTATTTCTTTGCGCATTGACATGATCAGTGATGACATCTTCAATCGTGCTCTTGGTACGTCCGTATGGGTTTGTGGGTCCAATTGGGCAATGTTCTGGAATCGGAATCATATTTGGAACTCGAGTCGCATCACCATAGACGGTGGCAGATGAGGAGAAGACGATGTTGGTGACATCATATTTGCTCATGCATCTCAAAAGAGAGATTGTTCCACCAACGTTAACGCGGTAGTATTCGAGTGGGATTTCGGACGATTCTCCAACTGCCTGTCGCACAAGAGTTGGTTAGTTTCGTGATGTTGGTCATGCGATATAGAATCTACCCACCTTTAAAGCAGCAAAGTGAATGACACTGTCAATCTTTGGATGAGCAGCAAAGACCTTCTCTAACTCTGCCTCATCTGTAATATCGACTTGGTAGAAATCTGGTCGCTTGCCGCATAATGTTTCAATGCGATCCAATGCGACAACGGAAGAATTGTATAAGCTATCAACAATCACAACATGATAGCCATGTTCAAGTAAGGCCAAAGTTGTAAAAGAACCGATGTATCCAGTACCTCTATGAAAAGAAGCCAATCAGTATGTAGTTCATCGTTGGTGGTTGGATAATGATCGATTAATGGTTGTATGGCGGGGTTAAATTTCGACATTTCCCCAGTTTCTCCAACAATTCGTCTGGACTCGATCGACCATTTGAAGATTTTGGAATTTGAAGTATTATAGAAAGACAACTTACCCGGTGATTAAGACTGTTCCAACTGACATGATTGCTGTGTGAAATTGAATTATTCTTTGGATTTTAGTCAGAAAAGTTGGAAGAGAGTTATGTTATTGTTAATAGCAAACAGCGAGAGAGAGGAATAATAAATTAAATGTAAGATTCTCGGTCATCGGGGGGCCTGCAGATCGATGGTGGGGCAACATTCGAAACTGCTGGATGTGCCAGGGATTAACGAGGATTGCCTCATAAAATTTAAGTTGCTAATAGATTGTTGATATATTGTTGATACATGGAAAATGAAGCAGCGGCTACTTGAGTAATGATAGTCGTGTTTAATTTGCGGATGAAGACAGGACAGGACAGAGGGAAGAAAAGGAGGGATGCATGGAATTATATTGATATTGATATTGATATTGGTATTGGTATTGGTATTGAGCAACAGGAACACTCACAGGAACACGCATAATAGCAACCACAGTAGCAACTACAGTAGCAACAGCTGGCCAGCAGCTTCATGGAATAACAGGGCGTGTTACGACACGGAGCAGAAGCATAGCATGTGGTTAGAATAGGAACGGAGTACGAGAACATGCTCAAAGTACCAGGTTGGTTTCCACTCCTCATACCGCCGCCACAGATTTAATTTCCATTATCCGCTCGAATGAAAAACGTCGTAGCAGAAGACTTTACGAGGACGCCGCTATTAATTGAGTCATCCATACGAGTAACAACTAGCTCAAGAGGACCCGCGGGGATAGTGTTGCCGTCAACGGGTGATACCTAGGAGCAGGACTAGCAATATACTGGATCCTTGATTGTCGTCTGAGGCAGGACAACAGTGGGAGGAAGGCAACATGAGTGACAGATGCCAATGCCAATGTCATTCATTAACTTTCGACTATCCGGTACATTTAGCCCAACATCTATTTATGGAAGAGAGGAAAGAAAATATCCCATCTGAAGTTTGGAACTAATGATTCAAAATTGGCTGACGTTATCGAAGTGTTTTAAACTTTGATCTCGACTTTTCATGAAACCAGCGTACGCCAATGCTATGGAGTAAGGGTGGAACAATGGAGAAATGAGATGAGCCCACTACTGTTGATCTTCTGGCTTGTTCTTTGAACTTTGAAGTTCGTCATTTCATTTTGATTGGACTTTATCTATGAGACTGTGGCTCTGTGGCTCCGTGGCTCCGTGGCTGGTGACATCGAATCACATGCATGAAGTAGCGCTTACATAATTCCAACTATTCTGCCTCCACGGCAGTGGCCCTCGGAGAGCCAGCGGAGCGTCACTTTAATTTAATCACCTTGAAGTTATTGAGACGCTGATGTTGATTGATATATCGTGATGCCAAAAGAAACCATATAAGTCATGGAGTACAAACAACGTGGAAGACTTCACCTATGAAAGTTCTAGGAGATGGCTTGCAGATAATGAGCATCTCGCAGGGAATCAATCAAAGTATTCGATTCCATACGGTCTTCTTCCATCCCATCATACAATATGGTCTTTTCAGATCTACTCTTCTACCGTCGGGATCTACATATTCTCGACTCGTCACTCTTTATATCAAGCTATACCAGTATCTTCTTCAACCCCATCGTTTTTGTGTCCTTGACCGATAGCTCAAAGACTCTTGCTAATATTCCTTTGTGATTCTTGGTTAAAGCTCCACCAGTTGCTGCGTCATTCTTGTACTCGCCCATATCCTTCGACTTTTCCTTTGTCTGTTTTGACGTATGTTTTCTAGACCTTTGTTTCTGACTGATACCACAAGATAATTACCCCTCTCCAGAAAAAAAGACGGGGAGGGATAGAGTTCCCAACTGAGCATTCAAAATGCCAGCTCTTTGTCGACAAGCTTGATCAAAGCACCCAATCAAATGTCGACGAAATCTAAGCTGCTTATTTTGCAGTAGTTGCTTTTAATGATGCTTTTTTTTCGCTTCCGTCGCATTCTGATTTCAATCGTTACCTTTTCATATATCTACATTGGCTCTTGACAAATTATCCCAACGTTTGTCAAAATTTATCTCTAAACCTCAACATGCAATGCTCAAATCAAAACGTCAACGCGGTGGATGCATCCTCCCAAGCACAACCCATTCTTTTAAGTCAAAAAGAGCGTGTTTCAGAGGTGGTAGATTTAAGAAAATTTCTTGAATCGATAGCTCACATGAGAAGTAATGAAGAGAAAACCACTTACTGCTTTGAAACCCTTGAGGCATTAGATGCCAACAAAGATGATATATTTAAATACATGAATACTGTCTTTAAAATACTTAAAAGCAACCCAGCTTGGTGGAAGGATAAATACACTGAAGAGACCCTCGACAATCAACTTCTGTACATTCGCCTAGGGATAGAGCAGAACATACCTCGGATTCGCAAGCGTCGCATAGAAAGAATAAATTACATAAAAGCTAGATGGTCGAAATACGAAGGAGTATGCTCTTGGGTGGAGGATTCATCACAAACAAGTAATTTTCTTTTTCATTTGGCAAGGGTAGCAAAGAAGTTTCCCAATTACCCGGATGCTCTACATAGATTAAATGATGCTTTAATTCAACGCCTTTTAACATCTAAAAAGGGATCAAGGAATGGAAAACAATTGCAAGGATCAGATTGTGAGAGGGCGATAAACATTGAAGGGGCCCGGAGACACCCTAGATCAATGTATGAAAATCTAAAATTGAGTAGGAATCTATCAACAGGGTTATATAGCGATATGATTGAAGTCCACTATCAAGATGACTCAATAAACATCTCTGCCAATATTCTTGATGGGACAACTCTGTTGGAGAAAAATGGTTTGTACGTACAACCAGATACATCACATATTGAAGGTGCATCAGAGCCACTCTATATTCAAGGGATGAACGAAACTGGACCTATTAGCATTGACACCAGACTCAATGACTCTTCTCGAGAATTATCGAGATACACTAGATTTGATGCGGAAGCGGGTGAGCTTTCACCTTCTATTGATACTGACTCGGATGAGTCTATGATATCAAACTTTTCCGACACAGCTCACCAGCCCACTTCCTGTCAATGCACGGTATCCTTTCATCTAAAGATTGATACCCTATACTGGACGCATAAATGGCGTCGTATGCCACAAAATGTTCTCAACGATGTTATGGTTATGCTCAATGTTACCATCAGAAACCTAACGCGAGTTTGTTCAAGGCACCAACGGAAGATAGCTGTTCTGTCTGGCCTCAAAGTCAAATACTGTAAACAGGCCGAGTTAAACGATAGAATGAAAGCTTTAAATACGGCACGTCTCAATGGTGAAGATGCTGTAAAGGCACTTAAGATCGGCGAGGCGAGTGGTTGGTTTTCAAATTTACATAGAGTACAACAAGAGTGTGATGCTTTGGGACATTATAAATTTGCTAAGCAGGCAATTTGGCCTCCGAGGACCATTCAAGAACGACTTTTCGACGAGAATTTCCTGAAAAGAACGCTTTCATTTTTATTATCGTCGGATGTTACAAGAGAGGACAGTTGGGATTCTGATGCTGCTATTCGCGCCTGGGACGAGAAGGGATCCGTGAATATCCCAATATTCAAATGGTGGTGGGTGGCAAATGATGGAGAAGTAGCTCGCGTTGTAGATGAAGATCTGGAGATGTATAAACATCACACTCGACAAGATTTTCATGAAAATGAAAACAAAGGCTGGCTCCCAACAGCTTTTCATTCTATAGCACAACAGCTAGTATCACAAGATCCGGTACATTACGCCACTTACATAGCCTTAAGACCGGATCATTGGACGAGCTTATTGTCATATCCTAGTTATGCAAATTACTCCGAGTTTGATGAAGATCACCCTACAACAGGTGGCTTCGAACACATTGATCAAAATGTGAACAAGCTTTTGAAAGGGGAATTTAACATAAATGCTCAAGTCCAAGGCTCTGTGAGTCTCGATGATGAAGCTCCTCTAAACAGTACTAAGATCGTCCCTGGCTTTCACAAACCCGGGGTCCTCGCAAACTGGTGGGCAGGAATACCTGAAGACCACAAAAAAAGCGGTGCTGTAACACGCATCCCAACTATATCGACCCCGCGACTCAACTGGGAAACGGTACCTTGTCTCCACGGGGAAGCGCGCTTCACCATGCCCCAAATACCCCATGGTGCTCAACCTCGCTATCCCGATATGCCCAAACGCCGCACCATTCTCCCCTGGATGTCCCGTGTTGCGGAAGATCACACGACGCTTCCGAATACGGATCTTGGGGCGGGGACAGTACAAGATGTTACGTTGGCGCGAATAGCGTGCATGCCGCCGAAAGCGACGCCGAGCGGGAAACCGGTTTTTAATTCGCAAATTCCGTATAGGTTTCCGGGGTGTGTGAGATTGGATTCGTTGGGGGCATTGTCGGATGCACTATTGGGATTGAGAAGGTGGGATGCGCCGGAGGTGGTGGAGGAGCAGGAGATTCTTTTTGGGGAGGATAGGGGGAGGGCGAGGGAGTTCATTGAGGGGTGGAGGGAGAATGCTACGAGGGCTGCGAAGAAAGCGTTTGAGATTGGGAAGAAGACAGAAATGCGAGTCTTTGGATCGGATTCTTATTGGGATGATGAGTAGGTTGCTGTATGTATATAGTGCTGGAAGGAAAGGAAGAGGATATGTCATGGGGAAAATCTTATGATATAATCCTGGTAGTAGCAGTAAGTAGTCTGTCTTTGGCTTCTGTATAGTTACACTGGCTCAACGATTCCTGACATGCAGTTTCATCGTTAGAGGTACCTAGTGATGAAATGATATTGAAGTGCCAATATCAATTGTATTGCATTCATAGTAGTAATCAAATCCATCTTAATTATGGTGATTGAAATTAACAAGGTGGATTTGAATACTTGTTTACATGTACTCGGGAAGCTCTTGTATAATGAATTGACTTATAGCTACAAAATCAAATTCCCTACCATTCAGCATATCTTTATTTTGTAATTTAATGAACATTGATGCTGAAATAATCCCAATTGAAAATGTATTACATATTGTACTTATTCACACCGGATATCGAATTGCTGTACGAGCCTACAGGTACTTGCGAGCTTGCGTATAAGCACTTGTATGAAGTGTTTGTGGCTGATCTGATCTGATACTGCAGATTGAATTAATCCCAGCGTCATGGTCACGTGGCTGTCAAACCGTCTGAAGTAATGAGGCATTAAGCTTGCAGATTTGGCTAACTGATTGACTGATTGCTTTGTTCCATAATCTTCATAGAACAAAGAATCAACACCGAGGAATGGGGAAAAGAGAACACAAATAATCAAAGAAAAAAACATCCTTTGTATTCTAAATATTTCATTTTAATTGACTGAATTCAATCATTACTTTGTACTCGATCAAGAAAAAAAAGGTCTTATTCAATTTCCTAGCGAGAAACTCCGTTTGCATCATCAACTTAAATGGCCTTTGAAGCTATTGTGTCGTTCAATGTGTTCCGCGATATCGTGAACTCCAATATATCAACACGCGCCAAAGAATACAATCAACCATAATAATTACTGCGCATGCGATTCAAATGCTTCACGAGATACTTTATTGATCTTGCTTCTTACTGAGACGCGTAGACGAAGAAAATACCACCGTGTTTTGTGCGAAAAAGTGAATCTGCGCTTTCATTGTTCTTATTCTCGAGATTTATCCGAATAGCTTCACAAGAGCTACGGGCTTGCGGGATCAAGAAGCAACAGTACATCTCAAGTCTTCTCTCAGTATATCTCCTTACTCTTTGCTTCTTGCTTTCTTCTAGAATCCGCAAGACGAGAATATTTGAAGTGCATATTGCGCATCACGATAGCTTCAAAGGTAGGCACTTTGCTGTTCCCTCTCATTTCTTCCAGATAAAACAGCTGCGTGTATTGGTTTGGCTTACTTATATTGACTTTATCGCTGGAAAATCTGATCGATCCTTACTAATTCAGACACCTGCAGATTTCAATTTCAATCTCAAGCTACTCGAATACTCTCAATCGTCTCACGATATCGCTGCTAAGATAGCAAGGTTACAACAAATTAATAAATAATGTCTACAAGACGTACTACTCGAGCTGGTAGCCGCACTGCTACTAGTGTTTCCGGATCTAATGCTGTTGGTCCTGAAGACATACCAGCAGCTCGAACACCAGGTAGAGGACGTCCTAGGAAATCAGCTAGCTCAGCAATTAGTTCTGAGCGCGGCGCTGGTCCTCCTCCCGTGGCAGCTTCTACAAGTACTGCGTACGGTACAAATACACTGGCACTCCCAAATTATGGTCCAAGAGCGGCTCCATTGGCCAACGATATCTCTTCTGTCATTGAAGGTCTTTTAGAGCCAGAATCTTCTAGCAAGGGAACCAAGCCTAGAGCAAATTCTCCCGAGGAACCAATTCCTGATGGTAAGTCCACCCAATTCGATTTTTTAATCGGATTTTTGGCTAATTTTATAAGTTGATGCTCGTCCTGCCAAACCAGTTCCTTATGCTCCTGCTCACATCCCTTCTATGCGCTCGAGGACTGGACCTGTTAAACGACGACTTCCTCCAAGCGCCAATCGAAATTTCCAGAATGAAAGCCAATTGTACGACAATGCTAGCATTATGTCTGATTCATACCAACAACAAGACTACGGTTTTCATATCTCGTCCCCTTGGATGAAGACGAGCTAAACCGACGTACTGCATTACGAGATATCATGGAAGAACAACAATACATGCGGGGTGGTGCTCGAGATGGGCCAATATTAGAGCTTAGGGATGGAACTGTTGTTGATGTCGGACAGGGTCTGAGATGGCCATTCAGGTTGTAAGTAAAATTTGATATTGCTATTTCTGTGATCAAACTAACTATCTATAGTTTTGCAAGGCTTACAAAGGGCCTCTTCAATCTTTTTGGCGATATTACCAAGTCTTTAATACCGTTATTTCTTCTTGGCCTCATTGCCTTCATTGCATGGACTATCTTTTTGAATAGTGGCGAGCCTAGCCTGCATTGGTATGGCACAGATATGTCGTCGAACATTGGACAGTTCATCCCATCGCAAATTAAACATCCCACTAGAATATTCGCTCCAGGGGACCTTAAGGAAGTCTACCGCCGTCTGGATGCTGCGGAAGCTGATATAACGTTCCTCAAGCATCGTTCTTCAATTGACAAAAATGCTCTGGAAGAAATCCAGAAATTGCTTCCGGATTTCCTTGTTCTTGAAAAGGACCATGCTGGGAAACCAGCTCTTCCAGCAAAACTTTGGCAAGCTATGCGAGACAAGATTCGAAGTGATCCATCTCTTATTCCGGAGCCTGTCTATGTTACTTCCGATGCTTCTCCCGATGGTCCTTCGACCTCTCCCTCCCCATCTGATACTCGCAGTGCTGAAGGCTTCAATGCCAAGCACTTTGATCGATATCTTGAAAGTAATAGACTTAAGATTCAGGGCTGGACTGGCTCTGAATTTCACGCTCTTCACCAAGCTCGAATACAACAACTTATCAAAGATGGTAAGATTGCCTCGAGAGATGATGTCATCGAATTGATCAAGAAGGAATGGAAAGATAAGACAGCAGAGGTTAAGTTGGAGCTTCAAAAATACATTGCAGATTTGGAAGACAAAGTCACAAATCTTGGAAAGAAAGCTCTCACCGCTGGGCAAGTAAGAGCAATTGCTAGAGAAGTTAGCTTAGCTCAGATCGAAGCTATTTCAGACGCAAATGTCAACCAAAGGGCCGATCAACCCCTTCGACGTATGGACCATTTCGCCAAACGATCCCATTCTGCTGTCATTCCTCGTCTCACCTCGCCTTCTTACCGTTTTCCACACATGGACTTTGGATTTGTTCACAGAAGTATTGCTTTGATCTTCAATCAACCCATTCCCCTCCCGAATCCCGCCGATACAGCTCTCACCGCATGGGATGAAATTGGCGATTGTTGGTGCTCACCACAACAAAATGGTAACGGCCCTACACTTGGTGTCGTAACGGCTAATCATATCTGGCCTGACCAAGTCGTTGTGGAACACTTCCCTCAATCCGGTTATGCCAATTCGGGTCTCTCACCTCTCGCAGCACCAAGCCACATGGAACTTCTGGTCTATCTCCCTCACACCCCTACATTCGCGAAAGTCAAAGTGCGCTCTGATGAAATCTTCCCGGAAGCAAATTACGATGATCTTGAATCGGGCTGGGTAAAGCTGGGCGATTGGACATACGATGCTTATGGTGCAAGCACTCAAGCTTTTCCGCTACAAGTAGATCTTAGGGATTTTGTTACGGAATCGGATGATAACATCAAGAACGATACGTCTGCTAGTAATAAATTCTTAATCAGAAGTAAGGGGAATCATGGCAATGGTAAGGTGCCTTATACTTGTCTTTATAGACTTAGGTTACATGGAGATGTGAGGCCAAATGAAAATATTCTTTACACGGGGATTAGTGAAGATTGAGGTGGGAGATGTATAAATTCATCGGGCGTTTTTTTCCTTTATCGAATTTGATTTGCTTTTGTTTGGCGAGGGGTTTACCTTGCTTGGGAAGGGGTGTATATGGTATGGTGCAAAATGGGAATGGATGGGATGGCACTGGACTGGAAAGGGAAGGGAAATCTTACTTACCGCGCGATCACTTATATCATGAACAAAGCTGGATTGCACGGACATGGAGTGGGATTTTGGGCACATTTGGATGGGGGTTGGCGTGTGAGGATACATACATACCCTTCGTTTAGAGTGCGCACACACTATACTTACTATACATGGAACTCCGTACCTGTCTGTGTGTTTGCTATGCAGGCAGTTGTAACTCGGGGTTGGTAATGAAGAAGGAAATATGTATTTTTTGGAATTCTTTGGGTGGTTTCTTGTGTGATGTGATATGATGTATATGTGATTTGTATATGATATGCAAGTGTTTAACTGTACTACTGGTCATCTAAGATGATGAAACGCATCTGATGCTTCTTCCTTCGAGAAGTATGGAGATAAAGCAGAGGGGAACTACACATGACCCCGAAGCAAATGCACATCCATGTCCACAACCACATTCACATTCATACATCTAGAACCAACTCATCAATAATATATAAAACATGTAAAGATTCGGTGCTCTATACTGTACTGTACATTATGCCGCCCTGTTCAAGATGTGTGTCCTGTATTCTCTTGGATCTTCTTCATGAAATGAAGACGCTGTCGTCTCTAGTGGTATCATGCATATGCATCATCGTTCCTCTTCTTTCTTTCTTTCTCTCTTTCTTTCTTTCCCGTATGCCATATATTTCCTCTCTATTTAGTGTCCGAGTATTCCCCCTACCCCCGGTGATTCTTCTTCTTACGCGTTTTTAGCATTTCCCTTTTCCCTTTTCACGTCCTCCCATACCCCACACCTAATAATCCCTCCCCAGCCTCTCCTCCTCGTCCTCCACCAATTCATACGCAGGCCGGAATTTTACTTCTCCTTCTCCTTCTCCCTTGCTGTCCTCGGCGACTAGTACTGGGTTCGGATGCGTATCGGTTGTGCCTCCTAGTGAGGTGTAGCCTTGATCGTAGAGCGGACAGTAGGGGATATTGAGGTGGCGGATGAACTGTGAGGGTTATGTCAGAATTTTGTCGTGAATATTTTCTGGTTTCTCGAATTCCACACCCTAGAGTATGTCCCTGGAAGAGAGCAAAAGAAAGTGACGCAAGCAAGGAACAGGCAGGGAAACCCCAAGAACGAATAGTAATAAGAATGACACACTCACCCCCCATATCTCCCGATAATGCCAATCAATCACCGGATGCACCCTCATAAACCGCGGCCATCCCCCATCCGTCAAATCAAAATGCGTCAGATCCGCACCATGCGGATCTGTCCTTCTGGTGCCCACCAAAATCGCCTTCACAACTGGGTGATCGTGTAAGTATTGCGTGAATGCTTCTTTCATCGGTGATGCGTAGCGCGAGAGTTGTAGATGGTAGTGTGCGGAAGACGAGGCGACAAAGGTGTCAACTTCGGGGAAGGGATGCGGAGAGAGGATGTAGACGGAGGGGAGAGCGAGGGGGAGGGGTTTAGGTTTGGGATTCGAAGATGAGGATGAGGATGAGGATGAAAAAGAGGATTGGTGATTGGAGAGCGCGGCGAGGAGGAGAATGAGTAGGACGAGACAATCTTTTCCGCCGTTGTAGGAAAATGATATTTCTTCTAGACTATGAGGATTCTCACATGTTAGCATAGTTTCAATGGGTACTTAATACTCAATTCCATGCCTCGCACACAATCGCAGAATCGCCTCACAGAAAACCTTACCTATACCTCTCCAAACTTTCCCTAATAACCCCCAGCGCAATCCTCGTCTGTTCCTGCACCCCCCTCAAAACCTCCTCCTCCTCTCCAAACTGTTCTTCCAGAAACCCATTTACTTTCCCCGCCACCTCATCGCATCTCTCTAGCAGATTGCCCACTTGATCTATGTCCCCATCCCCATCCCCATTCCCATTCCCATTCCCATCCTCATCCGCCCTCTCTCCCACCCCCAAATTCGCAGCATTTGTATCCGTATCCGGGTCCCCTCTCTCAGCGCAAGCAGCCTGCCATTGCTTTTCAATATGATTCTCATCTCTGTTCTGCATATCGCGTAATCCTCTCATATCATTATCTATCCTAGTAACCCATCTATCTCTCAATCAATAACTCTCCCGGGCATAAAGAATAATTAAAAGCAAAGCACGAAAGAAAGAAAAAGAAGTTCTGTACAACTTGAGGGTGGGAGGGTTCCCGCGCCGTCGGATTACCTCCGAGTCGAATTGGCTTCGGGGCTCCATAAAAATGTGAGGTAAGCTTCACATGGGCCGACGAACCAATCGTGGTGGCATGAGCTGTGATTACTTGTTGGAATGTGGGGGTTAGGTTGGAGGGGTAGTTTTAGCCAAGATTCGGTGAGATGGGTTATGGATTAGGGGTCTTGATTTGCGATACAATGAATATGTAAATATTTGACAAGGACAAACAATAGGACAAGAAATTCAAAAAGGGTATATAAAGATTCAATTCCGATCTGATTATCAACGCTATTTCTACATTTTATGTTACTCCTACTCCTGATGCCAAAATTAATTAAGAAGACCAGCAGCCAAAGCCTCCAAATCTTCCAATGTCTCGGGTTCATCCGCAGCTTCAATAACACGACTCTTTCTCTTAGCAACCTTTCTCTCGTCATCTGAATCATCCTCGAACCATTTCTTAGGTCTCTTTGCAGGTCTCGCCGTGCTATCTTCATCCTCTTCATCTTCTGGTAGAGGCAAAGATCTAAGGAGAGCCATAGGATCTTCATCATCTCCACCACCAACCAGTTCAGGTGCCTCATCGTCATCCTCCAATGCTGCTTCTCTTGCTTTACGTTTCTCACGCTTCTCCCGTTTCTTATCCTTTGCAGTTTGTTTATCAAGAAGATCTGCTTGGCGAACTCTTTCGGCTTCTTCTGCCAAGAATTTAGCTCGTTGCTCCTCTGCTGGACCTCTGGCGCGGAAATCTTCTTCGTCTTCCAATTCGTAAACTTGATGAGGATTGCCTTCTTCATCGAATACCAATTTGGTTCCTCTATCTTTGAGCTTAAGAAGCTTCTTCTTGGATTTCAGAAGTTTCTCTTTTCGTTTCGAGTCTATCACAATAGGGTCCTTGCTAATACCCTCGATAACCTTTCCTAATGGCCCGGTCGCAGCAACATCTTCATCATCATTGTCGTCGGAACTATCGTTATTACCCACGGGTATTACTCTCTTAACCGACAAGAAGTCATTGTCCTCATCAGCATCCGCGGTACCATCTACATCCTTCATAGGGGTATCATCTGCGATCATCTTGGAGTAATGACCAGACAAAACATCCTGGTTACGGCGCTCAAACATTCTATCGTATTTCGTTCGGACTTCTTCTTTCTTTTTAGGTTTCTTCTCGGTTTCACTGTCATCGTCGCTAGACTCAATGGCACCTCTTGGAGCATTTTTGACATTCTTTGCATCGTTTCCTTTCTGGAATTTAATCTTTGGCGCACCGGGAAGACCCATACTCGAAGCAAAACCCTCCAAATCAACCTCATTGATATTGAATATCTCCTTGTCTTTTTGTAAGAAGATGGATTTGGCATAACTGACAAATGCTTTCTGGCCTAGATATTTCAACTCAGGGTCCTGGAAACACATATTTTGTAATTGATTTTTGATGTCTTGTGTCTTATTGGGTCGGATATTAATCTTTTGTATCGGCACTTTCTTATGTTCCAATCGTTTCAGCATGCCCTCTTCCTCAGATGGATCTAGAAACATGACTGCCCGGCCTATTTTTCCATAACGTGCAGTTCGGCCAACTCTGTGAATATAGGTATCAGCATCCTCAGGGCAATCTAATTGAATCACCCAATCGACTGCAGGAAAGTCAAGACCTCTTGCAACAACATCTGTAGCAAATATACAAGAGTTTTTCGATGAAGAGAACTTTGAAGTAATGTCAAGCCTTGCGGTTTGCTTTTGCCTACCGTGGAGATGAAGCAATGGGATACCAGGTTGTAAATGCCTTAAACTTTCGTAGACAAAACGCACTTGCTTGCCTGAAGACATAAATACTATTATTTTAGCCTTTAGATTGGCTCGAATGAAGCCAAACAGCGTATTGAGCTTTGCAGGCAAAGGCACCACGCAGTAATGTTGTTGTAATGTTGCGGGGGTGGCTGAGGATGCAGCTTCATGTACTGCGACATATTCGGGTTCCTTCAAACTCAATCTTGCTAGATCCGACACTTTCTTCGTTTGTGTGGCACTAAATAGCATGGTTTGCCTTTGTTTCGGTAAATGTTCCAGTATAGCGTCGACAGATGTTTGAAATCCCATATCCATGATTCGATCCGCCTCATCTAGAACCAACATTTGCAGGTTATCAACATCAAATGCCGCCGTTTGGTCCATATGTTGTAACATGCGTCCAGGTGTACACACAAGTATATTCATCCTCCCTAAACGTTCCCTCTCCTCTTGCAGACTTCGACCTCCAATGATCAATCCTGCCGAGAAGGTGTGATAGCGTCCGATTTTTCGCAAAACCTCGAAGATTTGTATGGCTAATTCACGAGTTGGAGATATAATGAGAGCACCGAGGCCATCTAATTCGGTCCATTTCTGCCTGTAAAGATTCTCCAATACTGGTACTAAAAATGCAAGAGTCTTTCCACTACCAGTCTTCGCAGCGCCCAGAATATCTTTTCCCTTGAGCGCAAGAGGTACAGCTTTCGATTGAACGTCCGTCAAAGTTTTGAAATGAGATGCTTCGAGTCCAGATGATGTCGGTTCAGATAGGGGAAGTTCAGAGAAGCTTTTGATTTCTGCTTTCGCATCCTGGGAGAGTCAGTAAATGTCGATAAGGAAGGTATTGCTGCACTTACAAGCTCATCAACTGATTTCTGAAGCTTTTCATGATCTTCTATATCTCTTTTCCTTTTCAATGTTTTCGCATCATTTTTACCTTTGCTAACGTTCTTGGACTTGCGCCCGGAAGCTGGTGGTGCCATGATTCTCAAATATTTATGTACAATATCAATTGATCGCTCAAGGTCCAAAATATTTCGAATATATTTTTCCAATCTGCCTCCAAAATTTAAGGTTTTGCGCTAATGAAGGCGGTGAAACTATGCACGGGCCATATCAGAAAAAAAGTTGAACTGATAAGATTTTGGATATCTTCAATGCTTTGAATGCTGCTATTTGCGCGCGCTGTGGAAAAATACGACTCTCAAAATGCCTCGTCGTGCAGCATCCCCCGCGCTTTCGGAAAATGATTTTGATATCACAAAATCTCTCTTCAATGACGATATCGACGGAGATGATGACAATTTCGGAAATACAACTACTAAAAATGTAGATCCTCTGGATGCTAATGGTATACTGGATCTGGGACTTGAGAGTGATGGAGATGGCGATGGAGCTTTTATATCGGCACAGCAATCAGCTGCGAATCGAAAGAATTCAAATTTGAAAGGGCAGAGTGTCAAGAAGGGTGGTGGATTTCAAGCAATGGGTATGAAATTCCTCTCTCATTGTATTTTGCGCAAACATGCTAATTTTCAACCAAGGATTAAATTCTCATTTGTTAAAGGCAATCAGCAGAAAAGGATTCAATGTACCTACACCTATTCAACGAAAAACGATACCCTTAGTCCTCGATAATCAAGATGTTGTTGGTATGGCTAGAACTGGTTCCGGAAAAACTGCCGCCTTCGTCATTCCAATGATTGAAAAGTTGAGAGCTCATAGTGTGCGTGTTGGTGCAAGAGCTCTAATTATGTCTCCATCTCGAGAATTGGCCTTACAAACATTGAAAGTTGTTAAGGAATTTGGACGAGGAACTGACCTTAAATGTGTACTGCTTGTTGGAGGTGACAGTCTTGAAGAACAATTCGGATTTATGGCTGGAAATCCTGATATCGTTATTGCTACGCCTGGTCGATTCTTACATCTTAAGGTTGAAATGTCTTTGGATTTATCGTCGATGAAATATGTTGTTTTTGATGAAGCCGATCGTCTATTCGAAATGGGTTTCGCTGCTCAATTGGGAGAAATTCTTCACGCCTTGCCAATTTCCAGACAAACTTTATTGTTCTCTGCAACCTTGCCAAAATCGTTGGTGGAATTTGCCAGAGCTGGTCTTCAAGAGCCAAGTTTGGTTCGTCTCGATGCAGAGAGCAAAGTTTCTCCGGATCTTCAGAGTGCATTTTTCAGTGTTAAAGGTGCTGAAAAAGAAGGTGCTTTATTGCACATCCTTCAAGATTTGGTCAAAATGCCCACAGGTCTACCCGAGAATGCAATAAATGCAACAGACAGGTTTGACAAGAAGCGCAAGAGAGGTCCTGATGGCCCAAGTAGAAAGTTAAAGCCTACAGAGCATTCAACCATCATATTCGCAGCTACAAAGCATCATGTCGATTATCTCGCTTCTCTACTTCGTATGTCTGGATTTGCTGTTTCTCATGCTTACGGTTCACTTGACCAAACCGCTAGAAATATTCAGGTTGAAGATTTCCGTACCGGAAAATCAAATATATTAGTAGTTACTGATGTTGCCGCTAGAGGTATTGATATTCCTGTCCTAGCAAATGTCATTAATTACGACTTTCCACCACAACCAAAGGTCTTCGTTCATCGAGTCGGTCGTACTGCAAGAGCTGGTCAACGAGGTTGGAGTTACAGTTTGGTTAGAGATACTGATGCGCCATATCTTCTCGATCTACAGCTATTCCTGGGAAGGAGACTACTTCTGGGACGTGAATGTGGCGATTCGCCAAACTACGCTGAAGATGTAATTGTTGGTGCTCTGCAGAGAAATGAGATAGAAAGCAAGTCTGAATGGATCACGAAGCTTCTCTATGATGACGATGATCTTACTGCGCTGCGAAATGTATCAGCCAAGGGAGAAAAGCTCTACGTTAAGACCCGTAACTCGGCATCAAGCGAGAGTGCAAAGAGAGCTAAGGAAGTAGTAGCATCGAAAGGATGGATGGAACTACATCCACTTTTCAAGGATGTAACCAATGGTGCTGAACAAGCTCGATTAGACATGCTCGCAAAAATTAGTGGATTCAGACCTAACGAGACTGTCTTTGAGATCGGGCAAAAAGGCAAAGCTGCTCACAGCGAGGCTGCTGAAATCATGCGACACCGAAGGGAGAAAATCATTCCAAGAAGACAGAAGGAGGAGGACGAAAAGGCAGCAGCAGCAGCAGAAGAACTAGATATTGATACGCCTATGGAGGTAGATGGCGATGACAATGACGATGATGATCTTGAGGTCACGGTTACTGGAGGAGATGACGACATGGCCGAGGCATCGGAAAACGAGCTCGAAGTCACCTTCTCGAAAGCATCCCAAAAAGGCAAAGGACGAACCCTATCTTGGAAAGACTCCGAAAATTTCATGTCATACACACCCAAAACTATCAATACAGCAGAAGAGCGTGGATATGGTGTTCACTCTGGCTCATATAATACAGCATCTCAAAACTCGAATTTCGTTGAAGCAGCTAGGGGCGTTACTATGGATCTCACTAATGATGACGGTGCGAAATCCTTTGCCGAGCCCGCTAGAGCAAAGGGAATGAGATGGGATAAAAAGAATAGTAAATATGTCGCTCGAGCCAACGACGAGGATGGATCTAAAGGAACCAAATACATTCGTGGAGAGAGTGGTCAAAAGATTGCAGCTAGTTTCCAAAGTGGTCGATTCGATAGATGGCGTAAAGCACACAAGGTTGATCGTATGCCTCGAACAGGTGAAGCAGAACGCGAAGGACCTGCAAGTGCTGGTGGAGTTGGACGAGGCTTTGGTACAAGATATAAGCACAAGCAAGAGAGAGCACCAAAGGAAGCTGATAAATATCGTGATGATTACCATGTCAGGAAGAAGAGAGTTGCCGAGGCAAAGGAAAAGAGAGTGGGCTCATTCAAAGATGGTAGTGGAAAGTCGGAAATCAAGAGTACGGAGGATATTCGAAAGGATAGAAAGCTACAGGAGAGGAGGAAAGCAAAGAATGCTAGACCATCGAAGAAGGGTAAATATTAGTAATATAGCGTGTGCAGTGTATTTTTTAGAGAAATATAGATGGGTATTCTCCGCCCCGTTTGTATCACTTACTGAGGCCCTTGTGGCAATGTGTAAAAATGTGGATGAGTGTGATAACTTGGTCGCGCATCAAGTGACTGCATAAGAAATCAGATGCTTATTCTTACTCAAAGCTTATGGTTATACAAACTGCGACCCATTGGGGCGTCATGCGGCAAGTAGGCGGGAGGGCGTACTACATACATACCTACATACCTACATGTATACAGTAAGCAGTTCATAAGAACTCCGTACTACAGCAGTTTCCATATCTTACATGGCTGGTAATCGGTCTTGCTTTCGTAGAGTATGGCCTGTATCCACGATTGTAAATGGCAGTAAATTACTGTCCCCTCTGATCATACTTCCAGATCAAAGGATACCTTCATTACATCTTCAAATTCGTGTCAAATATCGTCAATTTTGGGGGAATTAACAAAACACACTTAGCATCTAATCAACATCAATGTGAACACCCACCAACCACACAATTCAATCCTAATGTTAAATATCAATTTCCCTATTCTTTGAACATCTACCAATACAAACTAATGACTTAACCAAGCAATAACTCGAAAAACTTGCGTAAAAACACTTTGACTGTAGGAAAACAGAAAAAACAGAAAAATCGTCCAAATCCTTCAAATCCTTCTAGTGAAACATAAGTACTGCAGAATCTCGATAAAAATCCAAGGAAAGTATAGAATGGAAAATTGCAAATGACAACGAAATGAAATGACAAAATGATTCTCGAAAAATAAAAAAGTGAAATATCGTATCCAAACAGACAATAGAAAAAGGCGTATGCTTTGTAGCGTGCGAATCGAGTATAGCTGTAGTTGTCCAGCCAAATTGACCTTGTCGAGAATTTCCATACTCAAGAATATGTATGTCCGTTGCCTCGATCGCTTTCTTCCTCTTCTCCTCGCGCCATTCTTTCTTCGTACTCAAATTCATTCTCATCTTCATCTTCATCTTCATCTCTTCCTCCTTGTCTTCGTCCCGCACTTCCGTTCCCCGCATCTCCATTATTCAATCTTCTTCTACTTCTTCTGCTGCTTCCTGGAACATTGTGCCTCTCGCTACCCTCACCGCGTTCATCTCTTCTCCTCATACTCCTACTTTGCATCTCTAGAGAATCAAGCTCCTGACCCATCTTATCCTTATACCCCCAATCCACATCGGCGTCAGTGACGCCCAACTCGGCAGTGCTCAACGCATCTGAAGCGCGGCGTTTGCGGGATTCATGAGCGGAGAGTGGAGACCAGGGACTATCTTGAGATTGGTGATGGGGTTGTTGAGTCTGGAGTTGAGTTTGAGGAGTAGAAAGAGGGGGGAAGTGGAGTGTTTGAGGTTGAGGTTGAGTGAGAGGGAGGTGGTGCTGGCTTTGGGCTTGGTGGTATGATAGATGAGCTGGGGGATAGTATTGAGAGGGATTAAAGCGATGAGAGTGTGAGGGAGGCGGTGGTGGTGTAGGAGCTGGTGGTGGTGGTGGGGAGGGGTAAAGAGGTGACTCGTAGGTGTAGATAGATTCAGGCTGAGATGCATTTGTATGGGGTGGCATATAGGATGAATAGTTTTGTTGAAGTTGAAGTTGAGAATGAGGTTGGGATTGAGAGGTAGTTGTAGTTGTATAAGGCTGTAAGTATAATGCAGATGTAGTAGGATGTAACACAGGAACTGAGGCTTCGGGATAGAGAGCTGGGTCATAGAAAGATGGTGGTGCCAAGAAAGGTCTTTGAGTATGTTGTGATGATGCTGTTGGGTCTTCTTGATATTCCTCATATTGACTAGAGAGGACTATGCCCTGTTCCTGCTGTCCATTGGAGGTATCACGGTTCTGAGTTTCGGGTCTAGATGGCGATCCACTACTTCACAGCACGCCGTTAGCCTAGCTCATCACTTACCCAAGCAACTAGAGCATCAAAGGAAAGTAGACAAACTCACCTCTGCCCCGACGAACCAACATCTGCGCCATTTGAGCCAAAATCTGTAAAACGATGTTCCTCCATATCGAGACTTGCGGCTTGAGCAGGCTGACTCCGACTGTCTCGCTCGCTAGACTTATCCAATCCGCTTCGTAAACGCATGTATACGTATTCAAGTAGCTCAGATGCTTAACCCAGCTAGAACAAGACTAAGAAGTACAAGCAAATGGAAGTAGAGTCCCGACAGGCGAGATGACGATCTTACTTATACAAAGTCTTAAATCCGTTCACATATTACATATTGCATGCATGAATTCTCCCCACAGTATCTCTGCACACAGAAGGAGAAAACCGATTGGGAAAATGGCTCATTACACAGCATTGCCTTACCATTAACAATAAAACGCCTCTATTACCGATACACTGGGTCGTTTTTGCATGTACATGCTGGTACTTGTGCCTTCACAATGTGTTCAGTCCAGCCGGACAGGGACCGCGTTAGGCTCGCTCCGGTCTACACACTGTATGCTTAAAACCGCTGCTTTGCTTCTTTTCCCAATTTCATCACATCCAACTTCATCACGAATTCATTTCTTCGAACATTTGCCACCGAGGCTGAGAAGCTGGAGCAAACATACTGTATCAGGCCATGGAGTGTCAAGCACATCTTACACGGAACAATTAAAAGTGGCTGATCATATATCAAGCCTAACATTGCACAAGGGAAGCTCTCCTTCGCGAGGCTGACAGTGGCTTGTTGGAAATTTGCATGAGGGTTGATGATTTTGGCGGCCGTGATAATGTCCTTTCTTCAACTTTGGCCCCCATCCAGACAGGGGTGAGATGGAATTTGCTGAGCCGCAGTCTGGGATGCATTGATGCGCACCATGTAATGACGATATTCCTATTTCGACAATTAGCATTGTTGACAAAATATTCTACGAAATGATGTTATGCACCGATGTCCACGAGTTTCCATGAATGTGTTGGTTTAATGCAGAGTTGCAGAAACGGGGAAGTTTGTTGAAGTGAAACGGGAAACGGAACCATTCTTGAGCTTCCATGCACAGCCCGTCTTGATGATGCTGGACGAGTAAGCCCTGCGCCTAATTTGTCTCCATAATAATTCTTTATCGTTGACGTCAAAATCTAGATCAGCTTCGAGGGTTGAATAAATAAGCAAAACCATAGATTGTTGTTTTCAAACCCCTGTCTCACTGAGCGAATAAATTGAAAAGGACTTGTGGTATCATTGTCGGATTAATCTAGCATATGGAGAAATATTATGTGTGTTGTAGCTCGACTATCCTAGTTTTTATATCCCATCATCTACATCTTAGCTCGACTTTTCTGTTCTCTTGTACTTCAAGAACCTCGCTAAATTCAATACCGCTTCATCAATCCTCGAACGAAGCTCTGGTGACTTTCTCTTGTCGATTGATTTTGCCATCTTCTTGCACTTAGGCAAACTTTCCTCCAAGTGTTTGTCGAATCCACTTCCCCAGAAAACCGACTGATCAAATGAATAACTTTTGTCGGCATAAATGTCAAAAATCTCGTTCAAGGCTTCCACCGCATGAGCCGCAGGGGTTTCGGGAACGCCTGCAATGAGAGTGACTAGGAAAATGCCAATTTCTCGATTAAGTTCGATAGGTGCGGGCTCGAGGGCAAGACTACCTAACACGCCAATACATTTGACCCCCAAAGACTGGAAAGCTGAATCATCAAGATTTTCTGCGTCTTTCTTAGAAGCCTTGGACTCGTCTGGGGTTTCAAAGCCCTTGGAAGCATGGTAGAGAGCCATAAACTTTCTGTGCTCATCCGCTCGTATCTGAACACGCCCTTGAACACTCTTACAAACAGCCCAGGCAATACTTGTAATAGAGGCAGCCAGTTCAACGTTCGCCGTGTTGGATGCAAGTACGCGACACACGACCTCGTCCCATATACGCTGGGCAAGGCCAGCCCATGACTTTTGCAGGCTACCAAGATGGCTCTTGGAAAAGTCAATGGATGAGACGGTCCATGCAATGTTGTTTAAAGCTGCCAGGGCAGGAGTTTGTACATCATCACCCTCCATTTTTGAGTCGCCGGATAGTTGTGTAAGAGCTACAACGGCGGGACAAGCGACCTGAACAAGTTGATGGAGTGTATCCTGATCATTAGACGTCTCCTCATCTTCTGGGTCATCTCCCAGGACCATATCCATGTCGGCCTCGATATCCTCCTGTGTCATTTCGTTCTCTCCGTCACTCAAGTCACCTTCTTCACCTTCCGACAAGTCTGCATCGCCGTCAACCATCTGGTCTTCATCCACTTCCTCGTCATCTCCAAATCCTTCAAACACCTCCTCCTTTCCGTTTCCAAGTTCCAGAGCTTCTTGAAGGCTAGTTGCAATCGATGCAGTAATTTCTAGGGCCATTTGCAAGACTCTTTCGGGGCTAGAATTTGTCGTGTGGCCGTTTGTCCCATAAGCACCATTGGTCTGTTGTGCTTGTTGCATTGACTCGATCAAAGTTGGGAGAAGAATAGCATCCGAGGCGCCGTCCATGGGAGCATTGTCATCGGCCCAATTCATTGCTGTGAATATATTATGAAGTACTCCACAAGTAGCAACGCCTTTAAATCCGCCAGAGTTCTTCAATTGCATCAGTAGTTTGAACCAATCCTTCTGCTCTGTAATAAATTCGACCAAGGTCTTATTGTCTTCTGTTAAAGCTGCTAAGCATGATAATACCTCATTGTTGATCTCCAATGGAGTTGTATCGAGTGACAATAATCCAAACAAAAAGTTGATAATTGTAGACAGTTTTGATATAGCTTCGACAATTTCAACCTCTGCTTCAGACAGGGAGGTTAACAGTGTTATTACAGAACTTGTAAGACTCCACAGAAGATCCTGTTGAGGTTGTGGTATTTTCGATAACGGAGTATCTTTTGAATCGATCGTTTCGATAATCTACTTTTGTTAGAGTAATTATTGGAGAATGGGACTACTGTGACTGCTTACTGATTTGACAGCTCCCTCAATTGCAGTCAAAATATCCTGTCTGAATAAATGCACACAAAAGTCCGCTTCCTCTTCCAATGCTAGATTTCTCATTATTCCCCATCCTGCGATTCTAGTTTCCATGCTCGAGTCTGTAAGGGTTTGTTCCAGCAGGATTCGAACAATCTGCTCTCGCAAAAATAACTTTCGACATTTTGTATCGTCAACGAGGTTCGCAATTGCAGTCGCAGCGGTTGATCTCTTCAATTGGTCTGCACTTTGTAGATCTTGGAGAACTGGTAGAATTTTGCTCTCTCGAATAGCTGCAAGCTCTGGGTCGGTGGGTGGCTTGATAGATTTTGCAGTTGGATCAGCGCGATGCTTAGTCCTATTTCTAGAAGCTTTTCCCATATTGATATTTTGAATGTAAATCAGGGTGATATGATATGATATTGGGTTGAGTTGAATTGATTAACTTGTGTTGAGAGACAAAATACGAGGTCTTTTTCCCATATGATATCGAAGTAGGTACTTGTAGATTCGAATTTCTTTTGGTTCCCGAGCCGACCAAAATTCAAACAAACTTTTTTTTTCTGCCCCTCTATTGCCTGAGGTATCAATATTTAATTGACAGCTTCAAGTGACTAAATTTCCCCGCCAATTTTAACCTTTGGGCTTGGGCCAATTATTCAGGCGGGAATAGCGCCCGCAATTTAATTGCTTGAGGCATTTTGTCCCTGTTCCCCTTATTAATCCTTTGAGCCATTTCTGAACAATCTAATCCCAAGGAAGGACTTTCAAAATACAATAAGACCACCACCCTCTCTCCATTCCACAATGTCTACTACAACTACAATTACACAGGCTGAGCCTATTACTGCTCAGAGCATTCTTCGACTTTTCCCTGACATTGACACGAGCTCTGCAGAACTCGAAGGACACGATGAAGAGCAGATCAGATTGATGGATGAAGTCTGCATTGTTCTAGACGAAAACGATAAGCCTATTGGAAACTTCAGCAAGAAGATATGTAAGGGTTTTAAGCATTCGTCCATTTTTTGTATACTGATCATTCTAGGTCATCTCATGACAAACATCGACAAAGGCCTCCTTCATCGCGCATTTTCGGTCTTTCTTTTCAACTCCAAGAATGAATTGCTCCTTCAACAACGTGCGACCGAAAAGATCACATTCCCTGACATGTGGACTAACACCTGCTGCTCCCATCCTCTTGGCATACCCGGTGAAGGTGGTTCTGAGTTGGCTGAGGCTATCATGGGAGTCAAAAGAGCAGCACAACGAAAGCTTGATCACGAACTTGGTATCAAACCTGCGCAAGTACCCATCGAGGACTTCAAATTCTTGACCAGAATCCACTACAAAGCACCCAGTGACGGAAAATGGGGAGAGCATGAAAGTATGTCAACCTGTTTTTATGATCCTTTATGACGTACAATGGCTAACGATTGACAATCTTTTTAGTCGATTACATCCTCTTTATTACCGCCGATGTCGACCTCGAGCCAAACATGAATGAAGTCCGCGATACTCAGTACGTTTCTGCCGATGGACTCAAGACTATGTTCAACGATCCCTCTTTGAAGTTTACACCTTGGTTCAAGCTTATCTGTAACTCTCTTCTTTTCGAATGGTGGGAGCACAAGGATACCGATCTTGAGAAGTATATGAATGAGCAAGATATTAGAAGAATGTGAGGACGACTTTGCTGGGGCGATTCGGATAAGAGATGAATGAATATGGAGGAGTTATTGAGGAGCTGAGAATTTCACCATGCATAATGCATATTGCATATTGGCATCGAGGTTTATCGCGATACCAAAGTTTATACCCAAAAGAAAAGCGAATCACTTGATTACGCCTAATTAATATCATCCAGTACGATCAACGCGGGCGAATCCCGAATATCTTTCCTATTGGACATCCTGTGTCTGACAATATGCAACGCAATACGTCCTATTTTTGCATGTTTCCAATTTCTTTTCTATCTTTACACTACTTTTGACTTTTGACTTATGATTACTTTCTTCATCTAATACTATCTGTCTTTCTTATCCATCCATCCCTTTATCTCGCTTACCCAATTCCTATTTTCGTCGTTGTTCCACGCTTTTCATCTTATCTCCCTTCAGTGGAGTGGAGTAGGATCGTATCAAAGTCGGCGGACGGGGCGCGACACCCTTCAAAGATTACTCCGATATCTAACCAGATTTGGGAGGTCCAGCCACGGACCCTTTGGACCAGATGATCGCACATGGCGTCCCTTGTCAAACTTAACAAGTAAAGTATCCATGTATTGATTGTTTAAGGGTTTATATCAATCCAATCAGATTATGGAATTTTCCAAGAATCATGCGGCAGGCTACACTTGCCCCAAGGGATTTCACAGACTCAATCCTGTTGGTTGCCCTCAATCTTTATGCTTACCTCGTGCTAGTCTACAAGTGGAGTTATGCAGCGTTTGATTGTGGCATGGTTATCGTTGAGGAGTACCTTAACGTTTTGAGTTCGTAGTGATGACTACATAAACCTCGACCCAATCGCCGTTTCTCGGAATCCCTTGCTATTCAATTCATTGATCTCTGCAGACAATTACAATCACAATCACAGGTTCTCTGTAACATAAATCATTAAGTCTCCCAAGGAAACACAAGACAACATAAACTGCATTCTTTCTCCTCAATTCACATCGTATCGGCCGATTCAGTAAAGTCAACACTTGTCCGGCTCAAGACTCCCACAGCTACACAATCGACGACCAAATTCTATCTACTAACTGTAGACGAAGCGTGATTCTCGAAGAATCATCCTGCCTTTCCCGCTGAAGAGTAGCCCGAGTTTGATAAACATCTACATTGATGTCGGTTGATTTCCGCCAAAGTCTCAACTGTCTTCGTTTCCCATCTCGATACATAACGGTATCGAGAACCCAGCTCTCGATAGTTCATACAGGCGATTTAAATAGGCCAGCTAATAAACCGGATTCCTGTTCGTTCTCAGTCTTTCCAAATGCCTCCAAATATCATGTTAACATATTAAATCTGCAGGATCATTCCAACATCTCAAGATATATTATAAATTAATCGCAATCATGGCGCATTTTATTGAGGATAATAGTACGACCATGAATTTTCTTGAGAAGAAGCGCAGCCTTTCCCCGGCTACAACGGAGGAAGTTCGTACAGTAAGCATCTCGGAGTGCGAGGGAGCGGCTCAGTGTCTAGCTCAAGCTTTTGCTACAGACGAAGTAGCAAGATACTTCCTTGATACCGATGACATGACTTCTTATTCTGAGGACTACAAATGGAAACTTCATTGTGACATAATCAAGTACATGACCGCTGCTCATTGTTACAAAGGCATAGTGACTACTATTGGTCCAAACTACGATGCAGTCGCTCTATGGTACGTCTACTGGGATCCATGTTTTTTGAATAACGAATTAACAAACCAACAGGATGCCTCCTGGTCAAGACATGGATGATTGGCTTACCTTTTTCCGCAGCGGTCTCTGGAAACTCTACTTCAAGCTCTCTGTGGAAGGCCGCAAACGTTTCTATGATGAATTTCTGCCCCTACTCCACCATACCATCGACGACGTCATGGGCGAGCGTAACAAGAATTTCTACTACCTCGTTTATCTCGGTAGCAAACCTAGCGCTCGAGGAAAAGGATACGCGAAGAAATTAATACAACATATGACTGATCGAGCAGACCGTGAAAACTGCCCAACGTATTTAGAGTCTAGTGCGGAGAAAAATTTGAGTTACTATCGTAGGTTGGGGTTTGAGTGGAAGCAGGATATTGTGATGGAAAGAGGGGTCAAGCCGGTTAAGATGCAGATTATGGTCAGGGAACCGAAATTTGTGGGGGAAACTGTCGAGGGAAAGGAGTGTGTCAATGTTAAGATGATTGAGTAGGTGGTGTCATTGCGATTTGAGTTCTGCTTCTGATATCGATTTTTCTTATCATATTGACGCTTTTAAGTCTCCATGATTATTCTTGAAGTTTTTGTGGTTTATTGGATATGACTCTCTTTGGGTAAAGTTTTTGCATGAACAAATCCGCACCTGTTGAAGTAATCAAACAAGCTTTAGTCTTAATTGTTATCTATTAGGGTATTGGATAATATAACAATATCACCATTTGTTTTTACCTAATTCTAGCAATCTAAGAATCTCATCTGGTATATCTTCTCATAGAATCATACTTCATTCACATGAAGCCATTACTTTTACATAGATGCCATAATCCCATCCTACAACGCCATTGATGCTGTAATCTCCCATCCTCTAGTACTCCAACACAGCCCACGTCTCATCATCAACCGTTGTATAAATACAACCCTCCGCCAATAACTCATCTCCGCACTTGTAGACATCTGCAACTGGCATACCAAGCTTGGTCGCAATCATATTTACATTCAAACCCTCGTTATTTTGAGGCTCTGACTGTAATAGATCGAAAACCATTCTGGAATTGCGAGAAACCTTCGCAGGTAATATTTTACCACTACCTGTAGACGCATCTCCGGCTCCCATGTTATTGCCACCGTACGAATCAACAAACATTCCATCGCCCCCCTCTTTCTTTGTCATAGTACCCGCTGTATCGATAGGACCACGAGTGAAATATAAATGTGCCAGAGTAGCTTCTAATCCATGGAATGTCACTTCGTTCATGTCGAGAACGGGTCGGATAATATGAGCTCCTACATGACGTTTATCATGGAAAGACTTGAGTCTTCCCCATACGTGTATGTATTTTCCTTCTTCTGGCACAGGTCTTGCGTTTTCTGGAGCAGCGTCGTTGTCGATCCATTGTTTTACTTCGATGAGACCGGTGCCGTCGTCGACTTTGTAGGTGTTGTTTGTGGCTTGGGTGGAGATGGAGTGGACTTGGCCGACGAATGAGAGCTAATGGTTGAGAGGTTAGTGTATTAGTTCGGCGAAAGATGGTATTGATGCATAGTTTAGTAGGAAGGAATGTGCCTACTTGAGTAACTTCGGATCCATCAATTTTGAAATCTGCATCGGGATGTGGTTGCACGGCCTCGAGGATTTGCTTGATGGTTACTGGTCGTAATGTATCTTTACCATATGTCTAAATGTCTCATTAGTATATTCATGTGACTTCACAAGTAGCAAGACATACCTTTGATCCTCCAGGACTTTCTTGGCTTCCTCCTTGCGATCCACCATATCCTCCTTGAACAAATCCACCACCATCTGCCCCGCCTTGTGCGCCGTAACTGGTGGTTGAATAATTATTTTGGTATCCGTAGTTGTTTGCTAGGTACAAGTAAGTTTTGAGTTTAGGAGTGATGCGCAGGGAAACTTACACATGATTGACGTTATTAGCGTGTGGAGGGCAGATATTGAGATTGTGGTGTTGTTGAAAGATGGGAGATGATAGATGGAAGACGCGTTGACCGCGACTGGATAAAAAGTCGCGTAAAGCGAAAATTTAAAGGTCATGTGATAGGAGTAACTTTTGATATCGGCCCCGAAATTCTTCCGACCTCCTGGCACAGACGAGCGAGGAAAGATTGCACGCAATCGGTAATCTAATACCGGTCTAAAGAATTCTGCGATTTTGCTCTGAAGTCGGAATCTGTGATCCTCTTTGAATCAGTGTTCATCGATGAAATAGAATGAATGCATAGCAAAGATTGCAGCTCTTTCCTGTTTGGTCAGTTTGACTGCAGGTTCAGGATAAGTGAGAAGTCTCATCCTTAATAAGGAGTTGTCATTGGTAGATCTATAGAGGCTGAGAATCCCTCAGAAACAAAGTCTTGTCATGCTGGGAGGCAATGAAGGACTTAGATGCGTCATGACATCTTAGGTCTCACGGACACCTGCCCAATCATGTATGATCACATCCATGTCCACTCACAAGAACGTTCGTTCTCTGACTCAATGGCTCGCGTCATTAGAATTTCGATCCCATCCTATCAGATTCCACTTCTTTACTCCATCTAACGACATCTAACGCCATGATCTTGGTTGTATGCTACAAAGGATTGGAGTGCATATCGTGGTCACGAATTTTCCCCACAGACGGCAAGTTGTGGATATGAAATGTGAATATTACTCGTTTGTATTCCTAACCTTATCTTACCTGATTTATTATGGCATCTAGTGAGTTACAGGAGTCCGGGAAGTTCGGAAGTACATACTATATATCTTCAGCGCTTTGAATGGCTTATGCTGGTAAGCCTGTCGAGATAATAGCTGACATTATTCAAGTCCTAAAGATTCTGCTATCAATTGAAGTAGTGTCCAAGAACAGAAAGTGATCACATGATAAGGAATGTGTTGTTGACTGTTGAAGGCTTAGATCGTCCGGCCCATGACATGCGTAAGATGCATAACATCAAGACTCAATGTACCTTTGCGAGGCAAGCTGCTGCCCAAAAAGCAATAGGCATTGACAATCGACATAACAGTCTTTACGAACATTGGCTACAAAACGCGTCTCGTGATTTTTATATCTATATCACTAGCACTTGCAGTCAGTACAAGGAATTGGTGTCCACCAATACTCGTTTGAATCACAAGCTTCCCGTGTCATTAATTTGCCATTCCTCGGACTTCATTTATAGACAACTTCAACGACAGACAAGTTGGACTTTTTTTCAGCATTCAAACCTTTTGTAGCATTGATATTCACTCAGAGGGACATGCTTTAAGCTCCCTTAGAAAGTGTTGAAAATAACCTTTCGCTACGACTCGAACAGTTGCAGAACCTTTATCCGTTCGATAGGTGAACGAGTAATCTAGGGATTTGACCACAGCAGCTTGCATCTCCTGCTCGAACATGATGAATTATCCAACCTGGTAGGGTTATAGCCCTGATCCTCCCGTCAGATCATGACAACTCGCTTGATTCGTCCGACTATTCTAATGGCGCGCGAGGTTAACAGTCAGATGAGTAGTGACATTTTCATAACGCATTTTCTTAAGGAGACATTTTTCGCTTTCTCTTAAGGTGAAATTTTCATAAATAATTGATACAGATCTCGGATGAGACAGGTAACGTGGGATTGATCTATGATAGCATGCAGTATATTGATAAGACGAATGGCGGTCGAAAAATAGCTTGACGCGACATAGAATTGCAATGCAGTCCAATCTGACTTCATATCATGCCTGTATAGCCAAGAAGTTAGATTGATCCTATCTGTTATTTCGGGTAAGAGGGGACATTTTTGTAGAATTTGCTGGGACCTTCTAATCTCCTCGAAAAAGTTGAAGAGTTCCCCATGGATGAAATTGTATTCATGAAAACGTGACTATCTAGCATTCGTCTATCGTAAACCATCCAGAACTTTACTTTCTGTAGGGAAGCAGTTGAAGTTCGAATTCGCTTGGAGTAGGTATTGATCATATTAAAGTGTCGATTTAAACGAGACATCGGCTTTTCGCCCAATCAATGCAGCTAATAATCATTGTATCATTATTATCCCCCCAACTACATGTCTTAAAGAAAACAATGATTCTGCATCGAAATCCTCGTTCAAGAATAGCATTAATCGTGGACGGTGAAACATATCAAAGGGTATAGATAAGCCTAAGCCAATTACTGAGTCACCGGGCAGAAAACCCCCACTACTGCACAGCCAATTAAATGTCCCATCCCACCTGCTCATTATGAGTCGAAAGCTCAGCCACCTAACCATCGTGATGTGCCAGAAATATGGAATATAGATGTTCAGATAATATATATTTTTCATGACCCGTCTCTTGATTTTAATCGAACAGTTTCCCTTATAATCAATCTTAAAAACGAAAAAACACAATGAACACCATTACAGCCACCCGACACAAAACACTCACGCCCGCCACCACTCCAGCCAACAACCCACTCCCTAGTCCTTTCGTCATCTGTGTAATAGGGGCTAGCTCTGGCATAGGCGAACACATCGCTTATTCATTTGCGCAAGCAGGAGCCTCCGGCGTTATTCTAGCATCCCGCAACACTTCCGAGCTTACTCGCGTTGCTGAAAAGATTCGTGTCATCTCCCCCCAAACTCGAGTGGAAATATTTTCTTGTGATATCGCATCATCCAGCAATATTTCAGACCTTGCGAATTATATCAAAGAGACATTCGGTCGCCTTGATGTCTGTATTCCCAACTCTGGATATGCGGGTCCCGTGACTCTGAAAGTCACTGAAGGTGATCCGTCATGGTTCCAAGGAAATTTCGATATAAATATGATTGGGACTTATAATTGTGCGCATTATTTGATACCTTTACTGCTGGAGAGTGAGAATGGAGCAAAGGTTTTCGTACAGATCGGTTCGTTGGCTGCAAATTTGACGGATGGCCCCATTGCCAATACGGGGTATTGCGTGAGTAAATTTGCGCAGAGTAGATTTTTAGAGATGGTAGGTTCTCAATTTGGAGAGGAAGGATTAGTTGCTGTTACTGTACATCCTGGGGCAGTTGCAACGCTGATGGCTGCTGGAAATACACCTGAAGTTTTCCTACCTTGTAAGTTTCTAATCTGCTTAATGTTGCGAGAGTACTGATAAAAGCTATAGATTTGGTTGATAGCGTGGATCTTTGCGGTGGATTTTGTGTGTGGTTGAGTAAGAACATCAAAGATTTGAAATGGATAAATGGAAGGTTTCTGGATGCTAGGTGGGATGTTGATGAGTTGCTTGAGAGAAAGGAGGATATCGTTGAGAAGGATTTACTTAAGTGGACATTAAGAACTTCGTGAGTGAGAAAATTCCCTCTTGAAAGCGAGTTATATCCAATGTCACCACAATCAAGTAAAATTATCAGAGATGGAAACTTCTTCCATGAAATTTGAACAAAATCATGGCATGGAAATTGAGAAACATTCCCGCAAGAGCTGGAATAAGAAACCGATGTCAAGTGTTAAAGATAATCGAACGAGGTCTCAATTTCTTTCGAGAAGTAATGATTATTGTTCATAGAGAAAAGCTGAAAAAGTAAGATTTTCTTCCTGTTATTTCATGATAACATTGAGGGCACTCTATATCTGGAATCTACACCCTTAAATATCCATGCCACAATCTTGGCAATCGTTCCTAGTCAGAGGTCTGTCTCGCCATTGACTCTCGTTAATGGAAGTTAAAATTCAACTATCGATCCCGATTCTGGAGTCAAACCCAAAATGGGAACCTTTTCATTCATACCACTCAGTTATGGTTCAAATCTGGCTCCTACTCAATCTTTCCACCAAAACTACTTCTTACTTGCAAGAGAAGAAGGAGAAACCACCGGCAAGACTAGGAAGGGATTGTTGAGCCCAAAAGGGAAATCACCAATAGAGCGGCCCACAAGCCCCTCTTGCCACTTGCCCGTTCTCTTTCGAATTTGTTTTCCTCAATGAAACACGATCCCATTGTTTACTAGGTCTTCAGAATCATTTTCGTATAAATATAGTCATCCGGTACTTTTTCTTTCCCATTTCCATTCTTCCAGCATCGGCAAATATCACCGTCACCCATCGTCGCACAGCAAATTGTCCAACTCTCGAGCCTCTAATCCACCTCTACTCAGATCGACCTGAACCATCATATCCTCAAATCTCAATCATCCAATCATGCAGCTCACCATGGAAGAGATGTATTTCAGGTCGGTACTCGATCAAGTCAAACAGGAAGTAAATAATTCTCTCAAAAGCCTGCCAACCTTCAGGGACTCAGTACTTCGTTTATCCATTCAGTTACCTGAAAGCCTCGTATCGGAAGAGAAACTTGGATACGAGCTACAGGAGGATATGAATGTCTTGAATGATTTTAAGAACAAGCTCGCTATACGGGTGAGACGTCAAGCAATATCAATTAGTATAGGAGAATTGGAGGCGATAGAGTTAGCAGCCCGCAACTTGAGAGAGAAATGGGAGGAGAAGGAGAGAATGTTAAAAGCAGAAGAGGTATTGCTTGAGGAGGCATTACAAGAGGCAGAGAAGTCATTCCTCGAGGCTGAAGAGGCATTAAAAAAGGCTCAAAAAGCGTGGAATGATGCGGAGGCGGCATGGCACGCCGCGGCATTCGACTTAACAGACTCGAGAATTCTTGAGTCGGATGAGGAAAGTCTATCACTTCAGCAAGAAACAGAAGAAACAGAAGCCGAAAGCCAGCCGGCTAAGTTGATTAAATGAGGAGGATTGAGACGTCAGTGAAACTGGTTCTGGTAGCCTGAAGGCTTTAGTCTACTGTTAGGGAAACTTCGCTTTGCAAGAGAGGAGTCACAATATTAGATTACTACGGATTCTGGCTTTGTGGCGAGATCTGTTAGAGTATCAATCTTCATGGTATTGCTGCGAATACCTAAACATCATAAAGCATTCTAAAGACTATCCATATACCGTGGTTGAGTGATGTAATACACGAGGACGAAATCGTAAGCGTGAATAATATGCAACCAAGTTTTGGAAACGTGAGGAAAACCATCAAAAGCTCGTCGCATGATTGTTCAACGCAATGTTTAAAGGACGTGCAGGAATGAGCGACAACAGATCAGTAAGTGTTATTTAATATTCAAAGTAGACAACTGCATGATCTATCTACAATTAAAAGCCACAAATGAATTTTGTACCACCCCGTACAAAATTCAACCCGAACGATGTCGTCGTTTGCTTTTCTTCTCACAACCCGTATATAAAGGATGATTAATGTAGTTTTCATTCATCTTCCCTAGGAGAATAAACTTTTCGAGTCTTGGGTTTTGTAAGTTACTGGTACAAAATTTTCGTTGTTTATGTTCTAGTGTTGTCCATAGACCCTTCCAAGCTCATCAAGTCCTTGCCGCTCCATTCCATTGTCTCGCTGTCTGCCAGAAAAATCCCTAAAAGGTCCATTTCCGACCCTCGACGCCGGGTTTTCCCTATCAGAAATGTCAGAAAGTTGTTCAGGAACGCATGTAACCGATGGCGCAGAATTTGATTCACCTCGATATTTATCCGGAATTTATGGTTGCGTTAAGTGCCTCGCGACTTCCTGAGCATATACTTTGTCAGAAGCCGCAGGGTCTTCAGGATTCTCGTAGGTCCGATATGCTTCAATAACATCAATGTATGCTTGATTCGCAGCCGCACGGTCCTCATACTCGCTATAGGATTGAGCTTCTTCAATGATACTCAGGCGATGTTTCATGTCTTTGATTGCAAACTGAATAGTCGAGAAGATCAAGTGACACTCAGGATGAAGCTCTGTATCATTCAATTTACAGCTTTGTTCGTAGGTCATGTCATTCCAAGCCGACCATTCTTCGAAGAATCCGAGCATGGTTTCACGATCAGGATCGGCGCCACTTTGCGCAATGTCTCTTTGCAAACTTGCCCTGAAACGTTCAATATCATTTGACACCCAGAGCCGAATCTGGGTTTTTGCATCTCTGTAATGATGCGCTTCTCTCAAAATAAAAACCAGGTGGTCCTGATTACGCCGGTACTCTGCGGCTAGATTTTGCCTTATTCATTTTTCAATTGATTCATCATCAGAAATATCATGCCATTGATCGATCTCGACCTCTGACTCGACCTCTGACTCGAACTCTGCCTCTGCACTTTCCTTGAGCATTTTACCCATTTCTGGTGAGCTTCGATGCGCATCCACGAATGCGCCGCCAAGAATTTGATCTTTTGGGAGCTTAACCATGCCTTTCCAATTTTCAGCAATGTTTATACTATTTTCCAACCATTTATTATGTCGTTTGGCAAAAGTGCCAGCCGGATCTGTACATTGATCCAATATTGCTCGGAGCGCTAATCCCCTTAATTTCATGTGCTTCTGACAAGCAATAAAATGAGCTACATGATATCCAGTTTCTAAAAAAGTTTGTTCGACCATGTTTCAATTTAGCTCAACCACCTTGGGAGAACCGATGTCTAGATTCGATTAGAAGAAATTGTATATTGCAGTGATCGTAAATGTGTGGAAAACCTGCGGACCCCGGTGTTCAATTCTGATCTGGAGAGTTAAAAGATTTGAGTGTCTAGGTCTGATTCGAATATTAGAGCTAGGTCAATGTTTAAATCGTATTAAAGAATTTCCGGCCCCTGGAAGTTTGAACCTACCTGAGAGAATTGCAGATTGTAATTGTGTAGTTTTGAATAGAGGATTGTGATAAATTGATTGTGGGTGTTAAGATGAGACTATGAAATTGGTATTCGAATGAAGCTTTCAAAACGATTCTCTGGGGAAAGACCTAGATATATATATAAAATTAAAAAGTGGAGATTTTCATATGGACTGGACTAGCGTTGGTTAGGTATGTCACGCTGTATGTCATGTTTCTTGATCCTCGAAGCTAACATTCAATTTACTAAATCTATTGAAAGCTTAATTCAAAATTCGGATCAAAGTTTTCTAAAAATGAGATACCGGCAACTTTTCGTTGAATCATTGATAAATTTAAGGTATTGTAAATTATGGGACATTGTATATGAGGTTATTACCGTTTCAGTATTAGCCGAGCGTGACACCGACATGTCGTCGCCAAAATTCGCGTGTGTTCGTCCGTGCATCTGCATGATCGTCCAGAGCCGCGAAAAATTGATACACCAATCAAGAGTACACTCTATCATGATTTGATACTTACACAATCACCAGCTTCATAAGGTCGACTCGTAAGTGCAAGTATTTCAATGTAAACCTTTAAAGACGGAAATTTTAAAAGACGGCTAGGTTTTTGTTTGATCGAATAGAAACCTGATAATGTGTCACGTACTAACTGTATCATTCTTTTCACGCCAAACTTTGCTTCTTCAGTCTTGGTGATGATTGACGGACCAGAATTTCAGAGCTCTAAGCTTCTACTCGAACTTTTTCTACGCAATTTGGGCTTTGAATATGGTAGTTATGACCATAAATTTCGTGCCCTGAAGGTACTGGGAAGATGGATGAGATTGAAGAAGGTGTCATGGTCTCTGTCTCAAAGTCATAGGGCAGATAGCATACTATTATTACCAGAATTTTCTATCGTAAAAACCATGTATTCGAGGTATTTGGTTGGGGCCATACACAATTTAGTTTCTTTGATCTGGATGCCTTGAAAATACTTCCACCAACTTTCTTTTTAAGGATAGTCACGTGAAACTTTTGTCTATACAACATCGTGGTTTCCCACTGATCCACTAACATCTATCTTCGATTATTCTGTACTTGTACTGTCGATCTCGGTACATTTACCTCGTGAGTTTGTAGGTGAAGAGCGGAGTACAAACCTAAATTCCTCCCAAGGCAGTATAGAACACTATTTTCGGATTGAGCTAGCAATGCCTAGCTTGGAAAGGGATCCAGAGCACGACATTATGGTGTGTTCTCGTAGCAGTAACAATCAAGGATGATTTAATTATGGCAACCTGGAGATGCAATAACTCAGATGTCAAAATGCTGTCCCCGAATGATTGTCCTTGGGCCTCAACAGCTAGTCAGATTGACACGAAGTCTTGAACATACTCGATTCATGGGGTGAGAGAGATCTTCCCAGGATATTGATTGCCTCCTGATTAGGATTCACTGCTAGAAATCAATTTGTTATATTTCTTGTGAAATTATGTGGTAGAGACCAGACGACAAATAAATAGGATTGTAAATGTAATTTTCGAAAAGATGATTATGGCTCCGGATAAGTGCTTTGTCGGAGCTTTGGGAGTTTAGATATCCAAAATCACAATTTTTCGAATTACAATTACGAAATTTCGAGACCTGCAGACTACAGGTTCTCGAACTCTAGGATTTGTTGGAGCACCAGAGAATTTCTTCCGCGTTGTGACGAGGGCAGATCAGAGTAGATCGGGTCTCAGAATGGAAAATTGCTGACCCATAATTTGTGCTGTAATGTTTCCACGAGTCGTGGCAATCAAGGCTTGTAATCCATCAAGAGGGTGGAAACCAAAGAAAATCGATTGGAGCTTGATCACGTGACATAAGCTCATATCATCACATGATGGGGAGGGAAAGGTTTCAATCAATCAGCGACATCGACTTCCCCAAGTTGCAATTCATGAGACATGTCATCGCGTTCTGCAAAAGACGAAGCTGGATTTATTTAAAGCCATTCAAGTTATAGGTACTAACAAATTGTGCAACAAGTATCAAGACTGGACTGGAAGTTTGTCAGTAGGCAACGACGTGGAAAGTATGTTTTCTTGAGAAACGCAGGTACTTGATTCATTTGCGAGCCCCAATAGTCTTAAAGTTGAGGTTACTGCCTGGTTGATGTCCAAAAACTGATCAAAATTACCCCTCCTAGAAATAGGGGTCAGATTATTTTCCGAAACCTAATACACCGTCTGGAACGAGGTATATGTATTAGCCGTCGCTACCCTCTATCGATACTACCATTGTTTTGACATTTGAAAAGTCAAGCTCCAAGAATCTTCCCCCTAGCATCCATTGAAAATGGACAAATTTCCAGCGGAGATCTTTCGCTTGATCATCAAAGGGGTAACAAACACCTCTGATCTCAAAAACCTCCGTCTGGTTTCGAAACCCCTCTCAATTCTAGTCACTGAAAAGCTTTTCTCGCACTGTAGTGTGAATATACAGAATGCAAATGAAGGATATGATAACGACAATGGAGACGACGAGTCTAAAGAGGTTGCAGAGATGCACTCAGCCATTCCACGCACCAATTTTGAGAAGATCATCCGTGTACCACGTCTCAAGCAAGCAGTTCGTTCTGTCCGTTATGTCACCAGTCTTGAACCCTATGCAAATTCGTATCTTAATTCCTACGCGGAGAAACACCCCCCACAGCACTTCAATATCTCGATGAAAAGAATTATCGAAAAATGTAATAGGTTCCCTAACCTTACCACCGTCGCAGTCGAATTTGCAGAATTTTGTACATATCTGGGGGAGGAGGATGAAAGAGGATTCTATCTCATCCCAGCAGAAGACAGCCACGAATATCGTACTGCTGTTCTCAGAGAATTGTTTCGTTCCTTGAATGACCCAAGGTATCCTACACCTTCACTCACTACGCTTTCCCTCAAGAATCTACAAAATGTCAATGATGCGAGCTTGACCGGATCGAAAGACTTCCTTGCGGTTTTGAAAAAAATTACAAACCTACGTATGAGAATTGTTGTCGAGTACGAAAAAGCAACCCCTGAGTCTTCATGGTCTCTTCCGCCTATGCATGACTTCTTTGCCGAGCTTCCTTCTACATGGCTAGTGCCCTGTGCTGATAATCTCACCTCGCTCACTATTCACTGTATTCATTGGTGGGGCTATTTCCCAAAGTGTGATTTGAGGGGTGTGCACTTTCCAAAATTGAAGAAGTTGGAATTGGGCAACTACACATTTTCGCACGATTGGCAATTGGATTGGATTCTATCTCACGGAAAAACGTTGGAAGTTCTGAAACTCGACGATTGTCCAATACTCGCAGGTATTAGGCACTTGGGGGATCTCGACAATGAGAACTATGCGATGACTCCTATGGATAATGGAGGTGATAGTGTCTGAGTACGACCTGAGATTACAAATACTAACGCTCATTTCAGGCGTTCCCACTATCTGGCATTACAAAACAAAATGGGCCGACTACTTTCAGAAGATGCAAAATAATCTGCCTAAGCTTCGCCTTCTTCAGGTTGGATCTGGAGAATGGGAAATGGGCGAAAACTTTGACGGTGGTGAGATAAGATTGGCGGAAGAGCCTAGTAAAGATGTGGGTGGAACATACAATAGGTTTGATCCTCCAATTGCGTATCCATACAAGTATTTCAAGAGAAACCGATTCTCTACCCCATGGGTGGATAGACGTCACTTTCCAGAGAACATTTCCGATGAGAAGCCGGTAGGAGGTCTCTATGATAATGACAAAAGATCTCAGCCAGAGAGAGATCAGTGTAGCTATGATGGTGAGTTTCCTAATTTATCTCTTCGAGCGCTTCTAATGCAAACTTTAGAATTGATGATGATCATAGAGAATCGGCATCAATGAGTGCATAAATATCTCTCACTACCCATAGATTATATCGTGTGCTAAAAAGACGGTAGTCTTTGCTTTTTCCGAGTACGCATTGGGTCGTAGAAGGTAGTCAATGTGCATAAATTACAGCTTCTATGAAGAATAATGAATTCAACTCTTACTGTTATGCGTTTCGTGCGATTAAAGGTCTAGAGCTAATTTCAAATACTACTATAGAGCTCCACTTCCTTCATGCCACCGTCGCGCATATCTTCATTTTTCTAGATTCAAACCCTTCTTGATCAAATGTAGAAGCCTGATGTCTTCAACTGAAGTAACATACTCCTCCCATTTTTTACCCTTTCTCGCATCACTCACCAGTGCCAACATATCCCAACACCTCTCCCACGTATCTGTCCGGAATAGCCCACAACTCCAATCCCTCTCCCTCTCCCTCTCCCTCATTATTCTATCCATTAGAGTGCTAGGCATCCAAGCACTAGCTTCTGATGCTTCTATGTTCCACTCAATAGCACTCCACAGAACCAGGCCTCTCTCCCTAAAAGCTTCGAATTTAACTCCTTTGAATTGAGCACCCATTTCGTCTCCCTAAGCCGAATCAAGGAGCGAACGGATGTTCTGATGCATCGCGTAGTAGCCCGCCTGACCCGCTTCTCTGAACAGCTTATCACTCTCAAATAACAGTGTAAGGTTGTTCGGCATTTCTTAAACAGTGTCCAATTTATCAAGTGAAAAAGTGTACTTGTAGATTCCTTCCTCTGAAGAAATTTTCTGTGACTCAGGAATGAATGATAAGATCGGCGAGAAGATCCTAGGGAGAGTTGAAATTTCATGAGCGAAAGGACTAGTACAGATCTTCTTGGACCTGTACTGTATCTTCAATGCAGAAACCCTTGTGGGCGTGGCTCGAGGAGGACGACAGGTAGCGACAACCTTGTTCTCAATGATATTGTCAAGAACTTCTGATATCCAGCGCGAGGGATATCCATAATCACGAAGCAGAGCCATCAATCTAAACAATACTGTGAGATTAAGAGGAGAGAGAATGATTGCGTGGGTCATGGTGATTTTTACGTTGTGAGGCAAAGCAATCCTGAAAAACATTGTGTAGAACCACTTTTACACTGAGCCAAAGGTAGTGATTCGGACCAGGCATCCTATGAATTGAGGCCCCCCGCGAGTATAAGTTGTATCTCATCAACGGCAACGATCCATCTCTACCTGGCTTAAAAGCTGCAACAACGTCTGTTAATTTTCGCAGCGTTTCCTTGTCGGTAAAACACTGATAATCTACTAGAAACGCCTCCAGGGAATCCCTGGGTGACGTTGTCAGCGCCGAATAATCATCTTTTCGCAGAAATATAGATCAAAATAATATATACGTGAGAACCTTGAATGAGACAAAGTGACTTACGGTATGTTACTCATGTGATTACAGTCGAACCTTTTGGGAAACTCGGGAGAGCGAGAGACTCTGGTCGTTAAGTAGTCGAAATGAAACCATTCGGCAATTTCTGTGACATCCCCACAGAGAGCTTTTACACAGATTCTCCCTTTAATTCCTTGATCGCATTGGCTGCGCGCTTGAACATCGGTGCTACATGATCAAACAAGCAGGAAGATTTGGTTTCTTTCCACATATCTCGGAAATGCCACATAGCCGAAAATGGTTTATTCCCGAAGTCATAACCCTTGGACTGGCCATAGTCTCTTAGTGTACATCGGTACCAATTTTGGTCTAACATGGTCGGATTAAATTTCCAGTTCTCGAGAAACTTACGGAGTGCATTGGAGTATTTTCTCCCTTTCGATGCTTTCGTGATGAGCTTTGCCAACCGTGGTTCCTGTGAAAGAAGCACCTTCTAAGGAGGATAAACGAGCGCATAGTTGGCATAAAACTTCTTCCCTTTGTTGCAAACTTTGCTGGTGTCTCAGGAGTCACAGGAGTCATTACAGAGTGATTTTCGGCTCAGTGCGTCGCGTGTGCCTTGGATAGCTTTGCCGATGGTAAGAATCCCAAAGCCATTACTAACCCAGTGATTTAAAACATCGATGCATTTTGGAATGTTGTACTCGTGAAGGGTCACCCACTCAACAGGACTAACCCCCTGAGGTTAATAAATAGTAAGTATTGAATTAGAAAGCCTGGGTACTCGTCATCCTTTCGAGGGATGACGTATGGTATGGTATTGCCTCTGAATGGTGCCGTACTGTAAAAGATTGAAATTCAAAGTATACATACCTTGTCCAGTCTAATAAGAATAGTCTCCATTGTTGTACATCAGAATTTCCAGATGTAGGCCAGTGTTTGTACTAGTATACGGTAGTGTAACAGCGGCGCGTATCAAGTCTTTAATATGATATCTCATATATATAAAAAGGGATTATATCATTTCTATTAATATTCAATATATTAAATATTACTAGAAAGATATGAGAATATAGGAATTCGATTTTGGAATAGATATTCTAAAAGATATTGATAGATACCTAGTCTATTTTGGAATGAAAAAGGGCATTTTAAATCGAATTCCCATATTTCTATATCTTTTTAATAATATTCAATATTGCTTCTATATTGAATATCTTTAGTGATATATAAATCAACATTACCTACATAAATAATTTCGAAAATATTGATATGCACCACCATACGGACCAATATACGAAATACGAGCAATACTAATAAAAACACTGACGTAGCCTGGCATGATAATGAGTCTGTAAATGAAGAGAATTGTCGTCAAGACCATCAATCACTGGTCCGAATCATGGTCTAATGCAGACAAATCATCAAACCGTGTCCTGACAATAAGATCTCGAGTCAGAGAGCACATATTGAGATTATTTGCAATGAAGTGTTATTCTCGAGGGGGGAGGGGGGGCATTATTCTCTTCCCAGATTCATGGAGATCGATAATCGTTGCATACAAATAGCGGGCATCCCCACCACCAGCGAAGAACAACGAAACCATGCCACCTTTATCTAGAGGAAAATCTTTCAGAATTTCAACGGAAAAGGGTTCGGCGACATCGTTCCCAACTCTAAAATACTCAGGTGATGTGTATTTAGTCATCAATATTGGCCCCTTTCAATCATGTAGATACAAAAAGCTTGCATAGATGCACGGTGTAGAGAATCAAAAATTGCAACATACCCGCTGAGAACTTTCTGGATCCAAATAAAACGTTCCCTTCCTCATTGAGCTGCTCTATGGCTGCTCTCTTTGATTCCTCCGAAACACTGGTCGCTTGTCCCATAGCTTGGGTAAACATGTTGCGCTGAGGTAAGTGGTCTATCGATTGAAAAGTTCAATGTGTGCTTCTCCTATTGAGAAATGAATCAATCGGCGGTAACATTACTGGTGACTTTTTAAGTAAGTTGATCAATAGGTATTTAAAGGAGACTTAGACAATGAAAAAATCTCACTGGGAATCCGTCTTCCTTTGTGAGGGTTGAATATTCAGTGATTTTCATCTATAGTTACCTGTTATAAAAGGCACTGCCATAAAAAGATTGATATTTAATAGAGTAGGGGAGATTGGAAGTTTCATTCGATATTTTATTTGCTCATAAGATTCAATAGAAGCAAATAATGAGCAAACGGAGCCCAGCAGCAAACACTTAAAAAAGGTAATGGGGAAACGACAAACATACTTCATTACGTCAATCATAGCATTATAAAATATAAGGAGTCTTTTTGAATACGTCAAAGAATTTCAGGCAGTGCTGAAGCGTTGAGAGTAGCTATTCACTTTTGAAATCATAGAGACAACAAGAAGCTCTCACCTGCTAATCTTGGCACAGAACCGCCGTCAAGAAATTCAGATCAAAAAGATCGATTGCCCAGGTAGATGTTTGTGATTTCTATTCAATGGGCTAGGCTTTGTAGATCCTTAGAGTGTAGCAAAAGAAATTCAGTTAGAACTGCCTATTATCGAGAATCAGAGGTGAACACGGAGGTAGCAATAATCACTTACATTTCAGTGCAGAAATGCTAGATTATCACATGCATGCACGACTACCGAACTGGAGTTTTGTGATATATCTTTCCAATCAAAATGAACCAATTTTATCGACCTCGCTAAACTGGCTGCGTCTGCTCATTTAGCAAGCCATTTCCGGCCAGCTCAAGTTACGAACATTCCTAGTAAGTTGCCGATAATGTTATTCCAGTCTTTCATAGATCTCAAGCTCTTGTTATAACCCTCAGATCCTTTATGACTATGGCCACAATCTCCCAGATAGTGATGTCTTTCACTCCGTGACCAGATGAAGTCTGTCACCCTCTCGGGCATCAGAAGTACTCGCAATTACCGCCCAGGTTCCCAACTCGCACACAGAAATTACAGATTCAAGAGACAGAACTTGATTACCTCGTCCATACATGATGTCCGTCTTTCTTTGATTAGTTCGAAGGTAATCAGTATCCCTTGTGGCGAGGTTCCTACACAAACCAGCATACAAGCTAAGATTTGCACATGTATTACCATAAAGGAAGATTTACAGCAGCTCAAATCCAGCTTTCGTCTGATCGAACATTGTCTGCAAACATTTTAATTCTTTGCTCGCTCCCCTTCCCTACAAGTGTAATTTCTGATAATTTAATTCTGTATGCTTTGATTAGCTTCGGTGCAAGCGGACAAACCAATTCAAGAAGCGCCCGGTCCCATTGCAGTAGTGTGAGACGATCTCGAATCTGCCTCCATCCGTTCTCTTGAAAGAGCATCACCCGAATTTTGCTACTCTTCCCGCACTTCACATCCCATAAGTGTGAAATCAAAATTCATCTTTGCGGCAACAACTGTCAGATCATTCGTCATTGCCGCAGGAAAGATTTCTAACCTCGGGAGAGCCATTCTCGGATTGTAGAATAGATTTTCGCTTTTGTGGACAAGCAAAATCGTGAGCTATTATGATCGATGGTAAGATTACATTGGCATGTTTAGTCCTAATTGTTGATGTGGGTAGCCACTAAAATCTGCAAACGGCACCACCGCTGCAAGACTAGAAACGCGATCCGACGGATATTTGCAATGCGTAGAGTCGAGCAACCAAGTACTCGACCTGGGGTGTTGTCATGTTGTCGAATAGATGAGTGCATGTGAAAGATCTGACAGCACGCCTTTCAAGGCGAGGAACCAATTTTGATTCCTTTGCATGACCCGACTGGCAATCGAAATGTCTTCATGGAACGTCCTAGAATTTGTCATTGGCGCGTAAAGTAAAATGATTATCGGGTTGAATCCTTGGATGGTAAAGATTCCGTACCGAAATACTGCGGACGATGTACTTACCGGGTCACCTTTGATGATATCTTGCATGCATCTTGTTACCTTTTTGTATTGAGGGGGGGGGGGGGTCTGGAAGTCCTGATCCGGTGTAAAGTCAAATTGACTAGGGTTTGTTCGAACTTTAATGTAATTTTAATATATCCTATTGTTTGCTAATACTATCCAATGGATAATAAAACCACCAGAGAAAGAATCGGCCTAAATAGCCCCTTTTCGTTCTTGCAGCTAAGCCTAGCTGTTCTCTTCATCACTAACTGTGCTCCTGACAGGTTTCTACCAATTTTCGGGATCGTTTCTTGGGGCAGGGCATTGCATCTAAACAAATGCCCATAAGCTTCACGTGATGACGAGAACATTGATACACGTAATCTTGGTTTGGCATCGAGTTCTTCCATATCCGTCGTTGTTCCCATTCTCTCAAACATACTGGTATTATTCACAGTATTCTTCATCAACAGGGGAGCTGGGCATATATGCTCACAGTAATTTCCCTGGATATCCGCGACTTCCGTTGTCTATTCAAAGGGGCTTGGGCGATTGGAGAATAGGGCAAAGCCATTCAGAAAACAAGACGGAAATATATCGATCGCCTCTTCATAGGCACTCCTACTGCCACTATGGGCAAGATCATACATTTATTCACTGAAAACTTGTTCCGTTGTCGATCCCGCTAAGCCTTTCTCTCATTTTGGACAGCAAGTTCGAGACTATGAAAGGTTTGGACATTACGAAATTCTACAGCAACACCTGTTAGCATGATGATTCACTTCAAACCAATTTTTTGGAGACTTACAATTCCGTTATGTAATGCCACTTGAACCTGCTCCTCTCTGGCATTAGCAGTAATTGCGATGATCTCAAGATGCTTCACGATCTTTCCAGATTGTTGCAATGCTCGGATCTCCCGACTGCAAGTGAGACCATCCATGATAGGCATTTCCCAATCCATCAGTATTATGTCTAATTTCTTCGCGTCTTTCACCGGCTCATGCCAGCAGGAACATTGTCTCAATATCTTTAAAGCCTCTAATCCATGGTTGGCCACGTAGACTACGCAGCCGGCTTTTTTTAATTGCTTCTCTAATATCCTCTGATTGACCACATTGTCTTCGACTAGCAAAACGTGCATAGGTTTCGATCCGTCATAGTAAGATCCATCGAATGATACTGGTGTTAATCTTGGGCGGACATCTTTTCGTGGTTTGACACTACGTCGTACCTTGATGTAAAACCCGAACGTGCTTCCCTGGCCTAACTTGGAAGATAGGCCAATCCTACCTCCTTGCTTTTCGGCAAGCTTCTGAGAAATGAACAATCCCAAACCAGATCCACCATATTTTATAGAGGTTTTCGAATTGGCCTGCTCGAAGCGAGTGAAGAGACGAGGGATCTCGTCAGCACGCATGCCAACTCCTGTATCTGTGACTGCGCATGTTAAAAACACAGATTCACCAGAGCCCCACTCAGGATTCAGCGTCAAATCTTCAACCTCGTTCCCGCATGGTACCCAGTAAAGTTCCTTGCTGAAATTGTTCTCTGGATCAACAAGAGTAGCACCATAAGTAACTGTGATCTTTCTCTCTGGTTCACCTCTCGTAAACTTAATCGCGTTTGTTAGTAAGTTAATCAAGATTTGGTTCACACGCGAGGAGTCAAACATGACCAAGTCGATATTATTGGCGCGGAACGAAGATTGAGCTATTGTTTTGATTGAGATATCGTGGGACGTTAAATCCGCTTCAAACATTCTGACGACCTGTTCCAGATTCTTCGCTGGATTAGCAGGATGCGGCGAAATGGACAACATCATATACTTGAGCTTCGAGAGTGTCAAGACATCATCCACGATACGCTTTTGATGACTGGCACACATCGCTATCGTATGGGCGGCCTCGACATTGCTTTTCAAAATGTCAAGAGTATTTGTGTGTGATAAATCTTTGTAGGAATTTGATATCATGTCGGCACATTGGAAGATGGCAGAAAGAGGATTTCTCATCTCATGAGAGACAACATCAATGAACTCCTCTTGTTGACGTTTGGCCTCGCGTGCTTCCTCGGCATTTCTGGCTTCCGCTGCTTCGGCCCATTTTAACTCAGAGATGTCGGTGAAGCAAGCCATGATAGATTGTACTTTGCCATCAACAATATATGGGAATGCCAATGATAGCACACAAGCGTGCTCGGCTTCCCCACTGGGTGGCACGAACATACGCTTGAGCCGTGACGTAGTCTCAATGTGAGAGGATCCATCATGAAGTTGTGCCCAAGCTTGTAAAGTTTGAGACCTATCTTCTTCAATCAAGACATCAAGAAAAGAATAGTTGTACTGCGGTTCCTCAGGTCCCGAATGGCCAGTAATTCGATAGTATATATCATTGGCCCAGAGGATTTTACCTTCAGTCGATAATTGCAGCATGCCAACCGGAGCGTTCTGTGCCATATATCTGATTTGTCTCTCACTTTCAGCTAGTTCTTTTTCTAGCCGATCAGCCCTCCGCCTTGTCTCCTCAGTGCTAGCTAAGGCAGATGCAATTGATGAAACCCTCGAGGCAATAGCATTTATGAATCGATCGTAGGTATCGTCAATTGGTCGGCGAGAGTTGGCGCCAAGTATGAGATAACCAAAGATACGATCAGCACTCGAGATTGGAAGTATGCTAAAATGCGTCGATGGTTCGTAAGCTCTGGTAAAATCATCTTTGTGACCACGCCATTCGACTCCCTCAAATTTCTCATCAACAGAATGAGTCGAAATTTTATTGCTTGTTTTATGCAACAATGGAAATAGGGCAAGACAGCTGCTGAGTTCAGCTTCCGGCACGGCGAGTGGATGGTTCTCAGGGAAGCCAAGTTGACTCCGCAGATAAACCGCAGACCCAGAAGAACTTTGCTCATCTACCTGATATAACATCGCCATGGGGATATCTAGTGGATTTGACTCTAAATGAGGCATAACATGGCTAGCAAGTGTCCCTTGTTGCAATCCAGTTGGAATCTCCAATGATCCCAACATCGACTGTCTTCTCTCGTTGAGCTTTTGGGCAGTAACTTCAACTGCATCCACGTTTCAGTAATTGCTAGCCAAAAAATGTCTGAGGGCATAATAACGAATCAAATTAGACTTGAAATCAGAAAGCACAAGATAATGGAACAAATCGCATACCAAATTCAATAATACTCAAAAACTATCTCTTCAATATCTAAGATGAAGTTCGACAATCAAATAGTATCTTGAGCTTCAGTACAAAATTCTTCTATCCCAATCAGGTTGGAAGGTTGTATTGTCTCAGAATCAGATAGTCAAGAAGTCATTTTGATATGCGATGGTTTACTCCATCCATCGCATGAATAGATGCGTTGGAGGAAGAGGAAAGGTGGGACGTAAATTTTAGGGACGGAAATGGGTTTGAAGGCTGCAAAATCTGCGAAACAAATACGAACCTACAGAATTATAAAAGCCTGCAACTGCTCCATCCTCCCTTCGGACTGGATTGAAGCTTCCCGTAAAATATGCCTCCTCTTTAAACCCGCTTCTCTCCACCGTCAAAGGTATCTCATTAACGTCTGCTGCAACCTTGCTCGTCTCTGCATGAATGAAAACCCCCTTGATGTCATTCCAAATTTCTGGGAAAGCCAACTCGAATGGCGTGCCCATCAATGCTGGATGTGTTTTGCCGGACATTTCGATAAAATTTTCATTGTAAATTGCAACTCTCTCAGGTCCCCTAACATTTTGCTGTCAGATTGTTCAAATTTGAGTAGAAACATTTCATACCAATATAAACAAGCAGGTCTTGAATCCGCGAAAGTTGTGAAAGTGTGCAGGCGAAGGGCAAGGCTCCATGATTCTAATGGTCCGAGTTGTGTTGCAGCCCAATTTGTATTTTTAAAAAATTGAACATGCTCAGAGTTAGGTAGATCTGAGGTCCAGTCTGCTGGCTTTGGGATTGGAGAAGGGATCGTGGATGAATATAAGACTTCGGCGGTGGTGGCAGTTGTGTTCGAAGAATGCGTTTTCGTGGAATCTGGTATGGAACTTTGGTGTGTATCTGCGATGTGAATATCTTCAAGAAGATCTTGAATTTCTGCAATGTCTTGAATAGTAGGCTTGACATTCCCATTACCTTTGCCGTTGAGGATCACCATGGTCGAAGCAGACCCCCAAGCTCAATGTCAGAGATCATTCATGCCTCTACTCTTTGAGGTCTAATAACTTCAATTTGTAGAGATCTCAGTATAAAGATTGTTCGTAATGTTCTGACATCAACATTGATTGTATCTCAATATGGACTTTGTTCATGCATGGACTATCGGAAAGGCTTGATGAGGATTTGATAACCGCTTAAAATTGCACTTTCTAGACCCACCCTCATGCGGATAACCTTCTAGGAAACATGCCTCGAGGGTTGCCGAGTGGAGCACAACATATTGAAAGCCTCCGTATCACTAAAAAAAGAAATCATGATGAGTAATCACGAACGGTTAAATCGGAAATACTGACAAATTATTTGCATCTAATGACCACCAGCTGAACTAGCGTGGTGCTGGATTCTACATATACAATCGCATTTATTCCCCAAAATGGAGATAATCTATTACCCAAGTACGAGCTGAAGAAGTTGTGCGCAGTCACAAATTTTGATCATATCTTCCCCCTTTCCAGCTATACTCCGGCTGGTTATCTTTTGGGCGGACGATGCTATTTACATGACTCGAGCAACCCTGTTGAAACATCTGTCGCACGATGATTCCTTTCAGACTGGTACATTACACTCGTTTCTCGCCAGCTAGTCACTCACGCCACCCTTCATCTAGTGCGGCCATTGAACGGTATGCATCTTGTAGAGACTCAAACAGTAATTTGGAATGAATGATCTGTGATGAAGAATCTCTGCAAAGCGGTCGCGCCTCGCCCCCTCCCTAAAGCCTATTCTTCGAATTCCATTCAATATCCCGAAGGTTTTATTACCAACTGATCCGAACAGGCCATGAAGCTTCAAATTCGTAGAAAATTGAAGCTGTGACATTTGAAATTCAGTGCCTTGTTTGGACCTGAAATTCTATATACAGGCCGTTAACTGGTTTCAACATCGAGCCTCATCGTAGGTGTTGTGAGAGCTAGGCACACTTGTGTGCTAGAGCAGCCACTAGACTAAGACTGCGTTGTAGTATCAATGGCAAAGACTCTTTATTCCCCAAGTTCTTGGAATCTCCATTGGTCAAAACTTTTTTGGACCGTTAACTCCAGATTTCTATTTGGGCCGCATGGTAATGGGCACAATACCACAAGAGACACTTATTACTTTCCGGCTAAACAGTATTCTGAAAACTGCCAGGGATGTGTAAGGAAGCAAAGACATTCAAGAGTTTCCGTTCATTGAATGTCACCGAAATTCCGCAATAGTCGGGAAAGCAGTATTTTGGCAAGGTATTGCATATAATACTATGATTACCATCGTGGTTACGCGTGTTCATCATCAGGGAAAGTGTTCCGGTATGCAAGAATATATCCATCTGGTGTGGGAAGCTGCAGATGATATCGATCTGAAATTTAGTATATATGAGGAGGATATCGGACGAAGGTCCGAATGTTGCTTTATCTGGGGTAGAAATCGTGTATATTCGAGCTACATTGCATACCTAGCTCAATTTCTGAAGTCTTTGAAGATATCTTCTAGGAAGAACCTTTGAACGCCTTGGATTACGTGGATCTACGGTGCAGTAGCATTGGTATGTGTTAGTTCGCAATCAATATGTGCAATACCACAGAAGCAATCATCTTCTTCATCAACGATAACACTCGAGCATGCCCTTTAAGCTGTACCGGTGGCATCGAAATTCTCCACTACTAGGAGGTGATGGCTTGCATGGGTTGCCCTACCGCATGCTTCATAACTCAGTTGAGGTACTGTCCATAGCACAACATCGTATCACGATCGGCTACGATTACCTCGCTCGGCATTTATATATTTAAGATAAGCTTACTAATTTGATGAGGCAACTGCAACACAGTTCACTACATGAACATTACTCGCTAAGCAAGTTAGTCATATGTAATCTACATAGGTAAGCATCAAATCCCAGTGTAAGCTCGAGGGCTTCCTAACTCGCTGTTACTCCATGTTCCAACGTGCAGTTAGTCCTGTTCATTTGACAAGTAATATGGACCACAGCTGGTTGTATGTTGCAACGTTAGAGGCCTGGCTTAAATTGCTCACAAAAGTAATACGAATTCAATCTTTTCCTGTTCGTGGACGACAGGCCATGTGTCGAGCACCTTCATATGTCAGTTTCATTTTTGCACTCGCCCATCGTATTTTATCCTATCGTAGACTCTTCTTAGTATTAGCATGCGTGATTTAATACTGTTCATCTCACATATTCGCAGGGATTCTTCATCATCGCGATGTGATTATGATCTTTGATCCTCTGGAATCAGTATTGTAATATGGTGAAACATTATCCAACTACTGATCAATTACAATGAAGGACCGGAACCTGAATAAATGATTGCTTTTATTTTTGACATATTACTGAATCAGAGGTCGAACTGACATCTCGATGATTGTCTGTGAAATAAAACGCGAAGTTTCCGAAGTAGCCCCTCATCAAAGTGACTATCATGCCATCATTTTTTTGACAGGAGACAAAATATTCATAAATCTCTAGAGAGCATGACCCTTAGTCGTAAGCCACATTTCCTAACATCTTTCCTATTACATGCCCCTGTCTACCTGACGATTGCCTAGAACACGAGGTTCCGTTCACCATTTTGCCTCAAGTTTCCAAAGTTATATCGTCCGAATGGTAAAAAATACACTTTTGTTATTCATTTCTGGTTGACGGGCCCATGCGACAACGATAGGCCACAAAGATTTCATACCAAAGCATCTTTTATGTACGTAGAATTAGGCGTTGGGCATTCTCCAAGTTGTCTCTCTTCTTAATAGCTTCGATAATGTTTTATCGAAATGCCCAAGAAAGTCTGTAAGGGTTGGGTTTGATCAATTGTAATTCCTTTGTTCGCAGAAATGGAACATACAACAACAACATGCTAACCTCGCTTTCTTCACAACAAAGGAAAGATGCTGATATGTTGATAACGCAGAGACAAGAACTTTCTTTCGTCTTCACAAGTCTGCTTTTACTCACCTAACACGGAAAATGCCTGCAACCACCAGAGCTATCTCTAAAAGACTTCTCTCATCTATTTCAAAAGAGGTGGAGTTGCGTCTTCCCAAAGCTTCCTCTTCAAATGCTACTTTACAAAATGTTGTTGGTAAATCAAAGAGTCAGACACATTCCAAGCATCAGATCAGACGAAAAGCACGGAAAAGATCCCACCAAGATCAGAAATCTAAACAACAGAAGCCTGCCAGAGGAAACACAAAAATTGAATTGTCAGATCTTCCTTCTACTACTGTCACTCACTGGCCTTGTCATCATTGTGATTGCTCTCAAGGAGTCTTCGAGTTATTAGTTCCTCTCTGTGTCAACTGTGGACACGAGATGAACGACCATGCACCTCGTATTTTAAGTTCATGGAATACCCACTGCCCTTATATTTGCGAAAGACCAGATCTAGTTTCTTCAGTTCTGCAACTTGCACTAAATACGGGAATGGCGGTTATTCGTGCTACACCTCTGGTGGGAAAGACAACTCTTCTTCAGTTACTTGGATATCGTATTCTCTTTCATAACCCAGAGCTTGAGCCTGTATTCGTTCTTTGGCAGCCTAAAAATAGACGCAATAATATTCCGTACCAAGAGTTTCTAGACGAAAAGACAATGCCAAATATCGTCCACATAATCCTGACGCCAAAATTATCTATCTCGTTGATGAAGCTCAAGGTTCTTATGAAGATGAAGAATTTTGGATCTCTGAACTCAAGAACCGCTACACTAGATCACGATCAATATTCGTGCTTGTTTGCCTTTATGGGGCTGCTGGCATTTCTGAGATTCAAGAACCGTTCATTCAATCGCAAGCCTCGAAAGTAGACGATCTCAATCGTATCGAATTACGACCATCAAAATCCAGTTCTTTATGTATGCTCTTCAGATCGGATGAGACATTGACCGCAGTCAGTAAATGGATCCTGGAGAATGGTCTTAACCCTGGTAGCGTTGATCGAGTAGCCATAGCCGAGTATCTTCACTCTGCTACTGACGGTCATCCAGGAATGATTGGATTGATCTTGGGTTGTTTTGAAATGTTGATTTCACAGGTAATATCTCCTCGGCTACACTGAAGAAGCTGTTCATTGAAGAATATGCTAACTATTTCTCGCTCAATAAGAACATCCAAAACCGTCGAAGATGGTCGCCAGTCTTCTGTCATGAGATCCTTGTCGAGCATGATTTCCTACTGGAATTTCTTAATCAATGGGGCAGAGGCGTCTGGACAGTTGTAGGAGAGAAGCACCTAAAGAACTATTTGGTACGTTCTCCATCTTGCAGCCATCTCAAATATTCGGATGTTACAGATGCAATGCGTAAAGTAGCGAGACTACCCAAAGGCTACACAGAGCCAGGAACGAACAACATGAATGCATTAGCATTTTGTTATAAAATGGGGTTCCTACATGCAGAGCACCTTGCGCATGGAAGTAGCGAAATCACCTATAATTTTGCCTCTCCAATACATAGAAGATATGTGCATTCACCCCGTTCTTTGCTTATACTAACGCCAGACAGGATCGCATATCGACGACTCATTCCAGGTCCGCCACCAGGAAGCGTTTCAGATACAATCACCCTTCAGCAAGCCTGTTTAAACGCCATTGAAAGGTTTAGCCCGTCTGTTCTGCATCATCGCTCTCCCTCGTCAAATACTGGTTGCCAGTCCGATACTAATTGGGGTATTCCAGAGGCAGTATTCCAGGATGAGATGTATTGTTGCCTTAACCAGGAGCTTCATAATCTACCGATCTTGTCAGAATATGCTGAAACAAAGGACGGAAGAATCGATTTCTTTATCTTTGGCAAAAAATGGGGTATTGAGATACTTCAATCTGGCAACCATGGAAGGCTAGAAGAACATGCAAATAGATTTAAATCTGGAGGGAAGTATCACAAATGGGGTATTCTCGAAGATTATATCATTCTGAACTTTTGCCCAAAGTCTTCTCTTGATGTACTTGAAATCAAAGGTGAGGAAATTTTCTAGTTTAGAGCCAAGTATCATCTAAACTAGATTCTGCTCTTTAGATGTTGATACGCAATCGCATATTCGACATGTTGTCATCGATGCAAATGAGCGCATCGCGCAAGTATACACATATGACAAGCAGCTGCAAACAGTTCTGAACCTGGGCGAGGGAAGAACCAGGTCTCACTCACCTGAAGAGCAGACAGCTCCTGGGGACTCGGATATTCCTATGGCTCTGCGAGATCAGAAGATAGAGTTGGAGCAAGAGAATGAAAGGCATGAAGAGGCGCTAAGAACAATATATCAACTGAAGCTAACGCCTGGAAAAAGGTGACTTAGGTGTAAGGGGGAGAAATTGAATGACAAAGATGAAACAGATGTTATTGCTTTTTTGATTTTAAGCTCATAGACTAGAAATTTTAGCTTTAATGACTTTTGAGGCGATTAGATGGGCTTCTGGTCAAAAATTGGAATGTTAACCATCGATACATTTTCCAATTTTCGCCAAGTTGTTTGAAGAACGCATGATTATCTGAATGGGAACAGTATGCCAACACTGCCAAAAATCATTGCCCAATACTTATTATCGGTTCTTGCTTGTAAAGTTATAGCCATCATAAAAATTAGAAGAAGATCTGCTCTTTTTGCGCATAGTCCTGCATCACTTGAAAGAAGATTGCTTAGGCACTATCTGCGACTATATGCTCTCGAGTGATTTGGCGATACTATTGCAACTTGAGAGAGCGACAAGAGGATGAACCAATCATACATCTGCTAACCCTACAATCATCCTTGGCTCGAAACGCAGTGCAGCAGATAAAGGTCCAAGGTAAATCACAGCGAGGACTAACATTGGAATGAATGGCAAAAGGCTTACACCACTTCTAAGAAATCTTGAAACTATTATGCCCTAGAATACCGTTGTTTATATACAAATTTAATGGAAGCCCAAAAAGGGTGCTGTCTAATCCGCGATATAGGTGTATAAACTAAGCGGGCTCTAGAAATATATCTCGTGTCGCTCGTCTATCTCGAGTGGGCTGCCGGCTTACCTAGCTCTAATGTGAGATAGCGGAAGCACCCCACCGCCAAGAGATCAGGCTTGTGGGCTTGCCATTTCCCCGACTTATTGACTGTCATTCTGCAGACACAAGCCTCTATCAACTCCCAATCTATGATATCGAACCTCAATTGGCATTTTTCTAACATTGACATTCCAGAAAGGCAACCCTTTACCCTAGGCCTCATAAAATTTGGCTGATCCAAACGAAGGAAAGAGAAGCGCATAATCCATCACGAAACGCCAATCATTGCTTGGACCCATCAAATTTCATTACAACAGCTCTCATTTCGGAAAGCAATAGCTACCCACGTTTATTCAGATGTCGGCATAAGATCCGCTCTTCTCAAGCACAGCTCGATAAAGCTTCATTACCTATCGTATATCATTGATCAACTACAATGGGTCAATTTGCCCTCCAAACATGGCTGCTGTGGTTGGGAGCTTTGGGCGCAATAGCTCAATCGCCATATCGACCACAAGAACCAATTAACGATCCTCATAAGTATGCGAAAGCATGTCCGGACTACAAGAAATATTCGACCTTCAGGCATGGGCCAGTATCTGACGGACCTATGGAATTGCCTTTTCAACGCCCTGCGGAGGAATGTCGAACATTTTCCTCTCCTTTGGTGGAGAAGGTCATCGATGATATGTCACTTAAGATGGTCAATAAGGACCTCGCGAGACTGTTCGAAAACGCTTTCCCCAATACTCTCGATACAACAGTACGATGGCACGTCGACGGAACCACAAAGCATACGGAACTGAAGGCAAGGAGTGCTCAAAGCAATCAGAAATGGCAGGGAGCGCAATCGTTTGTGGTTACGGGAGATATCAATGCGGAGTGGCTCAGAGACTCTACAAACCAATTGTTACAGTATCAGCCTTTGTCAAACAAAGATCCAGCTATTTTCAATCTCATATTGGGAGCTATCAATACACAAGCAGAGTATGTTATACAATCGCCATACTGCAACGCGTTTCAACCTCCCCCGCCCTCGAAGCTTGCTGCGTCACAAAACGGACAAGATGACAATGTCCACCCCGCATACGAACCTTCTTTCGTGTTTGAATGTAAATACGAGCTAGATTCCCTTGCCAATTTTCTGGCTCTAGGAAACGCCTTCTACAACCACACTAAATCGACCGACTTTATTAATTCACGGTGGTTGACCGCACTAGATACCCTTCTCATGGTCATTGAGCAACAATCCGAATCCAGCTTTGATTCAAAGACTGGTCGTTTCCAACGTAATGCTTACACGTTCAGCCGTCGAACCGACCAGGGAACCGAAACTTTACCACTATCCGGTGTTGGAAACCCATTAAATTACGGTACAGGCTTGATAAGAAGCGCATTCCGCCCTTCGGACGATACTACAATCTTAGGTTTCTTCATCCCAGCAAATGCACAGATGTCCGTCGAATTGAAACGCACTGCCGAGATCCTCAAAGTAGCCAAACGCACCGACCTAGCTCAAACTCTCGAGAAGCGCTCACAAAGTATCAAAGACGGCATTATGAAGCACGCCGTCGTACAACACAAGAAATGGGGTAAAGTATTTGCATATGAAGTAGATGGCTATGGTGGACAAATCCTCATGGACGATGCCAACGTGCCTAGTCTCCTCGCCCTGCCAATCCTCGGTTTCTGCAGCAATGACGACCAAATTTACAAAAATACCAGAAAAATGATTTTATCTAAAGAAGGAAATCCATACTATCTCGAAGGAAAAGCATTCAGAGGTATAGGAGGTCCACATATTGGCCCCGAGAATGCATGGCCTATGTCTTTACTGTTACAAGCCATGACCAGTAATAATGATGATGAGATTATGGAGTGTTTGAACCTAGTTTTGAAAGCGAGTAGGTTGGGACTGATTCATGAGAGTATCAATGTCAACCGTATACAAGAGTATACGAGGAGTTGGTTTGCATGTATGTCTTCCTTTTCTCTTCCCCTTTCCGTCTTCACGTGTCTTGTGACGCCCTTCGCACATGGCAAATTCAGATACTAACATCTCCGAAGGGGCTAACTCGGTGTTTGCACAAACAATCCTCGATCTTGCAAAGCGGAAACCCCATCTTTTGTTTGGGGAGGGCGCTGATCCTTATGACCTCGAAACTTGACGGCTTTAATCGTCAGGAAGAGGCTCTGCGCATGAAAGTATGGAAGCAATGGCAATATTATGATTGGAGTTATATTTATGGAGGGAGTTTTCTGGGCGCCTTGTCGGATTAGCTGACCATGCTTGTTGGTGAAGCAAAGCAGATTATATGTATTTGATATTCTACAGAGAAAATTTAGATCTGAGTACAATATTTACAATGTTTGCATGTCTTGCATCTGAATACAATGATCTAGTTTTATTATGTTTGTTTGCTACCAATGCATTTGGACCAAAGCTATCCGCTATTACATAACCCCTATGATGCTCACTTCAGCTCGCTATCAAATGTAGTCTACAATCACTCCTTTAAGTTCCTCCAGAAACACTATTTCTTCCCAAAAAACGCCATGATATTACCCTGTCCCTTCTTGGGTGCATCTTTCTTGGGTTTAGTGGAAACATGCGCTGCTTTAGCTTTAGGTGCTGGAGCAGGCTCGTCTTCCGAGAATGATTCCCAGGCTGCTTCTTGTTTCGTTACTGTTATCTCGATTAGTAAAGTACGCATGAAAAGGAGAATAAAATTTGTGAGTAACCTACCTAAATAGCCATCTTCATCCTTCACAGTTCTCTTCTTCATAACTCTTCTTCTACCTCTTCTTCGTCCACTACTTGTAGTTGTTACAGGTTCTTCTTCCTTAGTCTCCTCGGGTGGTTTTTCCTCTTCTGATTCCTCAGCGGGTGTTTCTGGAGCTGGAGAGGGTGCTGCTTTTTCTTCTTCTTCGTCGTCGTCATCTTCCATCATTTTCTTTAATCTCTCCTGTGTTGCTTTTCTGGAACTTCGATCTTGAGACTTGGTTTCTTTACTGACAGGCGCTGGCATCCATGTATCTTCCTCGTCGTCGTCAGAGACATCTTTCATCGCTGTATCGTCTTTTGTGCTCGATTCTGTTTCCTCAATTTTTGCTTTCTTAGAGTGGGTCTTTGCGAATGCCTTGAAAATGCTACTGGATTCGCGCTTCAGATTTGCAGGAGGAGCTGGTGTTGATTCTTTACTCGAAGGCGCAGTCGTAGATTCGGCTTCTGTAGACTCCGCTTGTGGCTTTGGCTTAGCCTTTTCTTTTCCATTGCTGCCGAAGAAATCTTTGGCGTTCGATGGCTGTGATTTGGGTTCGGGCTTTTTGGAGGACGAGGATGATTTAGGAGCCTGTTGGACTTCATTGAATTTGGATTTCGCAATCGCAGGTCTGGTTGGAACAGACGCTTGTGTGGCAGTTGCAATAGGTGTTGCTTTACGGGTGCGGCGTTTGGCATTTGGATTGGTTATTATCCCATATCTATGGTAGGATTCGAGGGGGTCTTCGGATTTGGCGAGTGTTTGGATTTCTCGGGTTGAATCTGAGAGCAATTGGAGCTCCTAAAAGTTGTTAGTACTTGGAGAGTTTGGATATAAAATGTGTTTTACCTTCAACGGATGAGGCCCTAAACTATAGATATGTATTGAGGAAATATGCTCAAACTGAGACCGTATTGCTGTAGGTTGTTAGCTACGAAGTATGGCTTGTCAGAGGCGGGGCTCCAACTTTCCAAATCCTCCTCTCGAGTCAATGTTATACTCAATGTAGAGCCTTCGCCGGTACTTCCTTCGGCCTGTGGCATTGAGCTTCCGACAAATGGACTGCTCTGCATATAATCATCTTCGCCATCTTTTTGCGCTTCAATCTCTGTATGTGCTTCTTTTCTCTTTGTTCCGCCAATGAGATAAGTTGCATGGATTGTTCCTGGTTTCTTAGCATTCTGTACTCTATGAAACTCAAACAGCATTCTGTCAAAATTTTAGCAGAAGGCACACTACAAAGGTCGGAAATGGCATACTCCTTTGCTGTGTTTACATGGACTTTGAGCACCCGACTAAGCAGTCTATAAGTGACCTAAGAACTTTCAGTTAAAATCATATAAACCCACAAACAATTGCTTACCACTTTGTCTTCTGTCAAAATACTCGCTGCAAGATAACTTTTGAAATCCGCCATTTTGTTCAACTTTGTGGTTGTTTCAAAAGGTTGCTGGAGCTGTTATCTGATTTATTTTCGAGGTTACGGCAACTGATAATGATAAACTAGGAGTCGCGACGCGTCTGTCAACCACTTTACGCGAAATTTCCAGGATGTCATCTCCGTCCAGAAGAAAGAATGCGACAAGCAAGGCAATTATTACGCAAAAATCGGCCAAAACCCTTATCGAAGAAGCTATGAATATTAGAGGGCCAAGGGATGATTCTTTTGATATAGCAGATTCAACGGATTGGTTAGGAACGCCACTTTCTAAATTCGCAGATGTCGATTCATTATTACGATGTCAAGTCTGTAAGGACTTCTTCACTACGCCAATGATCACTTCTTGTTCGCACACTTTTTGTTCACTTTGTATACGAAGATGCCTCAATAATGACTCGAAATGTCCGACATGTAGATCGAACGACCAAGAAGTCAAGCTGAAATCGAATGCTGCTATCGAGGATTTGGTGGAAGCTTTCAAAAGGGCGAGACCGGCGGCACTGGAACTTGCGAGGAAACCTATGGTGGATTCTATTGTTACATCTCCAAAGAGGAAGCGTGAAAGATCAGATCTTGATGGATTGGACGAGCAAGCAAGTAAAAAAACGAGAGCTTCGACTCGCCAGGCAACACGACGACTCGAGAGCACGGAGGCAGCACAGGAATCAGCGATAGTTATTGATGAAGGGGACAATGATGCAGATTTCGAACCTGGTAATTGGCAATATAGCTACTTTATAATTCCACGGACAGTGGCTAACCTTCTTCCACAGACGATGGTCTCACTGCATGTCCGGTATGCAATCGACGGATGACAGCAAAAAGTGTTGAAGCTCACATTGGGAGGTGCCTTGCGGAGTCCGCAACTACTCCTCAATCTACGAGTATCTTATCGAAATCCTCAATTCCATTATCTCAGCCAGTCAGACGGCCGGAGCGATTACCTGTCGTCAATTTCAGTTTAATCAAAGACCAGGCCTTGAAGAGGAAGCTCATAGACTTAGGGATATCGGCTGGTGGGGGGAGAGAAATGATGAGGAAGAGATTAACAGAGTATACGACTATATGGAATGCCAACTGTGATGCGAAAAATCCGAGGAGTACGGCGCAATTAAAAAGGGATCTCGATTCTTGGGAAAGGACGCTGGGATCAAGAGCACCACAACCAAGCGCATTATCCGCTCATATCAAGGATAAGGATTTTGACGGGCAAGCATGGGGAGAAGAACATAAAAATGGCTTCAAAGACTTAATAGCTCAGGCTCGTCAAAAAATTGCGAATAATAAGCCTTCTAAAGAGTTAGAAGCGGACTCTTTGGCATCCACGACAGTGCTACCGGCATATAGTCAAGATTCACCAGGGATTGCACTCAATGGGGATGTTGGGAAGACGCGGGAAGATATGCTACCAGAGATTCAGCGCGAGCGGAAATCTGAAAATCACCCAATACCACTACTGCCTAGGGCATCAGAAGCCAACAGTCCACTCTCTAATGGGCGATTCTTCTCAGAAAGCGCAGGACTACCGGAGCACGTGATGGCTGCTCCACCATCATCGCAATATGATAAAAGCATGCCAATAACGCATGTACAAGAGCGGCAAGATGCATTTGCAGGAGCAGGAGCGGGAGCAGATATAAACAAAAATGGGCCGATGCAGCCATAATAGATGAAACTAATACATAAGATACCCTTTCTCAACGTTCAAATCCTATCAATTCTCTTCTTTGTTTTTATATAAATCATCCCTTGTGTGCTTTCACAGGTCTAACCGTTTCAAAGCCATGTGAGATATACAACAATTCCACCGCCTTGACTTGATACAAGCCATTCATATTGCCTCTCCCCAGACGATCATGACAATAATTCATATCGAGTCCATATGTACAAATTGATCAATGCGGAATGGCGCAAGGCGTGTCAGTTCTCTTTCCAATATCTTCTATTTCCTAAGTTCTAGTATACCTCGGTTCTAAGTAGGAATAAAGTGTCAGTAATGTGCATCAATCACCGCTAGTGTAGCTCGCTTTTTATTTCGACCATTCCGAAAACTTAGGGCAACTGTCAAATCAGTTCTGGACTGGTGTTCTGTGGTATACCAGAATACCTAGAACATAGCAGACTGATTGCTTGGTGAGTGCTCGTTGGTAATTATTCCTCATGGCGCAGGAGATGATCCATGATGTCGAGGACGATGAGGGAGTGATAAAACTACTTCGGAAGGCTGGGGAGATGCAATCGCCAGTAAAAATATTCTTTTTATCATTGTTCATGTTTTCATCATAACAATCAAATGATTTCTCGTCCCTTCTCATTTCGACATGGTGAGATTACCCGACAGTGACTATAAGTAACGTTTTGTCCTAGCCCCAAGTCACACCCCTTCCCCAATTCCCACCGTCTACGTTCACCTCTTCCTCCCAACTAGAGTTCTTCACCTTTATAATTTTTTAAAATCCTCACTATCATCACCAGTTACCATCATGACTTAATGGTAACTGGGACAGTCCAGATTTGATCTCCGTAGATACCTGGTTCAAACCCATGGCTCCGCTTCATAGGAAAGTCCTATGCGTGACTCGAAATTCTGAAGATTTCTGGAGTCCATACGTGGTTTAATTCCCTGAACCAAAAATATACCCTGTTTAGACTAGAAAGGTCATCATGAGGTTGAAATATTAAAGTGGTTGGAATCCATAATTATAAGGGTGACGGCAAACATTGGCCTCCCCTTGCCCATTGTCCATAGTAAGAAATACTATGTTGATACCAAATCAACTCAAGAGAGTTTGATTACCCCGGAGCAGACGGGCTTCTGTGGGAGCTCAAGATTCTTGAGTGTGGGCGAGAGGATGTACACTACAAGAGTAGTGGAATCTCTTTTGCTGGTTTGAATTTTTGGCATTCTTTTTCAAGATGGGGAAGATGGTGAATTAGCAAGACATGATCAAGTAGGTAGGAAGCTACTATAAACTCTGTGAGTTTTGAACGGTAGAGTGTATCTCTATTTGATCCATCGATGAATGGTCTACTCGTTGATTGACAATCCTTCGTCTGAAAGGTTGGCTGTGAGATATTTTTGATACTTTTAGTTGCTGGAAATGACACTTGCAAAGTATTTCACGAGGGGGAGCTGCAGGGGAACTATTCTGATATAAAATGTAAGGAATTTCAAGATCAACTTCACAATTTAAAATTATCTTGTTGCCTGAGAGTGTTGGATGTGGCGTTGTGCCCTGCGAGATACCTAAGTGAAGTGTGCAGTGCTATTTAAGACTGCCTCTATTCGAGTAGACTGTAGATCTGGACGATCATGTAGTTTCTTGAATGTCCATAAGGGAAGAGCTCGGTAAAATGATTCATTGCGTAGAGAATAATTGTGTAAGCGAAGTGATGGGAGTACATTGGACTGCATCGATGGATGTAGCAGTGAATGAATCTCTTCCCTTTTTGCATGATGTGAGAGACGGGAATTTTGTGGTCTTAGTTGTGTGTCTAGGATGTATTCCTCAGTTTGCAAATGAACAAATGGGCAACTATCGAATAATGAGCAACGAGGATGCAAGGCTATCGATTGGTAATATCAAGAAACCTGTATGGAAATCAAGGGGGAAGAAGCTTGAGAAGCTCGAGGTATTGATATATTACTGTGAGGTTGATTCGTGTTCGATTGTACGGATACATCATTTATATTGTGGATGAAATAAACACTTGAAAAGGAATCTGTAACTCATGGACAGAAATGTGATGATAATTCATAGAATCATGAAGTTCGAGTGATCTTTTGGAGAGGGGAAGGGAAGACGAGAAACGAAACCCATCACGGGAGGAGTTTACCAGGCGCTCGCTTGATCAAGAACTCATGGGGATAGAATTTCTCCACCCAGTCACTGTGGCTTCCGGTAATTCAGTTGTAGATAGATCGCCACTCCATCGTTCTCAAATAAATTTGCCCTTGGTGTTTGATTTCATGTCATCAGAGGAAAAATATATCCGATTTAACTATTGACGCCATATATGTGAAAACCCAGTAAAAAATCCAATCTACAAGGAAAAAATAATACAAATGCATCAAGCGTGCTCTGGTATTGGCTCTGGCTCTAGAGACATGCGCCGTAAGCCCTGTGTGCTCTCAAAAACAACTTCCTCTTCCTTCTGGGCTTCTCTCGCCTTGCGTTCCACTTCCTCCAGTGCACCCAACTTGCGCTGTGTATCTGCAGCCTCCTTTCTTTCTTTCTCCTCCTCGGCCAAGCGTTCTTTCTCCTCAATCTTCCTCGTCTCTTCCTTCTCCATGGCTTCCAGTTCGTCATCCACCTCGGTCTCATCCACCACATTCGTTTGTCCAGGCTCAGCAATGATATCTCCGACCTCATCAACTTGTCCCATTTGCTCCCTCAATTGATCAACCACATCGTCCACTCTCTCCACGCCACCAATCTCCTTGTTGAGACTTGATAATACCTTTGTACTGGACTCCATGATTCGAACAAGATCAACTTGATCAGCTGCTTGCTCTATCTTGGAAAGCACTTCCTCTAATTGTGATAAAGTAGCATGTCGATTTGCAAGAGTAGTTTCGGCACTTTTCTTTGACCTCAGAGCTGCCAGGGCTGACACACGGTTTTTCTTTGCAACGGCTTCTTTCGCTGTGCGCTCCATGATGTCGACTTTTTCAGCGAACAATTTTGTTTGAATCTCAAGATCAGCTATCAGAGATTTTAGTGATGCTATCGAGGTATCCTCTTGAGTTATGGTTGGAGTTTTCGTGTCTGTTGGTGCTTTCAGCTTGATGGTTTCGCCATCACAGGCTATAATTTTCTTGTCTCTTGCAAGAAACTTCAAGAAAGCATCCATATCCAAATCTGAAAGAGGATGCTCCCCGAGAACATTGCCAAACTCCTCCTTGAACATTCTTCTGGAATATATCCTTCCCACCCTCCCTGTCTTTGTGCCACTTTTCCCTGTAAATACTTTTGCTGCTTCCTCGACATTCCCAAGAATGACCAATTTACCCCCCGGCAGCTTGCCTCCTCCAAAAGATATGCCAATTTGCTTCAATCCCCATCCTACTATATCCCAAGGCTTTATAGCCCAAGACCTGTTGTATACACTGTCGGTAGCATTCATGAACTCCCCCAGGGGCATCAACTCTTTCTTCGCGACGGCTTCCTGCATGACGGCCCCTAGAGATAAAGGTCTTCCCCATTCGTTCGTATCTAATGCGCGCAATAATTCGTCATCGGCCCTCAAAATCAGTAAATCGGGACTCGACCCTTGAGATGGCATAACTCCAGCCCTCGCCGCCTTTGCCAATGCCTTTTGCCATGCTTCGATATTTGCTTGGTAGCCATCTGGATTTAATGTCTGCTGTTGACGGAAGTCAGAGTACAAGGCTGCAAGTCTTGCTCTGGATGGCGGTAGTTAGTATTCTTGTGTGGAAGCTGAATGTGGGACTACGGAGAAGAAACTTACCGACGAAACTGGGGCTCATTATCAAGAAGGTAATTGAAGAGCTCACTCATGGTGAGCTAGAGACGCTGCTATTTTGCATGAATGTAAGATTGTAGAAATTGAGATGATTGTTGTGCAAGGTTGTTGATTCTTATCGGAAATCCTTATCAGTGACGGGTTGTGAAGTGACGAAATAAATATCCTTGTTTGAAGTGAATGCCGTGAATATGCGACGTCGATTGATAACGCCAACAAACAAAGACAAATTCACAAACCACAAATTCTCGAATTTTTATGAGCAATTCTAACTAGGATAATGAACTTACGGTGAAAGCAACTGCCGGGTCACTATGGCAGACCAAGAGGATGGTCCGGCTCGAGGACACTCGCCAGGCGCTGCTGATCCCAATGATGAGCATGTCCATTTCGACGATGGAAGCACAGTCACTTCTACCATTTCGCAATCAACATCTGCCATGACCTCTCCTCTAACTTCCGAATTTAGAGATGTGGAGAAAAACGACCATGATGTGCCACGAATACCAACTCTTTCATACAATATACCTCCCAGCGAGGAGGGGTCGAGAAGGGATTCAATTGGGGGTTATGCCACTGACGAAGAAGCATCTGTCTGTAAACCCTTCTTAAGAACATCCAGTCCACACTCGGATTTGAAACGAAATAAAGGGGCGGAATATGAAAAGGTTGGAGACTTGGGTGTTTGCACCATGCAAAAGTTCTCGTTGTATGAAACGGCTACGAGGTATTATGTTGTAGGAGCTGATATTCTCGATTCTCGATTTCGAATCCTGAAGATTGATCGCACCGCAGAGATAGGAACCCTGAATATCACTGAGGATGAGATTGTATACACGAAGAAAGAGATGACCCAGTTGCTCAATGCTATTGACGATGGGAATAAGAGTTCAGGTGGTATGAAACTCAAGAGTGCTGTCTGGGGTATACTTGGGTTCATACGATTTACTGGTTGTTATTATATGCATATGATTACCAAACGGAACCAGACTGCTATGATCGGTGGCCACTTCGTATACACCATCGAAGCTACGGAACTAATACCACTGACTACGTCAACTAGCTCTAGATTCAAGTCATCAGATACTCGGAATACCGAGGAGTCGAGGTTTCTGAGTATCTTAAATGGACTTGATTTGAATAAGTCTTTCTATTTCAGTTATTCCTATGATATCACGAGGACTTTGCAACATAATATTATGACAGAGCGAGCTGCTCTCGCCGCTGGAAAACCATCTCCTCATCCCAAAGATTACAACTCCATGTTTGTTTGGAACAGTCATCTATTGAGTCCTGCGGAAAACCTTCTGAAGAATACTTATGATTGGTGTGTACCAGTAATTCATGGGTATCTCGCGCAAGCTGCTCTACCAGTATGGGGACGAATAGTCTATATAACAATTATAGCAAGACGCTCCAGATACTTCGCCGGTGCTCGATTTTTGAAGCGTGGTGCTAATGATATGGTATTGTAAATCAATCTACTTCGAAACATCTGCTAATTCTTTCAGGGATATGTCGCGAATGATGTCGAGACTGAACAAATAGTCTCAGAAAACACCACAACCTCATTACATGCTCCCGGGCCAAAGCTCTATGCCAGTCCCAATTACACTTCTTATGTGCAACATCGCGGAAGTATCCCATTACACTGGACTCAGGACAACACCGGTGTAACTCCCAAGCCTCCTATCGAGCTGAATCTGGTAGATCCATTTTACAGTGCAGCTGCGTTGCATTTTGATAACCTCTTCGAAAGATACGGAGCTCCCGTTTATGTCTTGAACCTGGTGAAAGCAAAAGAAAGGACGCCCAGAGAGTCGAAATTATTACATGAGTTCACAGATGCAATCAATTACTTGAATCAATTTCTTCCAGCAGACAAGAAAATTATTCACAAACCATGGGATATGAGTCGCGCTTCAAAAAGTCGAGATCAAGATGTGATTGGTACGCTTGAGAGTATGGGTAACGAGGTCGTTACTCATACTGGAATATTCCATAACGGTGACGGCAAAACAACAATGCCAACTGTGCAAAATGGCGTTGCTAGAACTAATTGTATTGATTGTTTGGACCGAACGAATGCTGCTCAATTCGTCATTGGTAAGAGAGCTCTTGGATATCAACTCCATGCTCTGGGTATCCTGAGTGAACCTTCGATTAACTATGACACTGATGCGATAAATCTTTTCACATCTATGTATCACGGACACGGTGACACAATTGCAATTCAATATGGAGGCTCACAATTAGTCAACACTATGGAGACTTATCGAAAAATTAATCAATGGACTAGTCAGTCTCGAGATATGGTAGAGAGTTTCCGAAGATACTACAACAATTCATTTCTTGATGGCCAAAGACAGGAAGCTTATAATCTCTTCCTCGGAAATTACGTCTACGAACATGGACAGCCAATGTTATGGGATTTAGCAACTGACTATCATCTTCATCATACTGATCCCCGTGTTTGGTCTCCGCGTACCCGTCGAAGTTATATAAATTGGTATACACCTGCCTTCCTCGAGAAGAAGACTTTACCCCCATATTCCGATCCACAAGGTGTCTTGGCAAGCAAACCTCTCAACTACTTTGATGACTATTGGATTGAGTATTACAAGCCTCTCTCTATCTCCTCCATGGTTAAGATCTTCACTTATCCAGGCAAAATGTCTTCCTCCGCTCGTCTCTTGCCCCGATCCCAGCATCGTGATGAATCTCGCGTCGGCTACGATCTTTCGCCATTCAAAGTTCGTGCTGATGCTACTGCTCATGTTGAAGAACCACCTGTTCACCAATCGTCTCCTAATGCAAAGGGCAAGAAAAAGGAGGTGTCATTTCCGGACACCACGGAATTAAGGGCTGATGATGATGTTCCGGAGAATTCATCAATTAGATCTGGTGGAGCTGGTACGAAACGTATTAGTCTTCAAAGGTGGCTTCAGCCGATCCAGGAGTCATACCCTCTCTCTGACAATGGATCGTTTCATTCGACAGCATCACAAAATCATCACCATAACCCCCCTGGTATCATGAAAGAAACATCGTCTCATTCGCAATCACATTCAACGGAAGATTCGTTCCATAATTATAATTCTGCTTCGAATCATTACTCTTCAAATATCCATTCAAGTCGAAATCTGGGAGGATTAGAGAGGAAAAAGATGACACCATTGGATAAAAGCAAAGCTGCTCAATGGACCTTCACTCAAGTTGTCAGCGAATCTCTTAATCCCAGTGTCAATCTAGGCGAAGAAGAAGACTATGAGCGATACGTCGAGTATCCACAACTGCTATCACTAGTAGTAGGAGATGATGATCATGATATCGAGGGTGTAGATGAATATGAAGAATGGGTCAGAGGTGTTGGCTGGGATAGTGGTTTTGGTCAAGGCGGGTACAACGGTGGAATCAATGGAGGCTGGGGTAGAGAAGAAGATCATGAGGAAATCGAGGAATATAGAAGCTTTTTAAGAGTGGCGGAGAATCCGTTGACGGTGCTTGAGGAAGATGGACAGAAGAAGAGATATAAGGCATATAGGAAATGGTTAGCTGGGAAGAGTTTGTTCAAACAACAACCTATTGATTAGGGAATTGATAGCGAGGCGCAAGGCTTTTCGTTTTAGCATGGTGTTATGGGTGTATATTATGCTAGGTATTATCTGGGGGTTGCGGTGTCAAGCGTCAATATATTTATTTACATTTTATAACATTCAGAAATCTTGAGGGAGTACACACGGGTTTGGTTTCGAATTTTTCCTTTCTCCTGGAGAATTGCTAGACGCTCATATTTTGACCCATATTCACATTCTTCTCATCCTATTCCATGATACAATTCCTCTTAAGTTTCCTCGCATATCGATTGATCTTTGTAGCTTTCTGATCAATGTTGCTTGGAGTGTCGGTCGCTGTTCAGCGCTTATCGTACATACATTGTAAAGTCCTTGCAGTTACTTGTATGCTTAGCGATCTGAACAAGTGTCAAATCATTATTAATTTCTCTCGGACGCTCTAAAATCTCTAGCTCGGTAGTTGGCTTGGGGGGGGGGAGGGGGGTTATTTCGGGGATCTATGAGGGTGGACTGATCGGATGTATGGATGGATTACGAAGAAATTATGCATATTTCGTTAATTATATACCCCATTCGCAGTTCAGCACATTATGCGAGGTTATAATATGTACACGAAACGTGGTATACTTGTGACTTTTCGGTCTGAAGTTCAGGGAATCGTGGAATATGTATGGTGTTTGTTTGATTTTGGGTAGAGATACTCGTCAGGATGGGCACTGGTAATTCTTCTTGATTTAGGAGAAGTACCTGTTAGTATATCTATACTATTGAATGAGACATAGTGACTCTACTTGAAACGCTGGAGTTAACAACATCAAAATGTCCTGACATTCATCAAATGTCTCGTGACCATATATAACGACATCGGAATTCATATCAAACAGCGTATCCCTTGCACTCAATTATCTAGGGAAGACTCTCGCCAGCGTTCCATCAGTCTCGATAATCCTTGCCAACTCCTGCTCAAAGCTCGCTCTTTCCTTCTCATCTCCCGCCTGTTGGACCACCGCTGTAAACACTTTTCCTGTCTCCAGTAGTTCTATCAGAATCTCCGAACTTGCCCCTTTCTGTTCCTCAGATTTGTAATCTACCTTTGAACAAATATGGCAGTTTAAAAGTGTTAAAGCGCTTATGATAACCAATCGATGTTCATCAGTGCTAATGCGGGGCCAAAGGACCAGAATCACCTCTCTTAGTGTCTTCAGCGTATTTAAAACGAGTGATGGAGAGGTATCTGGGAAGAATGAATTCGCCAGGATATTGACCAGGATAGGCAATATATCCTTGAGATGTTTCACGCCCGAAATCCTCATCTTTGGGATGATGATACCGATTTGTACGATTAGTATTTCAACTATGGAAGGTATTTCCTGACAGTGTAAGTAAGCAGGAAGAACAGCATGGCGAATTATTCTGTCGAGAAAGGCGAGACGAAGCTGAGCTGGTGATTTAGAAGGGGTCGTGTTGTGTTTTGAGGGCTTCTTTTTGACTATGGTGGTCACACTTGTAGAAGCCTCTTCGTCTTCCTTACTAGGCCATATCGCATCACAAAGTGCATTCAAAGCTTTGTATCCCTCTGGCAATAATTTGAGTGTTTCTTCAACGGGTGTCGTGGATGGTAAGAATAACAAAACTGGGTGGATGGTATTCTCGAAGACATCACCTAGTCCTGTTTGTTGAAGCAATTTGTCACCCATTTTTGAGAATAGCATTGGAAGGATTCGAAGAGCGTGAGTTCGAATTGGGTTTGATGGTGAATCGAGGAGTATTAGAATAGGAGTTGTTAATAAAGGCCATGCTTGCGTACGGAGAAGATCCGGCTTAATGTTGTTGTTAGTTTGGATTTGGAATGAGAAGAGGTAAACGTACAGGAATAACATCGACTATCCATTGCAGGACAGGTATAGTGTATGGAATATCTGACCTCCAAGGTTGCTTTGAAGGAGAGGACTCGAGGATATTGAAATGGCGAGGTGGTGCAGATGATGGAAATGCTTTCCGAGAAGATGCAGTGATAGATTCGGGAGTGGGGGCTTCGGAAAATATGAGACGTATGAAGGACCTCAAGAGATGATTTACCAAAAACTCGGGGGACTTTGCGTAAGATTCATATTTATCGAGTATTGTGATGGCAATTAGTTGAGACTGAGGAGTCGACCAGGGATAATTGGTACTAGTGAAGGGGATGAGAGAAAGAAGAGTCGAGTTCCGCGGTGGTTGTGATGTATTCGAAGAGACACTAAGTAGGTGCTCTATCGAAAGAATGCAGAGGCTATATTTCTCTTTAGATTGCTTGATATTGTGGACTTCGTCTGGTTTCTCCTCTTCTTAGAATATGAGTTTATGCTCCAAACATCTGATTTTGCCGGAGACACATTACCGTCAATCTTATCCAGAGAAAATATGTTTCCATCAGGTAGCAATCCCTTTGATAAATAAAGCTCAAGCTTCTCGTGCCATATATCATCATCTGCTTTTTTCAATATGTTCGAATTTTCCTTCAAGCTGCTGGCAAGGATGACGAGGTTTTCTAGCTCCTCCTGACTATTAGTAGGAATTCAGATCAAGCAAAATATTGAGGAATGTAAACTTACATTCTCGCCTTCCTGTTTTCCGTCGACAAGCTCTCGATGCAAATCCTCGAGAGAGTAAGATGGTGGTAGTACTAGTCACGTGTTAGAAACTTGTTGCCCAGAAAAGTCTGGAGATTTTACCACTAGATGGCAATAACGTAATACCATTCTCATCAGGTCTCGAATTCCGAATTCTATTTATAGCAGTACTCCGAGCAGATGAAAACATAATGAATTTCAGGCGTGGTTATATAGTTGTATATTTTGTTGTTGAGGAGAATTGGTGGTGGAAGGGGAATGGAGATTTGATAGGAGATAGATTAGTAATCGATTACAAGTAAGACCGTATTCTTCGATAGGGACGCTGTATTACAGCGCTTCTCTCTAGAATTTTATGTCTTTTCGTGACTACATCGTAGGTCTTGAACACAATCGAGAATAGATTCTCGAGGTCCTCTCGAAGAAATATTGAAGCCATGAACATCTTGCATGAACGAGAGATAGCAGATTGAAATTCTCAAGATATCTCATTCGTTTCCACATACATGGAATAAATGCTGACTGTGGTGATCAAAACTTCTCATAACGAACAATTCACGCGTGATTTTGTAAGATTACATTTTGTCCCCCTATTTCATTAGTTGGCTTGTAGCCACTCACCCTGTTCAAATAAGTAGAAAAGACTTTCTCATCTGACTTAGTAGTCAACAAGACGTCGATTTGACAAAAAATTCTTCTATTTTTTTGGGTAACCTCATCTTAGCCTTGTATGAACTCAGCATTATATTTAGAATGGTTTGGGGGCTCATTGTGTCCAGCCCTACCTTGACCTCTTGAATGGGGTTTTTGTTGAATTCCATGCATTTATAGCTATACATTCGAGATATATCTACTCGTGAACATGCAAAGTTGCATATTTGGTCTATCCTTCCACAGGGTCTCGAAGAAAACCCGTAAATTCCTACATAGCCGCGCGTTTGACTCGGAGGTCAGATCTTATATGCGATTCGTCATTGAGCGACACATTTAGAGAGGACTTATGAACCACAAACTGTTGGATTCGAAGAAACTGGGGAAATTTTTCATACGAGCATTGAGAATGGTATCTTTTATTGTGGAATCTCACAATGCTCTCTCAAGAAGAGGTGTCCGGTCTCAGGTCAACCACCGCCGTCCAGGGCTATCAACAGAGCATCTTTGTCGATGCATTGATCCCTCCATAGAACTTTGTTTTCATGGCGCTACAATTTTCACGTAATAATTCTTTCCTGTTGGCTCATTGAACAAAATACCACAGATATTGGGTTCAAGAGATTTTGGTATGTATATACCAACTGATCTGAACACTTGGTGCAGTCTCTGAACCCCCAGAAAGAAGTGAAGCCTCTCTAAAGTTTGCTATCTAAACTTCACACTTTCATAATCATTAGGATATCAAATATCAGCCACATTCTACGACATTCTTTTAAGGTTTTCATTTATCTACAGTCATGCATATCGCACGAAAAGCCTCATACACTCCTCACGAGAACGAGAGTGGGAGACTTTGGCTAAAATTCGGAGGACGCACCATCAACTTTATCATGATCAACAAGAAGAAGGATAAGAATGATGCCGATCCAGGCTCAGAGCCACTCAGAGGTACTATATCCAAAGCTCCTTATCAAATTGCCTCCTGGAAAGGATCTAACGATTGTGAAGGACTATTCAAAAGGGGCTTGTGGGTTGGATTTGGCATGAAGAAGTTCAAGAGTGAGAAAGTAGAGAGCAAGGAAGACACAAACAAGATGAGTGAAATGGATGATAAAGGCCTTGATATGAAGTGAAGATAGCAGATGCGTGTTTCAAACTTATGGGATAGCAATCGGGAAAGCTCGAAGACGTTGAGCATATCATTGTGGAATACAGTACTTGAGAGAGTACTTGGAGACTAAGACTTAATTTGATAGATGGTGGTAGCATCGGAACTTGGAGTTACTTTTTCCAGCTAGATGGAAGATGGCGATATATACTCCCGACTTGACGCTTAGTTCTCTGATACTGCGCAGCTTGCATGATTTATGGTTATATTTAAACTGTCTCGCCAGTATCTAAGTATGCATATTGCATTCAATGCAGTCCCGATATTTCAAAGTGCACAATTGACCTTGAGAATATTAACATCTAGTATCCACACCGACTTTAGGTTTATCGTCGATACGTTTCTACTACCTAGGTAGGTATTCGGCGTTTCAATTCCATGTTACATTGCACAAAAAATGCAACCATACATAACCTTGCACAATTCTTTAGTTATCCAACTTTTCTCTCCTTAACCAACCGGAAATACTCATTTTCCCCCGCTGACACACACACACCACACATCAACGCACGCCTCACACAAGCACAATTTCTTTTTTTTTCCATGTGAAAGTCCACCACTTCTTTTGCCTTGTGAAGCACTAACGTTACTCCGATCCCATACTTTTTCCACATTGTCTTTCCATGTAACCATTTACATCTCACTGTCTTGGGCAAAATGCTTCCTATATTCATTCTTCAATACTCTTTTTGATTTATTCCGATTATTTGGGTGGAAGAGAGTGTGTTAGAATGATTGAGAGGGATTTTGGGGACATTTTGGCTTCTAATAAGGATGATGTAATCCAGAGTGAGTTTTTGCCCACGTTTGACATGTGATTTTTGGTATTGGGTCTTGAATCTCGGAGTTCTGGAGAGAGGATTTGGTATGTGAAAAATGGCTGACTGGGGAATTGTTTTTCGTGATGCATAGGTATTCTTGCTGAGGAAGATGTATGTTTATGTTCTTGACTACGTGTATATGGCATTGTCGTCTGGTTTTCGTGATCCTCTTCTATTGTCCTGTACTCTTTGAAAAGCTGTGGCGCAAACAAGTACCACACTTTGCCATAGAGGGGCTGAGGGGTAGAAGCAAAGCAAAGAATCCGATTATTGACAAAATAATATATATAGCTATACAAAATTCTTGGAGCACAAAGATCTGCTTCGGGTGCAGAATTGCGACGATGTTATCTGGAACGATCGAAAATATGTCATCCCGATAGAATTCCTTTTCATCCGCTGTCAACCCGGTAATTCTTCTTTTGTCCTTCGCTTTCGCCTACATACCCCCCTATTATGTCGGTTATGAACTGACAATCTATCATTCAGCGCATTTCAACGTCTAGCCTTCTCCTTCGAAATCCTCAAATCTCCCTCTTCTCGTCGAGCTTATGATTCCGCCACTTCTTTGTCCTCAATTTCCACTACCACTTCGTTACCCACCAAACATCCTTCTCCGTCCTTAGCCTCCGACAACTTGTTTCGAACCACAGTCTCATCGCTCATCCATGACTTCCTCACAGGTGATTTTATTACCATCCGCTCCCTTCTATCATCTTTAAATTCTCAATACCCTCACCTCATCAATACCGATGTAACTTCTTCCATAGAAGTTGCTTTTATAAAAGTAAGAGAATTGGTTATGAGAGGACGAGTATGGGCTTTATTGATATACATTGAAATGGGGAGGATATGGAGAGTTCAGAAGAGGTTGAGAAGGTTAGGAAGATGGGATCTAGTGGGGAAAGCGAGGATGATGCTTTTGTTAGTAAGGGTTGTAGTGGCTGTACCGGTCAGAGTTGATCGGGCTCTCAAAGCACGTGTTGAAAAGGGGAGAAGAACAATGAAAACGGGATCAGAAGCAAGAGAATTTGATGAGAGACTGGAGTCGGAAGATGGACTCGCGAGAGGTGGAATTTTAAATGAGAGGGTTTGTAAAGTATTGGAGTTTATCGTTGGTGAGGCTGGTAGGGATGAAGAGGGGGAAGATACTGGTGTTCGGATTTGATATCAGAGTGATTTGGTATCGGTATGATATGGGACTTGGGCTTGAAATATTCGGATGTGGAAAAAGGGGAATCACGCTTTTAGTGGCATGTATTATTACAGGGGAAGCGGCGTTTGGGTAGGATATACCAAAGACTAAGGAGATATAGTTATATTTTGTTGAATAACTGTTCGTTTATGTAACGATACGATCTCTGGATGAAGAAAATTCCTAGCTATACAATGACGAAACACGATTGTTTGCGCGTTACCATTTTGTTTTCGGACGGTCAAAACTTCGCGGGAATATAGGCACCAAGTTCTATAAATCACTCGAATGTATAATGGGCTAGTGTTCATAGGTTTCTTGATATGGTTCGTTCTTTCATCTTCCCGGTGATCAGATTGCATGCAATGTAGACTTTTATTCCTTTCCTTCCCTCGTATCTAATTCTCTATACCATCAATGCTTCCTTGAATTTTAGTGAATCAAGCTTTGGCATGTATGTTTATATAACTAGGTAGGTGTATCGGTTTTATCTATGGTTGCTTGTGGAAATTTTCTTTTGGACTTGGACTTGGATTTATCACGTAAATGTTGGGGACTTTCATATTTATGAAGGTAATGGAAATCGGAATGTATTCACTTGTGTGTACATAGAGAGAGATGGGATTTAACACCGAGTCACTTATTATATACATATTTTTGTTTCTTAGAATATACATCAGATCATCAGAACTCAGTCTGTACACAGGATACGTGTGAAATTTCTTTTGTCTTTCTCTTTTGTATTGCTGTGCAGTATGCAATAAGGTATGAGGAGAATGAAGAGGGAATCTTGCGGGAAAGAAAAGGGGGTATGAATCTTTGGTGTGGATTGTGTGTGTCACAGGACACTCTTCTCTTCTCTGACCCGAATATTCTTTACACGTATGCAGACTGGGCAAGATATGTTTTCTCTATACGAATCTGAGCTGATATTCATATCTGGCTATTGTATTTGAAGACTTTGAGCGGTGATATTCAAGACTCTTAACCTCACTTGAATTGATATATCGATAACTATGCGAATGTCGAGCTGAAAAATATAAATTGACAGAGGTACCTGTCAATTCACAACACTAACCACCACCCTCTCCCTTCGTTACCAAAATTGTCAAATATTTCAACATCATTAGAACAATGCTGTGTTTGCGAATACCCATTTATCCACGGATTATCCAACTATTTGCAAATATACTCGAGTAACAGTACAGGTATTTGTAGATTGTCTGCAAATTATCTGCGGATTGCCTGCAGATAATCTGTTCAGATCTACGCTCGGATCACTTTTAGGCTACAAAATGGTTTGGGAATAACTTCAAATTTAATTGAAAATAGGGAATGCAAATAATATGCAGATAATCCGCAGGGCAGGGCAGGGCAGGTAGGATCTCTGGCAAGTAACCCGTGGTTCGGATCACCTTCGATTCGCGACAAGGCTACAGTTAATTTTTGTGCAGCCTATTTGCAGGATTGTAAGCCGAGCTTGGCTCGTGGCGAAAACAAGTCTCGAAATATAGACGCCGTGCGTCAAAGGCCTAATAAATGGCGTTAAGCACAACAACACTTAATGAAGGAACGTCGAGATATACGAAAGGTGCAGTAAATGAGATGCCTGGAATGGGAATACGGTTCGTCTCGATAGAGGAATGAAAAATATAACTTATAAGAGTTGCAAGATTTCCCTTTACTTTTCTCTTCCAGTTCAGTATCATCAAAAAACACCACCTCGCTCTACTTATCATATCATCAATCACAATATCATTGCTCACTTCTGCTTCTAAATTCTAATTGAATTATAAAAGACGATTCGTACATTCCCAAAACCCAATCAAAATGCATTTCTCCACCCTCGTCACCCTTACCCTCTCCGTCTTCAGCGCGCGGGCGATTGCAGACAATTGCTATAACCATTTTGACTACTGTGGCACGAGCTTGCTCGGTATTGGTATGAATACGTTTCTTATTTCTCTCTCTCCTTCCCCTTTTCTCTCCTACCCTCACTCGTCCCCCTTGGAACACCCAACCCACTAACGCAACCCCCAGGCAATTACCACGACACCATGGTGCAAGCGCTCCATAGCGAGGGACTCAAATACGACGATGATAGCATTAATCGCTCGGTTTTCACATGCGTCGAAGATGGCTTGCTGGCATCGCCCCGGTACTGCGAACATCGCTGTTGGGTGGCGGCTACTGGAAGTCAAATGAATGATACCTGCAATGAGGAGTGAAATGTTTGATGTGGATTCTCGAATGAGAGTTTAGTATCTGGGAATGAGGTTCTAAGGGGCAGGCGGGAGGGTTAGAGAAGGAAAGACAAGGGGGCATGAAGGAGGGAGAAGGGGGGTGTGTTTGTACTTTTTTTTGCTTGTTGCTTTCATACTATGTATCATGATAAACTCACACACTCGTTTAGCTCGTTTGGGGGAAGGGGGGGCTCAGACACTCGTCTGGATCGATTGCGCTGTTATCACTATTATCTCTGCTTTAAATTGAAATTAGAATTAGACCGTAAATTTAAGATAACTTATCATTCAAATTCATCAATCCCCTCTCAAATCAAACAATTATCCTACACATGGGATGATACTTTCTAAATTGAAGATCGCGTAAACAATTGCAGTAAACAGAAAAACATCCATTCCAACAATATTTGCTATCTACAATTAGACACTGGCTTTATGAAAACTTATTTCGCTGATAAGTTAGCTACCAGCATCAATATGAATCGAGACATAGACTCTGATTATCACCAACAGATTAACTTCGATATTCGTACCTCGTTGGCTTTCCCTCTCTTTTCATCTGGCACAAATTGGTGGAAACCTACAAACGATTCGGTGTAGAAATGCGGGGACTTTGATGATTCTCATTTGATGGAAATTAAGAGGTGTCTGTTGTGCTCTCACCATGGATGATATGCACGACTGCTTTCTGAGGGCTTTGTCATTCTGTGCAGGTGATCTTACTGATATCCGAAGCAGATGGGCTTGGACACTGCAACCATCTGCTTGGTGGAGAATCCACAATGATGAGGATTTGGTAGCACTGAGACTCATGGAAAACAACAGAATAAGCTCACACTTACAATGAACTCACTGAAGTAGCGGTAATGTTGTCCGGCTATAAAATATTTGACAAAATATCAGTGTCATGAATTATGGACGACTACTACATAAAACTCAATAGTATTGATCATTGCTAAAGTCATTCATTGAATCCATCTCATAGCATATTCATACATATGACCCCCAATGTTCATGCCTAAGACCTATCTTCCACCAGATCTATAACTCCTCAGACTCCTATTTTGCAATGCTTTCCTCCAAACACGGTCAAAGGTTCCTCTCGAAATAAAATGGTATATGCAGGAAGTTCGCTCGCTCTCATTCACAACTAATAATGTCCCCACCCTATCATTATTCTTGTTCGAAATCGTTACTCGTAACATTCTTATCTTTCTCTTCCGCTTCTATTATTGACCCATGCAAGGGCGCCGATTCGAGACTCGCAATGGGAGGCGGTGCTACTCCACCCAGGAGACTTCTTCGATGTGGACGGGAATTGAAGGCTTCGCTTTCTTCTCCCATGGTTGTCTCTATTATGTCATCGTCTGGCATGATCGTTGCTTGGGATTCGGTTATCGGATACAAAGTATTTTCGATCTGCGTCTCAAGACCCTGAACAAATTCATTTGCTTCCGCAAAATGCAACAAACTGTCTCTATTTGCCAATGTAGCATACTTCGCACGAGCATCATCTAGACTCTTTTTCGATTGATGAGGCTTCTCTAGGCTGAGCCATCCTTCCGCGGCCATGATACTCCACATGGCAGATTTTCGTGTTCTGCTACCCCAGAGGCCAACTCCGTGTCCCTTCTTGGTACCATAACAGACCGCAACACGCTCCTTGAATAATGAGTCGCCAACTGCACCCACAATCTTGTGTTCAAGAAGTCTCGCACCCCATCTTGCTGCATCGCCAGTTGCCGAACCGCCTCTCACTCTAAGAAGCTCCATTCCCAAGGTCAAGCAACGCAGCGCTCCGTATGGGGCACTGCACCGTGTCATGTATGAGTACGATGAGGTCTCAAGCATCATATCTATGGTTTCAGTACGTGTTTTGGCGCTGATAGAATGAGGCATCATGAGGGTACTAACAGCAGCCATTTCATTGGCTGCCGCATGATATTTCCATGCTTTATCATTAGTGAAATCCGACCGCAACAGATCATAAATTTGCTGGGCCAGTTTCCAATCCCGAAGCATAAACGAGTAATCTGCGAGCTTTCGCATCAATGCTTCTGGTGAATCCGGTCGGTAAAACCCCTGCAATGCGTCATAATTACTACCGGATCCTACCGAGTTTGTTGAATTGCTTCGTGAGCTAGAACCAAATGCTCCAGGCCATTTTATAGTTTTTGACAAGCTCATAAATCTACCACTTATGCCTCTTCGCCGTGAAGCAACCTGGTCGTTCCAAGTCGCTACACACCTCTCCATTGACGGAACAACAGATTGAGTAACCATCTCGCGAATAAATGTTTTAATCGCAGTAGTATCGGATTCATAAATACAAGGAAATGAGTCTTCGGGGTCTTCCTGGGACTCCCGCGCCTGTATTTCGGCCATTTCCTCTGATGCAGCTATCCATTCGCACCGTGGGAGTTGTACACTATCATCATCTGTTGCCACACATTGACTGCTTCGAAGCCTCAAGAGATGACAATGAAGCCCAAAATGGCGTTTCATTTGTTCAAATAATGTGATAGATTTTGTGATATCATCTCGTTCTTCATCATGTACCAGAACATAATAGCGGAGATAATCATCATTGACCCATAGTGGCAATCGCTTTTCTCCGCGACTTGATTCTTCATATAACCTCCTTAAAGCTTCAATCGGATTTTTGTTACGTGAACTTATAGCGATAATACATGCCACTGGATGAGAGAAAGTTTCGTGGGGGGCTAAAGGTATCCCTGAAAGTAACCTTCGTAAATAAAGAGTATAAAATGGCGAAGTTGCCCCTGAAATCTTGGAACTATCCTTCAAGTTCAAAAAATCTTCTGCACTGACACCTGGAAATTCTTCAGCATTTGTTAAATGACGATCAACAAGTCGCTCAATTTGAGGGATATCTCCTCCCGTTCTCAAACGCTGAGCAGCTATTGAATCTGGTATGGGTTTGTTGCCATTCGGTGACAGGACTCTCCCCTCTCCACTCCTTCGCGACCCAGGTATCCCATCCGGTATTTCGAGCCCATCCCCCAGTTGAACAAAGCGTACTCCAAAATCGTCATACGTCCGGCCAGCCCCTATACTATCTCGTACATTGACTTTTCCCTGTATATTCTCCCCAAATGGCCTTATTAACTCCCAAAGTCCTCCCTTGAACCCTTTGTCTTGCACAAGCTCATGTGTATCGATAGATGTATGTACCGCAATATGTGGAACGAATCCGGATAAAATTAAATTCCGAGGATCGTCTTTCCTATCTGATGGTAAGAGATGGCTTTCAGAGAGCGTACTGCCACCAAATACAGATCCTGCGATTCGCGAAGGTGTTGATGATCCGCCGGTCGGGGAGACTGGTCTTGAACCGGAAGGTGTTGTCGTTGACGCGAACAGTGACTGTACTGAGGCATTCGACGCTCTGTATGGCAATGAAGCTACGGATGAAGTCATTGATTGCGAATCTGCAGAAATTCTTGTCTTGGGCCTCCTCAGCGGCGTAGGACTCGTCACCGGTTCGGGGGGGCTGAAGGGAGATGCATGATTCGAAGGTGTCATGAAGACCGAGGGGTCCGCAGCCGGAAGAAAACAATGTTCGCACTAATTTCAATGACCCTAAATAATCGCACGATCATGCGCAGACTCAATCAAAGGTAGACTGCAGCAGCGGCAAAGCAGGGCGATCGTTCATCCAGATGTGGCCTTGTGTAATACTCGAACGTCGATCCGTCTGAGATGGTCTATGTTGGAATTGTAATTAATCGACATGAGCATGAAATATACAAGAGGGGTTTAAGGACTTTTGTCGTATAATTCCCTTTTAAAAGTCCCTTGTTTTTTGTACTTTGTATACGTCGTATAAGTTACCATCGCGGGAACAACCACACTCGATGATGGCCTTGCGCTAAGAATAATCCAGCATCACCAAAATCCTCAGAATCACGTGACTACAGTATCAATTTCTATTTCGTGCCGTACTTTCCTTTATTTGATGTTTATGAATTCAGCAGTGAGACTGAATTGCAGCTCGACTATTCATTTAAAGATCCCCATTCACCTAATGTTATGATTCCATATTGGACATCTTTTGTACAGAGCTGTGGAGTCATAAAAGTCAGATCTATTCTAAGAGTCACCATCACCAAACGACAAACATTTCAATTCTCTTCCATGAAACGGAAACACAACGAAGAAGAGATTTCTTTCGCAAAAAGATTACGAGGAACGACTATGGCCACCGCTACTGTAACGTTGACTCCTAGAGAAAGTCAACTTCGGAATCTTCTGCTTGACGTAGCAGATTTTGTCAATGGATCAAAGGATGTTGAGCAGAAAGTCGAGTTGAGATGGGCAGGAGGATGGGTTCGGGACAAGCTACTTGGGATCCAAAGTCATGATATTGACATAGCAATTAATGTCATGACTGGGCAGAACTTCGGTCTGAAGATGCGGGAATATTTGGAAGATGCAGAAAACCTCAAGAAACATGAATTGGAAGCTAAAGATGTCAAAAAGCTATACAAAATTGCTGCGAATCCAGAGAAGTCCAAAAAGTTGGAAACTGCAACTACAAATATTTTTCACTTCGATGTGGATTTTGTGAACTTGCGCAAGGAAACTTACGCCGAAGATAGTCGCAATCCTGAAATGGAATTCGGTAGTGCAGAAGAGGATGCACTCAGACGGGATGCTACGATTAATGCTCTATTCTATAATCTTCACACAGATATCCTTGAAGATTTCACTGGAGGACTTGCGGATATGAAGGCCAAACTCATCAAAACACCGCTTGAACCATACACTACTTTCAAGGACGATCCGTTACGAGTTTTGAGATTGATCAGATTTGCTAGTCGACTAGATTTCAAAATTGATCCGGAGGCGGAAAATTGTATGAGTAATCCAACCATCATGGAAGCTCTAAAACTTAAGATTAGTCGAGAAAGAGTTGGGGTTGAAGTGGAGAAAATGTTAAAAGGTAAGCAAGCTATCATTCAGGCAATTCTTTGATATTTCAATGTATTTCTTACCAATTTCAGGAAATAACCCATGGCAATCTTTGAACTACTTTGATCGACTTGGTATCTATTCAACAATATTCACAGATCCTACGGCACATGAGGTTCTAACACCCGATACATCGAGCTGGAAAATTGTGTACGATTGCTTGAAGGAGATGACATTGAACGAAACACCAGACTCGGTTTACAAATCGCTAGTGCGATCAGATGACGCCAAATATCTTGCCTGGATTCTTGCCGCTCTGACACCATGGACGGCCATCCCACCAGCACAAGCAGCAAAACCAGGAGGGAAGATACCCCCGCCATATGGAGCTTTGGTTGCTCGAGAAGGATTAAAAGCGGAAAGTAAATTGTGCAATATGGTTGCCGGTGCATTCAAACAATACGCCGAGATCACTGAGCTCAAGGATGCGATCAAAAGAAACGACTCATATGTTCACGAACGAGATACAGTTGGAATGATGATTAGGAAATGGGAATCACATGGTGGACAATGGAAATTACAAGCTTTATTTGCATTGCTTGTGGAGGCTTTGAAGCTAGAAAGTGCTGAAGGTATAGTAGATGTCCACGCGTTCTGACCACTGGAAACTCTGCGTTTCCTACAGTTTATACTAAGTTTCTTCAGGATACCAATCATTATTTTCTGAATGGCAAAAGTTCATCGATCACCTCAAAGACCTTGACGTGATGGAGGCACCGGCAATCCGAGGAATAGTAGATGGAAAGATTCTTTCAAAAGCACTGGGTGTCAAGCCTGGCATTTGGATGGCACCGGCATTGAACGTGTGCATGGAGTGGCAGTTGAGAAATCCTGATTCGACAGACACGGAGGCTGCGATTGAGGTAGTTAGGAAGCGAAAAGAGGAGTTAAATATACCCCAGAAATAGTGATTAAAGGAAGTTGACTAGCGATGTATTACAGATTACATAGGTGAAATACTATTAATATTCGCAGCTGCTCTCCACTCACCTGTGCTATCGGATTCTACGTACCATCGCAAGTAGGCAGTCTGTCTAGCGTAGACCATCACTCTCCATCTAGTTTAGCATGAAACCAATCTCCAACTTCAAACTGTCGTCACGAGTTCATAATATCTAACCTAGTCCCAGTGGATCGCGTTAAAAGTCTTTTGATGGAAATCACCAATGACAATCATCATGCGTTCCTCTCATTCTGTTCCACGACCATTCGCAATCGAACCATTTAACCCGTGATAACGGTATCTTCAGCTTCCATCCTCACACTCATGAACATCACTGCTTTTCGCAATTGGTAGGTTGAACGACCCTGCATTCTACCATTCGTCAGCGAAAGACATTGGCCTCTTTCTGCTCCGTTCATAGCTATAACCTACGCTATTTTATTCGTTGAAATGAGTCAAAAACGAAATTGATGTAAGGCCTTTAGTCTACCGCTCAATGCATATCCTCGTGGCGTAGTTCGGAATGAAAATACCAGATGACAGTAGTACTGAGTTGGGGCAACCGATTGCGCCAAGTTTTGAAGAAGGATGACTCTCGCACTCTTTACACATACCTCGCGAATGAAGATGTCTTCAATGGTGGACGTTGAACTAGCCTTGATTGCAATAAGTTCAAGTCTGTTGAATAACATTTGACCCCTCCTCTTTCGTATCACCAGCATTCAATATCTCCTCTCCAAAGGACCCAAACTATGCCCCAACAGCTGTGCAAGTTACAAACTCCGCTTGATTCGATATGTTTTACATTGGTATATACTTCAGAGTTTGATGATTCTCCATTACATGGCGGAAATACTTATCAACTGCTCGAAGAATATTGGTGCCAGTTTCTGGGAGTTCATTCTCGACAATGATATTTACAAGCAAAAAGATTGAGGTTCGAAGGTACTTCCGAGGTTCCAGCTCTGAAATCGGTAGAAATGTTCCTTTGAGAATTGATGTGAATATTTCAGTATACGAGAAGAACCTGAGACCTTAGTCTGCTGCTAGTATAAACCTACGCTACTATCTGTCTCGCTGCCTTAAACCAGAATATTCTGCCCATACGAAATTCTTCAAATGGAGTTTCTTTCCTAGTATTTAATTCGTCTCCAGCCCATTCACTTCGAATCTCCGCACAGAATCTCTCACGCTGCTTTTATAATCTGATTTTATCTTATGGAAACACATAATAAAATACCAAATGAAGCCAACATGGTCTTCCGTCCCGATATACCCATGGAAGTGTGGGTCATGATAGGATAATTTTCTAACAAGTCCTCTCTATGCTCTTGTTAGAGTATCGCGTAGCTTTAGAACCATATTTTCGTCGATTCTTTACGAAAATTATACTATCGAGGTGATGGGTCGTAAGATTCCTAATTTGATACCGTCTCTTGTTCCTTTTATCAAGAACTTGGAGGTGATTGTTGACATTAGACCGGAAATGTTGCCCGCATTCAACAAATCAGCCTGGATTGTATTTCTTTGATTTTACAAAAACTGAACAGAGCTAAGAGCTAGCGAGAGGAGTGTCGAATTTGAAGGAAGGATACTGGCAGGCAATTTGAAGGTCGACGACGAGGTGAAATATGAGTCTGCTGAGCTTCATATTGTGATTTAAAGCCAGGACCCCTTACATAGAGCATATTCCCTGCGTCGGTCACCATGAAGGAATCATTCTTGTAGGTGTGGAAGGAGTGCAGAATTATTAATGCTATGGATCATTGGATCTAGGTTATATATTGATCCACTATAGTCGCACCTTCCATATTTATCCCTAAGAACGTTTGATTCACTTATTCAGCGTTTAAAGTCGACCAACAAGATTTTCTGCCTCTACTTATTTACCCCTACAGATCAAGGCAGTTTACTTTTGTGACGCAACAAGGACCGTCTTCTGATATTCCAGAGATCATGGCTTGAAAATGAGAGGTGCTTGATATTTACCCATATCTTAATCCCAGGCATGAGATTTAGAAGGTTCAACAAATCAATGTATGATGTTGAAACCAGTTGGCATATTCAATTCACTTGATCAACTCATCGGGTGAGCAGCAACCTTAACCTTAGTTACAATAAGAACTCTCAATAAAAAAAGATGACAGATTGGTTTGACTAAATATCTTATTCTTAGTCAAGAAGACTACCCACTAAAAGGCTAGATTGATTAAAGCTAAGATCAAAAATCTTAAAATCTAGTTCGACTTAAACGTCGGATCGACAAAGAAGCTAAAATAGGGGTAAGCTTGAATGTTACTTCCTCGATGGGTAGATATATAACTGAATCCTCTCTGAACTGATCAAAACAATTTCAAGGCAAAATGAATCTTGACTTCAATACTGTAATAAGATTTACTGAATTCCCAAATTTGTGGTTTGGTGTTTTACCTCGCCCGAATCAACGACGTATCGCATTTTTAAGGTTGGTTCGGATGACCCGAATTGTATACCCAAGATGGACAGCAAACTAGGCTCTGAGGTTACTAAGAAAACTGGAGAACTACTCTCAGAAATTTGGATGATGGTTGCAGACAAGTTACGTGAATTCTCCTTCAAAGATTAGTTTACATTAAAAGAGCATGTGCAGTCTTGAAGTGCATCCCATCGCTGAATTCGAAATCAAGCATTGAAAAACATAGCACGGGATCTTAATCAATTATCCAGATGCATCAAAGTTTTCGTTCGATTGCAACCCAACAGATATCATAACAATGTATCTAAAATCAAACGTGGAGATATAATAATCGAGTCGGCAAACAACACTGCGAGGCACCTTAGCGCTGGCTTTGAAATAGTATATTAAAGCAATTTTCTGGGCACATGCACAACGGCAACGGCCCATTGCTAACTATGTATTAGATTCCAGAGACTAGCAAGCTTACGCTACACATCCTAACCAGAGTTTGTCGAATCTTCAGGCGGATATTTTCCCCACGTCTATACCGAAGGTCTGCTTTGGTTGTTAATGGCAAAGTCAAAGACGAGATTCCTGTACCCTCGTTTCTAACATATGTACTCCGACAGTTATGGATCAGCGACTTTACCACAAATCTAATTCAGTGGATTGGTGCAGGCCAAAGTGAATCGCTCATAGATTTGATATTCACAGAAGTCTCAAGCCAAAGATATGGATGCAGGAGTTGTTTAAGGGATGCTTTGGTCATATGTCAGAAATCCAAAATCCATCGCTCATTTTTATGCAGGTTTGATAGCTGCTGCTTGTTCATTACTTGAATTTATTCAGATTGGCAGTTGGGTGTGGAAAGTCAAACGTCTTGAGAAACAAATTGAGACCAAGGAACTCCACTGGGAGGTTGCGCTCGAAGAATTGAATGAGGAGGAAAAACGTGCTATTTATTTTCTCAACCTCCCGGATTTGGTCAGATAGTCACCATTGGCGGCATATTGCTAGATCACAATAGTCGTAAACTTAAAATTCACAGTACTTATTACAATCGAAGTTTGGCATGGTTTCATATTCATTTTCAGACACTAGATATTTCAAGTACTATACACATGGACCAGATTTACCTTGGTGGAATTTTCTATCAAATCAAAACACCCACCGTCTTTCACAATAGCCACAACTTGGGAGAACAAATATGGAAATACGAAGAACGGAAGAAAGGAAGACGGGAAGGAAAAAAAATACTCTTGCTTGGAACGAAATTAAAGTAGAAAACTTAGGTCCAAAAGAAATACAAAAAACTTCCAGGAAGTGATCTCAGAACAAAACATGATGTGTCAAGGTTCAAAACCATATCATAGTTTGATATGAGAACTGGACCATGTTGACTTGAAATTTATCATCACAGATCAGAAAGTAAACTAATCGCAACAGCCCACAATTATCAACAGCTTCCTGTCAGTATTTCTCAGTCCCACGAGCCAACGCCCACAAGCCAAAGCCCACATGATCAAAGATCGAAAGCCAACAAATCATGGAGAAGTTGATTTCCACTCATTCCCCAAAAGGTTGACCTATCAAGTAAAGTTCTTCACAGAACCCACCATCTCCTAGACCAAATCCAACCTCTCTCATACTCTCACTCCTGTGGATGCCAGGTTGAACTGACAATAGAGCAAAAGTAGATATGAGTGGGAATATTGTCAGACAGCCCCACCAAGAAACATGAACATCGGCTTCACTTAAGTCCCTCGTAAGAGAGTATAAATTAGGACTCGGTTTGTACTGCCATGAGTTTTGGATCGTGCAATGGGTCTTCACTATGCTAACAATCTTCCCCGTACCACTAGATAGCATCGATCTTTCACCACAGATGCATCTACTTGCAAGCAAGTACAATGATGTCGAAGTAAAGATGTGTTTCTTGGAACATGGCAATGGATCGAAGAGGGAAGGAAAAAAAGTGGAAGGAAGTGGGAAGGGAGAGTCCTTATAAGGACGTGGAGTGCTGTACCTTGATGGCGAAGCGAAACCGAATGCGAGATTAAATTTGCAAATTCAAGTTACGGCAGAGAATCTTTTTTCTTTGTTAGGGAGGCGCAGTAAGCTGATGGTGAATATCAGTAGTGAATAGTGATAAAGTTGTCGTCCCATCTTTTGTGGCCAGTCTTGTCTACTCAAAAGGTCACAGCTCGAATATCACATCACTTCCCGGCCGCAGCAGGAGATTTTGGTTGGTCTAATTTCGAGAGAGGGCTATGGAGAATTTGAAAATTGATTTGAAATCGTTTGCACAGTTCGAGATCTCTCGAATGGTGAGAATTTGGAAAGTGAGGGTGGTGTTCTAGGGTCAAAATTCAATTTTGCGCTGAGCAAATTTCAGTACATCTACGTAAATGGCTTCATGATTTCACGAATATTCTTCCGTTGTTTATGGTGAGATGGAAGCTTGGTTGAAGGCATTTGGGTATTAGAAATTACTCAACAAGTGAATAAATGATAAGTTGAATGGCACACATGGTCCAGTGAGAACAGTGAGAACTGTGCGAGAAAATCTGAATTTTCCAAAGAATCTCCGAGTCGTATTCACTACCTACGTACCAATGAATCAAACGCTTCTCGTAGCCCTAGCAATTTCCTTAATTGATATCCTTTCGCAGACATCCATAGACACATCATCTGCTTTATCTGCGATGGCTCAACATTGTTATCAATGTTCTTTAACGCCGCGTACGTCTCAATACTCTTCACCACTCAATTTATAAGATCACGGGAGTGCACGATTGTAGATGCTCCTTCCATCCATAGCAGAACGTACCACAATCAATCCTATAAATCAAAACCGAAATATCAAGACATTGCTGCCTCTCGGAGTCTAGAAGGTTTTATTCGAACAAGTGTGTTTGACTTGCGTACTTACTGGTAGTGGATATGCGTCAATCTTAATGCATGATATCTAATAAATGTGTGGTGCAACGTATTTTAAATGTAGGAAACTCTAATTCTTCCCTAGTTCATTCTGAAGCACTTGTGAGCATTCGAGTCTTCTTCCCAGGAAATTTGACAAGTATCGAACTGAATCCTAATCCTGGATACCCATCAACTTCCACCAAGTATGTTCACTGGTAGGTCTTGATGTGAAGTTCAATCGGGGCCGAACTTCATGCTACGAGTTTAGGCAAGCTTGAAAAATTATAGTTTGTGGAGAGTTTCACTAATATTTTGACACCTAGTATATGCTCCGCAAGCGAGCTAGTCCTTCATTTCGTTAAGTAGATATCGAGAACAGGTACGATCTATCAATCTCGAGACTTCAAAAAAAAAGTATGAATCCCGTCCAGAGTAGCTTATATAAGTATGATATCTTTGGCAAGCAGAGTCAGATCGATATAGTTGTCGCTTGGGTCTCATAATCCTGAGCACGACAAGCAATCGCCGAGACTGCAGTAATAATTATGACACAACCAGTAAAAAGGAGACAATTTCTATACACACGGAACCACACGGTATGCCGGCAGATGCACATATGCACAAATGTGCATCATGATACCTCGGCCCCTATGACCGACGTCCATTTAGAGTTGAAGCTAGCCTTACCCCACACTTCATAAATTTCCCATCTTGGGCATTTTTTCCAGAGATTTTGAACATCAAAATCTACAAAACTTCTACTCTTGTAAAACAATTTATTAGAATAAATTGAGAAAATCTTGTAATTTCCTAGCAATTGTCATCAATTCGACTGAAGACTTGCCATACATCATACCTTCCTTTCACAATTTCACATTCCCGGACAAAGAACCCAAATAGGAAGCTTACTCGCGAATACCTTATCCGAAATGCCACCCTTACGCCATTCCATCTCGCAGCTATTTGCGCCGCATCCAGCGTTTGCTCTTCGAAGCTCCCAATCGCACGAACAATCGCTTTATACAGCTCCTTCCGCACCTCCAAATAACGACGAGATGATTCCTTCATTGCAGCCAAAAAGACCAACCGTATGTTTCGAACCTTTACCGAGCTTTCCTTGTCCAGCGCGTGATAAGTGAAGAACATAGCTAATCGATCATCCATTCCACTAGGTCCCAATTTCCACTATACCTCCCAATCCACCTACAACTTCAATGTCTCCACCTACCTACCAATCAGAATCTCCCTTCCCTACCGCGTCTCCATCCTTTTGCGCTCCCTCATTCCCCACCACAGCTCCAGTTCCTCCCCGCACCCAAATTGAAGCTTTGCCACCCCACGCAACACCCTTACAAACAACAGATTCAATCTCACCCTTCCTACACTTAACCCACAGAAATGGCAAATTCATTCTTGATTCCGCAAAACGACATCCAGTGTTCTTCACAGATAGATTGAGGAAAGCGCCTACGGGCGTGGAAGCAAATGATTATGAGTTTGAGGATTGGAAGGCGGGAAGTCCAGTTGCGAGTGGGTATGTGTACGAAAGTGGTGAAGTTCAAGAAAGAGAAGCAAAGTTGTGAGGAGGCTTGTTGATTGCGGTCATTGAACATAACCAAGAATTATTATAACAGGTTTATATTTTAGAGTTCGGATTGGAAAAGGGATTCGGATTCATGGATTGTATATATGGGACCCCTCGTTTTCCACATGGCTGAGAATGCTCATCATTGTGTTCTAAGGTTGTTTCTAGTTTTCTTATGCAAGCGTAATCATAAATAACATATCAATTGCTCGTCTTTACAAACCCATAAAGTATGTATACTAAAATAACATAAAGCCGCATGCCAAAACTCCACGCCGTGGTATAAAGTCCCCAATCCTAATGTTGTCCTCACCAATAGTCAATTTGAACTTAATGCACGACTTTCTCGATCTACATTATGCCGTTTTCTCTGCAATGCACCTATCCAACACACTTTTGCCATCCCGGTAATCCGCATCCAAAGCCAACAAACAAGTAGAGCAAGAAGATGATAACAACAGTCAAAAGTACCATCAACTTCACATTCTTCCACCACATCTGTCTGCGCAAGCCTCTACTCCTGATCCTGAATTCTGACGCGCTTCCACCGAGTCTATCCGTTTTATCGACGAGCAGATCAATTCTCTCGCCTCTTTCCAAAAGACTTTCGATATTTTGACTCATGATACCTCGCACATTGTCGATTTCGCCTTGTACATTCTTGATCGCATCCTCTTTGCCACCCTGGGTTGTTCCGTATTCTACCATCAATTTCTTGAGTTCGGAGTTGAATGATCCAGCGCCGTAACTTCCTAAATCGGAAAAATCCGTAGTAGAAGGTGGGAAAGACGTAAAAAAGCGCTTTTTGATCTCGAAAAGAAAGCCAAACGGTATGCGACGTCCGAGAGAGGCATCGGCAATCACGAGGAATGTAAGTCCACCCGCAGACGATTCAGAAGCGGGGTATTCAGAGGGTGCAGATGCCATAAAATGGATGAAGGAGTTGTTGTGTGTATACGTCAGTTTTTGAGGTTCATCATGCTTAATTTTCGGAAGGACAAGGGAGGCTAGGGATGAAGTTTGCGAAGCGGCGGATGTGGTATGCTCGGCGAGGATGGTCGTATTGTGAGAGATACAAGAGCTGTCTATGTTAGAGAGTAAATTGAAGGTCTGTGAGAACGATGTATGCTTACTAAAGAAGGGGAGTTGGTGGTGTGGATGAGGAAGCCATTGTTGGAATTTGAATTGAGAATTCGAAGGGTTTTCCACGAAGTCCGAAGATTTCCAATTCCCAAGATGCAATTTAACAAAAGGAAGATGTATCGGTTGATGGAGATGATATCAACAATTGCATGCGAATATGGACTGGCAGGTTGATGAGAATAATGGTGAAAGTTGGATAGTCAATTCAATATGGTTGACATGAAGGTAACAGGATTGGGAAAGTACAATGACGATGGCGCAGAAGCTAATGCGGCTGCGGCCGACGCTAAGATTTGCTATGTCTCGATGATTACCTAATCACAAAATTAAATCATTATTTGAGGTCAATTATTATTCTATCTATAATCGGATGCTTTTGCGCCATCTACTGCGGTAATGACATTGATCAGCAGAAGGTCTGGACAATGTGCGTTCTGTACATTTCGCAGCTTGATATGGCCAATCTCTTCACCTCTCACATCCAATGGTAGAAGTTTCCATCAGTCAAGGCCTGTGGCGAGGACGATTCCCAAGTCGCGCCGGAAGAAGGTATATAACATGGGCGCTGCTACTTTGGTATCCTCATTTGCTTACCATCTAACTTTTTAGTATACAGAGCCTTCGGAGTCTTACGGTGTATCAAATCACAACGGTTCCCATAAAGGGTATGGAACGCCGAAAGACACTGAGGAACGGGCTAGGACGGCATTTCGAAAGTTTGAACAAACGATGGTGCAAGAAGCCCGAACACTGAAAAAAACACTTATCAATGGAACGATATATGTGAAACCAGTGGGGGAAAAAGAAATGAAAGGGTGGGGCGCAACAAGTAGAAAGGAATTGCTAGTCAAGCTGCGAGACTTTGAGGATGTGATAGCAGCGGCTGGCAGAAGAGCAACTGAACGGGGCGAGACTGATAAAAATTCCAATCCTATCTTCGCCAAACTTAAGGACGCATATATTGCAAAGGATACTAGGGGCCTACAAGACGAAATAAGACATGCATTCACCCATTTCACACTCTCCGGTAAGTTTTCGAAAGAAGAACTTGCAAGCCACCAGAGGCTAGCAGACTTTCGTTATCCAATTGAATGGTACCCAGCGACACGAGCGATGCAACGCACTTTTCACCTGCACGTTGGACCCACGAATTCTGGCAAGACATATCATGCTCTGCAAAGGCTTGAGGCAGCCAATAGTGGTATATATGCTGGGCCTCTACGATTACTGGCTCACGAGGTTTACACGAGATTCAATGCTAAAGGAAAGCCATGCTCTCTTATCACTGGGGAGGAACGTCGGATTCCAGAGGGTGCCAAGGATACCATGAAGAGTTGTACTGTGGAGATGGTACCTCTCAATTCGAAAGTCGATGTAGCAGTTATCGATGAGATTCAGATGATTGGAGATGAAGACCGTGGCTGGGCTTGGACTCAAGCAGTACTGGGAGTTCAGGCCAAGGAAGTACATCTCTGTGGCGAAGTCCGAACAACTGATTTGATAAAAAAGTTATGTTCAATGATGGGAGACAAGTTGATTATTCACAATTATGAAAGACTTGGGAAATTACAAGTGATGGCAAAGAGTCTCACACCAAGACATTTCGAGAGAGATAGTCCATCTAACAAAGAGAACAACCCGGTCAGCAAATTAGAGAAAGGGGATGCTGTCATCTTGTTCTCGAGGATGAGAATTCATGCAATGAAAAACGCAATTGAGGCACATCACAAAGGCAAACGATGCGCTATTGTTTATGGGTCATTACCCCCCGAGACCCGTGCTCAACAAGCCGCTTTGTTCAATGACCCAGACAATGACTACGATTTCCTGGCTGCCAGCAATGCCGTTGGCATGGGTTTAAATTTAAGTATCAAACGTGTCATTCTTGAATCTGTCAAGAGAAATAATGGCACAGATTTCATAACTCTCCCTATCTCCGAGATCAAACAAATTGCTGGCCGGGCCGGGAGATACAAGACGGCCCGAGATGCTATCGAAGCAGGGCCAATAGACGTCACAGATGGCATTCCTGCTAAACCAACAGAGCCTCCCGTTGGCCTAGTCACAACATTTTTCAAGACTGACCACGAGATATTATCAAGCGCTATGTCAAAAGAAGCAGCACAGATGACAACAGCAGGAATTTTTCCTCCTGCAAATGTCATAGAACGCTTCGCTGAGTATTTTCCTAAGAGTACACCATTTAGTTACGTGATATTGCGACTACACGAGCTCGGTTCTTTAAGCAGCCAGTTTCACCTATGTCAACTCAAGGAGCAAGCTGCCATTGCAGACATCATTCAGGAATTCAATCTTACCATTCGAAACCGCCTCATTTTTCTAGCTGCTCCTGTGTCTTTGCGCGATCCTGGAGTTGTCAATGTAGTAAAAGCCTTTGCTCGTTGTGTATCCGAAAACACTGGTGGTCACATTCTCAATATACCTGAGCTTAGTCTTGATCTTTTGGATGAGGATCCCGACACTTTTACTCGGCAACAGGAAAGGGAAATGTATGTGCGCAGTATTGAAAGGTTACACAAAAATATTACACTCTACCTCTGGTTGAGTTACAGATTTACAGGTGTATTCCACAGCCAGGCCTTGGCATTCCACATTAAGGGCTTGGTAGAGGAAAAGATTGATTTATGTTTGGCTAAGGCCGAGTGGCAAGAGAAAGCTAGAATAAAGGCAATGAAACGAAATGTAGAGCTTTTGAACGCCCTGTCGGAGGATAAAGGTGCACTAAATGCTGCGTCAGTTGATGTACCTTTGGAGAAGAATATTTTCGAAGATCCAAAGGAGTCTCTAGACTTAAAGATACCGCTGGTGGATGAGACCTCGGGCGATTCCAGGATGTACTCAGATGCCGAGGCGAGCAGTGAGGCCCAATCTGGAATAAGGGCTGCCAGTGATAAGAAATTTGGCACTCTTAGAATTCCACTCCACGCGAAACTTCCTGGACGTCATACCAGTCCGTGAAACATGATCAATTGAAATGTAAAATATTTACGATGGGATCGTGTGAATTGCCAATGTGCTGCACATTTTTCTCTCAAGATTTGAAAATAAATTATATTATTACTGTATATGTTGCATCTCATCTCTTTCATGGTCCAATGTAACTCTTTGCTACGTTCTATTATAGCCCGCTCTTCTAAATCTCTTGAGCAAAATTCTTTGGTCTACCTAGCAGTCCCTGATTACATGTGTTCTTTCAAATCATAAAGAGTACATCATCTCTTGAATTGTAATAATAGATTTGACAGTCAAGTGCTGAATCTTCCTTGAACAATAGTTCCGTTGTACCATATCCCAGGGAATTGATAAAAGTGATGTTTTGGGGATAAATGCGCCCGCGAAGAAATCAAACGCCCTCTTTTTCGTTCGTTCTAGGTTTGCGTTCGGATGCCAACGATCTCTAAAAAGTTCATTCGACTAAGAAGTGCAACTATGACGTGTACAATAGTTGAGATGTTAGATACAATGATATGCGGATATCGGATTGGAAATCAACTGTATCTAGAAAAGTCCTAGCGCAAACTGAGGAACTGTTAGTTACAGTGTAGCCTGAAAGATATTCATAGTGAGGAAATGGGCACTTACAGGAAGTAGAATATGGCATGCCACTTGATTAGAAAGGGGTACGATGGCTGTGAAATCCGTTATTTCGAAGCCACGAGGTGCAAAAGCTCCCAAGTATACCATTCCTCCTAAAACCGGGATCATCACTAAATACATCCACTTAAAATCACGAAAGATTTTATCTAAACCAATTCTAAATCCACCAGCTTCAACTTCTTTGGCGGTAGCCGTCCATTCCATTTTTATGCTGAAGAAATGGCATAATATGGCAGT